TCTCACGCTTGAGAAGGTCACGCCCTCGTCGCACGCCCTTTCCTCCTCACGCTCAGGCGCCGAGCGAGTCTCGTTAGGTCCACATACACGAGGACTCGCTTGTGCCACTCCGCTAGCGGGTGAGCGGGCGGGCGTCGAAGCACCACACCCACGAAGCAAAACCTCGCTCGTTTCCTCTCGTCTCGTTCGCGTTCACGCCGACTTGAAAAGTGTCTGATTCGCACGCGAAAGTACACGAGGAAGAAGTGTCTGTTGCTGCCGAGAGCAGGGCGAGAGATCCAGCTCAACCGCCGTCCATATCGCCTCCTTGGCCTCACTCGACGACGACCTGCACCGGCACTTCTTCGCTCGCTGGCGGACTAGGCGGCGGCGTATACTCCCGTCCAGCCACCCTGGCACCGCTCGCGGTCCTCTGGGACTCCCCGCTCACACGCGCTGGACGCCCCTCGAGCGCCGCAGCAGTCCTATCCCGCTCGATGCTCACGCTTCGACGAGGATGGCGGGCGGGTCGAGTTGGAGTCTCAGCGCGGGAAGGGGACGAAGTAGGGGAGACGCTGGACCAGGCTTTCGAGGCCGAGCGGTGCTGGGCGAAAGTTGGAGAGGTGGGTGAGAGGGAGGACGGGCGGGAGGGCGCTCGAGGAGGTCGAGGAGGTGCGGGCGTCTTAGGCACGATGGGAGAGCGAAGAGTGGCGGAAGAGGCTGGTCGATGCAGGGGAGTCGACGTGCCGGTTTTAGAGGGCGGGAACGATGAAGGTGGAGAGGCGGGCAGCGCGGGTACGGTCTGAGGGATCTTGATCGGTGAAGGAGGAAGCTTGGCCGCTCGTCTTGACGGCATAGAGAGGGGGATTTCGCCGCCCGCCGTACGAGGCCGGATCCGCTGCGGCGCGCCAGGCGTCGCAAACAGCCCGCGCATCGAGGGCGGGAGGGCGCTGTCGGCTGATCCTGGCAGAACAGACGGGACAAAGCCAGACTGGAACATGACGGGACTTCCGCCTGCCGAGGAAGGGCTCGAAGCATGCGAGAGTTCCCCACCGTCGAGAGTTGAGAGGATCATCTCTTCTTCGCTGCCGAGGCTGAGATGCGACGATGCGGACGAGGCGCGGCGGAAAAGCTTGCGCCGGTTCCCGTTCGACGTAGGGAACGGTGCCGAGCCCATGGGCGGCGAGATGGCGGAAGGGAGAAAGACGGCTTCGTCTCCGTTCATCTGCGGGAAGCGCATCTGAAGGGCGGCTTTCGTGTCGCGTCCTTCGTCTGCCGCGACAAACTCGAGGACGTTGAAGGCGCTCGACGCGTCGGATGAGCGACGAGGACGAGTGGGTCGATTCTCGGGAGCCGTCTTGGGCCGTCGAAGACCGGCGGAAGGGCGGCGGAAGGAGCCGAATAGCAGAGGAGGAGAAGAGGGAGAGAGCGGGACGGCGGAAGGTCGAGGCGGGGAGGGAGGAGCAACGAATGCCGCCTGCTTCCTCTGGATGACCAACACATTCGCCTCGTCCTCCGCACTGCCTCGCCTCGAGCCGTTCGGTATGCGTTCTTCTCCCTCTTCGCCACTTCCATTCACGCCTATCCGCCTCGTCCCGCCCGCCTTGACCACTCCCACACCAGCACTTCCAACGCTGTTCTCCCTCGACCGTCCCAACTTCCAACTCGCAAGCTCTTCATCCGTCAGCGGATCCTCCGCGTCGTGTGTAGCGGAAGAGCCGGTGCCGGAGGAGGCGTGTTTGAGGATGGAGGTGAGGGCTGTGATGCTCGATTTCTGGCGGACGTGTTTCTTTGCCGCGTTCGAAGGAAGAGGGGTGGATGATGGCGGAGCGGGAGGCATTGAAGGGGGAGCAGGTGAGAGATTTGTAGAAAGACTGGAGTCTGCACATATGGACGAATCAGTCTCGTGAGCGAAAGGAGGCGGGCTGAGGAGGACGGAAGCGACTAACCCGCAAACTTCGACTCCGCAGCGGGCACAAGTCCAGTAAGCGACGGCAACCTCGACACCCTCGGTCGCTCCTGCGGGTCCTTTCCCTCCTCCTCCCGCTTCCTCGACGATCCAGGTCTGAGATTCGGCACAGACGGGATCGACTTGAGACGCAAAGGCAGGCGTCGGGTCTTCTCCTCTTCTCCGTTTTGCGGCGACGAGGACGAGCGGGTGGACTTGGTTGTGCTGAAGGAGAGGGCACGGCCGAGTCCTGCGGCGCTGGTTGGGCCTGTTGCGGTCGAAGGACGACGAGGTGGCTTAGTAGTCGGAGGTCGAGAAGGAGGAGGAGCAGTGTCGTCGAAGTTGATAGCGGGTTCGGCTCGAGAGGACGCCTGGCGAGCGAAGGATATGGAGGGCGGAAGAGTCTGCGAGCCGGCAGAAGTCGCGGGTCGAGCGTTCGCAAAAGGGTTCTTCCACTTCTGCTCGACCCCGTGCACACTGCGCGCGCCCTCCTGCACGGCACCAAGTCGAGGTGGCCCGTTTGCGAAGCCGTTGATCGGCTTGCTCGAGGTCGAGGCGTCGAAGAACGACTTTGGTCGGTCGCCTGCTGCGCCTCCGCCCGCCGACGTTGCTGGTCGTCTCCGTGCTCGAGGGGCCGAGTCCGCAGAAGCCGATTTAGCCATTGCGACGCTCTTCGGGATTTTGTCGCGAGTCGCCGTGGACGAAGTTGCTGGCGGCTGTCGACCAGCGGAGGAGAAGAAAGCCTTGATCTTGCTCGCTGTCGGTGTCGAGTCGGGCGTTGAAGCAGTCGTCGAACCGCTCGTCGCTCGGGACTTGAGAGCCCGCCAGACGGAACCCAGCGAGCGAGTCGAGGAGGAAGTACCGGTCGACGAGGCTGCGGATGGTCGTCTCGAATCCCTGATCTCGTTCGCTATGCCACCAGGCCCTCCAATTCCGTTCGACAAGCCGTTCGCACTGCCGCGCCTGACTTCGCCGGCGAAAGAAGCCTTTCCTCCTCCAGCTCCTCGCTCCTGCTCGGAGAGCAACGGCGGCACGACGTCCTCCTTCCATCCCGCCCCCTCTTCCCCCGACCGCACCGAGATGTCGAGCGTGTTTGAGCGACTCATCGCCGCCGCCGACGGAGGCAGGCGACCGTAATCGGCTGGTTGTGGAGCCTTCATCGTCTCCGACGAGGACGACGGCAGCGTTCGCACCACGACACAGGCTGGCTCGTTCGAGCTGGCGAGGTGGCCGTGTGCGCGAGAGAGGCAGAAGTCGAGCTGGAGGCGTGCGCAGGGCGAGAAGGCGGTTGTTTCGTTAGCGTGAGAATGAGAAGCGATCGGGGGACGGCGGCGAACTCGCTCAGCGCCGCCAGGACAGTCGCACGGCTGGCTGGCGTCGGTGTATGGAGTGCACAGACGACAAAGCAAGTCACAGCGAGCAGAACGGGCGAGAGAGTGAGCAGAAGAAGCGAAGGACAGGATCGCCTTTTCATTTCGAGGCGCATGCACTCACTCTCGCCCCGCGCAAACCTTCTTGGAGCAAACGCAGAGTATTCGCACAACAACGGACAGCGTGGAGGCTAACTACAAGGGAAAGTCGAAAGGCGGGATTCAAAGGGCCATGGCCGCGTCGCCGTCGCCGTTCGCAGGCGCTTCAGCGGACGAGACCGCTGCTGCGCCGGGCGAAGGCGTAGGCCGCTTGCTCGACATGAGCTCGTGGAGATTCCCTGCAAGTGCATGGCGAAGGGTAAGCCTCTGTTCGAGCGGGCGCGAAGAACGAGGCTGTCGAGTCTTCGCCGCGCACTCACACTTTGGCCAGTCCACACCCTTCTCCAACAGCAGCCCTTCGCCCCAGTTCATCATGGTCATCAACTGCGGCAACTTCGGTTCCGCCGCATGCCCCTGCGCCGCCAGTATCGCCGCATTGAGTTCCCGCGCGGTCCGCAACCGCTGCGACGGGTCGAGGAGGGACGAGATGGTCGATGGCATGGTCGAGAGCTGGTCGACTGCCGAGGCGTCCTTGTCCTTTGACTTTTTCGACTTCTTACTCTCCTTGACGACCGGGGGAGCCGCCGCACTTGCGGTCGCCGCCGCCGCACCCGCTTCGCCCTCCTTGCCCTCCTGCACGCCGCCCGGCACGAGCGTCGGCAGCTCGAACGCGAGAAGCGCCATCGTCTTCTCGAGCTCCTTGAGGAACTTGGGGTGTTCCTCCGCGAGAGGCGCGAGCTCGTTCTGCGCAAAGGCGAGCGCTTCGGGGATGTGTTGGCCGCGGATGAGCTCGATCAGGTGTTGTTGCAAGAGGTGAAAGTGCAGCGAGGGATCAATGTCGAGGATCTGCGATCGGAACGAGCGCGCAAAGTCAGCCTCGCGTTATATCAGAAACCGCTTGTTGCGAGACCAAGCGCAGACGAGCGTTCTCCTCAGCGTTGACGGTTTGGTTTGGTTGTCGCTATGATCATCCTGGCAGGAGCACGAGCGGGCTGTTACGACCCGCATTGGCCCCCGCTGAGAGTGGTGCATAGTACGTAATCATCACTGGAGAACGTCTCGCCTGCGCAGACGTCGTCGGTTCAGGAACGTAATGCTCACCTCGAGATCCAGGTCGACCACCTTCTCGAGCGCCGTCTCAACCTCGCCTTTGAGCACCGCTCTCCGAATCTCCATCCTGTTCCGAATACTCTCGAGGTCGTACGTGGCGCCGCCTGCCGTACCTAGCCGCGTCGTGTCGAGACCGGCTTCGCGAGAGAAGTTCTCGGCGGCGGAGAGGTAGCCCTCGGTGAAGAGGTAGTTGGCGACGAGGAGGTTCAGGTCACTGCGCGGTGAAGGGGCAAGGTCAGCGTCCCGTTCTCGCGCGCAACGCATCCCTCGTGTTGTCCCAGGTCCATTCCACCGCGCCAGCTCGTTCGTAGCTCAGAGTTGAAGTATTTTTGTATCCTCTTTGACCCGCCCTCGTTGGGACGGTACGCGTGGATTAGACGCAAATCGTAGGAGAGATTCCCACTTCGTAAAGGATCTCATCACGCAAACGCTGACTGTTGCCCGTGCCCTCCATGCCCCATCGCAATCCGACGAGAGCGAGAAAAAGTGCCGAGGAAGAAAACGCACTCTTTCGAGACGTTGACGGCTGCGAGGCGCTTGGACCATTCTTCAGGTGTTGTAGTGGGTCGCTTGGTCGACTGTGCGAGCGTGCGCGGGTGGCATGAGCATGGTCGAGTGAGGAGACGGAGGGAAAGAGGCGAGCGCGCGAGGTCAGCGCGAGGACGGCCGGGCGGGAGAAGCGGGCGCACACACCATCGCTGGGAGGACGCGCTGCCGGCTCGACTCGACTATGCGGTAGGCTGTAAGGTATCTGTGCCACTCGGCGCTCGTCACAGCGGCCTGACGGCGAGGGAGGGGATGACGAGGGGGAGGAGGTGGGGGTCGGGTCCTGGAGAGGCTGGCGGTAGCTGGGAGGGGTCGTGCGGGGCGCTGAGACTGTTCCTGAGCGTATCAAAGTCTAGCGAGCAGTCGAACGCGGTCAGACAGCGGTTTGAGCGAGCGGTGTGAGGCAGAGGAGCGACGAGGAGCGGGTGTCCCGCCTACGCGCCTTCGTTGGGCTGGCTGATGAGGCTCAGACTACGCGAAGACGCTGAACAGCAGCGTAGACTGCTCAAGAGAGCCCAGGAAGCGGTAGCCTGCGAGGAGTGGTCTTCCTCGTTCAGTGCTCTCCCGCTCTTTGCCTCGAGTGTTCAATGAGAAAGGTCGTTGGAGACCTTGTTGCAGGCGAACAAATACTATCACAACAGAGAGACGAAGTGCTTCTAGAGAGTCGACGTCGGAGACGGCAGCGGACTCGACTTCTCCAAATCGACGTCCCTCGCCTTGTCCTCCTCGACGATGTCGTCCAACGATGCCTCTGCCGTCTGGAACGACACGGTGTGTGAGCCGAACACGGACGCGCGTCTTCGAGGCGGGTCGAGCGGGCTGATGTCCTCGTCGACCCGGACCTCCTCGACGACGTGAACACCGATAGTCGATGTCCCGCCATGTCCGACCGTCGTGCTTCCGCGGAAGAACGGTCCCATCCGGCTTGAAGTTGCGCCCTGCTGAGTACTGCGAGGACCGCCGTCGTGCGGTCCCGAGTTGGCCGTCATCATCTCGTCCTTCTGCCGATTTGGCGTCGTGACGATGTAGACGATGACCGAATTAAAGACGACGTCGAGACCGCACGACCCGAGGCAGATCCAAGACAGTTCGTGGCCGCCGATGCCGGCGAGGATGCCAATGTTGGTGCTGGGGGAGACGAAAGTCAGCCTTCGAGTCTTGCGGTCCGAGTCGGAGCCACGCACAAGGAGGTGAGAAGTGCTGCGACTGCGGCGATGGAGGAGATGCGAGCGAGGCGTCGAGCCTTGGGAGAGGGATGGCGCAAAATCGGAAGGACGAAACCGGTTGTAAGGTAGACGTTGGTCAAGCCGTCGCAGACGAGTTCCGGCACGGAGCCGTACAGACGCAGACCGATGATGCAGGCGCCGTCGCTCTGTCGGATATGGCTGACGCGGCCGACCTGAGTTTGACGCGAGAGTGAGCAAGTGAGCGATGGGAAGAGAGGGGAAAACGGACTCACAATCATGGCGACAGCGATGCCGACCCATGCAATCAACAGAATGCAGCCTCCACGGTACCACCACGATTGCACTGGCAGGAGAAGCGGTCAGCGACGTTTGAGGAGAGGAGAGGGACGAGGAGCTTACTTCGGGATATCCGCCCGGTCGCGGCGTGCGAGTGCACGATGTACAGCTTCTCGAGCAGCAGGACGTAGAGGACGACCTTCGAGCCGGCGTAGAGGATGATGCAAAGCCAGATCCCCCCGCTACATGCCGCAGGGCTGAAGGACGAGCCGACGCCGAGGAGGATAATCGCCGAGATGAAGACGAAGATAAGGCTGGAAAGACGAAAGGTGTGAGCACTCGAGAGCTTGAGAGGCAGAGTTCGATATCGCAGAAGTCGGGCAAGGACAAGGACTTACGATCCGCCGAGGAGCGACACAACAAGCAGCTGCATGAGCGGCACCCTTCGTACTGACGGCCACGAGCCTAGTCGTCTCGAAAACAACACCGACATGACCGACACCGCGAGCAGATAGCCTGCAAATGAGCGACCGCACGAGGAGGAGATACGACTTCTGTCAGCCCGACCTGCGTCGCGAGCTCGTCGTTGTTGGCAGATCGGCACGCACCTGTCGCGACTATCGGTCGCCAGTAGTCCTGTCCTGCAGGCCATACGTCCGCCGAGTGTCGTGTGTGGTCCATAGCGGACCAAGAGAGAAAGGCGGGCGTCCGGACGGGCGGTCGGACCCGAAAGTGACGATGAGCAACGACGACAGAAGTTGTTCGGTGAGCAGGCACCCGAGCAAAGCGGCAACGTCTCAGTCCCACCGCTTCGGGCCAGCAGGGGGGTTCGTCGCGAAGGAGGAAGAGAGCGTCGGGAAAGGAGGCTGAGTCGCGAGTCCTGTCACTGACAAACGTTGAGCGAGGCGTCCAGCACGTCCCCTGCGACGCTTTGCGCCCCGGCCTGCGTCGCCGCTGCAGAAAAAGTGGACAGCTCGTGTCGTCGCGTGTTGTGCGCCGAATGGAGGAAGGCGGACCTGGATCGACTTCGCCTCCTCCTGCCTTCGGAAGGTCGATGCGCGACTGCTGGCGATCGGTGCTCTGGCTCATTAGAAACGATTAGAGACAGGTAGATCGGGGCAGCACGCGAGCGGGCTTGATCCGGGCTCGCAAACGCTGCGGGAGGAAAGAACAGGTCCTGTCGAAGCCGAAGAAGCCAATCTGCTGGGTCGTCGACTGTTCCAGGCGAGCTACTTAGCGCGTTAGGTCGATGACTGCTGACCGACGCGCGGCTGGAAAAGGTGAAGTGTCGATCCGTCGACGCGAGCAAGTACGCCGTCGCTCGACTCGCAGCGTATCGTCAAGGGGTTGCCCTTGAGGCGACGGGGTAAAGCAGTGCACGATGCAAAGACGGATACGAGGGTGGCGACAACGAGGAGCGACAAGAAGACAGTAGGGGGTGCGATCAATAGGTGCGAGAGGGAAGACAACGACAGCAGCGAAGGAGGTTGAGGGTACAGCACCCAGATGCAAGAAGGTGATAAACAAAGAAGAAGGGAGTACGTATCAAATGCGAGTAAAGTGTCTGGAGGGGGCGCGAACCCCTTAGACGACGGCGGCGGCGAGGAGGTCGCAGTTGTTTTCGTAGGCGGCGGGCGAGTGGTCACTCAGCACTGCGCACGATGCGGCATTAGCAGGACTCCACAGGTAAGCCGAAGGACCCTCGACGCACTCGAACGGCTGAAGACGGGCTCAGAGAAGCGGCGCTCGACGTCGTCGACGGCGCGAAGGAGGACGCGGCGACCTTCGCGGCGGGAGTACTTGCCGGTCGCCGACGACTCGCCCGAGATGAAGACGGTGTAGTTTTCGACCACGTAGACGTTGCCTGCGGGAGTAACAATCATAAGCAAGACCCCGGACGGATGGAAGGCGACTCGAACGCACCGGGCGGGTAGAGTTTCTCGCTGTCGCTGCCTGCGCGGATGGTCGTCCTGAGGCTCCAAAGCCAGTCGCTGAGCTCAGAGTCGTCGGCGACGAGGTCGGTGCCGAGCAGGCTCGGGTCGCGATACGTCGGTTCGAGCGCCTTGTTCCGGCCGCGTCCAGCGGTGAGCTCGGCGTCGGTGAGCGGGACGAGGCGCGACTCGTCGGACGGGTCGGTGAGCGACTCGGGCGTGACGTCGCGGTCGTCATCGCCAGTCGAGGGTGAGGAGGGTCGATAAGGCGATCCGGTCTCGTCCTTCTTCGCTGCTCGCCTCGCCATGAACCGCTTCTGGCAGAGCCCGATGACGCGACCAACGATCTCCTCGCACACGCCCTGTTCGGCGTAGAAGCCCATGGCCATCGACTTGAAGTCGCGGAGGACGCCGAGCGAGAGAGTCGGGACGATGTCGTAGTTGTGGATGGTCGAGGTGACGAGACCGCGGCAGTATTCGACGAGGTCGGGCGAGGCGACGCATGGCACGCCGTATGTGTAGCACGAGATCGGCCGGCCAGGCGAAAGCCCGGACGAAAAGCTTGTTACGAAGGGCGTCGAGATCGGCGGGTGGGCGATGCTGTGCCCGGTGTGCTGCTCGATGCTCCTCGCATGCTCGGCGAACGTTGACGAGCGGCTGGACCAGAGGAGCGAGAGGAGCGAGGCAACACCGCCGCCGAGACTGCGGGCCGAGGGTCAGCGGACGATGAAGAAGATGCGGCGGATCGAGGCTCACCTGTGACCGCAGATAACGAGGCCATAGTCGGGAAACCTCTTGAGCGCATCGCGAATGACGTCGTGGACGGTGCCGCGCTGGAGGACAGTCGCCGAGCCGTACATGCCGCTGTGGACGAAGTAGGAACCGTGCGGTTCGCCGTCGTGAACCGAGATTGGCTCGTACGAGCAGGTCAAGTCGGTGAGGATGTCGGAGAGGCCGAGGGATCCGCGGCAGGCGAGAACGACAGCCTTGATCGAGTGGTCGAGCGCGACTGAGGTGATTGGGAAGGTCAGCTCGAGCCGATGACAAGACGGCGCGTTGGCTCACCGTAATTGACGATTGGTGACAGCTTGCCCGTCCCAAACGTTGGTGCCGGATTTGTGAAGGACGACAAGAGGATGTCTTCGACGTGGATGCCGACGTGATGAGCAAAGGCGTGGTTGTTGGCGTCTGCGGTATCGGGACGAGTGAGCGCTGCGTTCGGCTACGCATTAGAGAAAGCGACATACGGATCTCGGTGTGCGGAAACTTGAACTGCGGAAAGAAGAGAATGAGCAAGTCGTCCAGGCCGGAAGAGTCGGGTAACGCACCTCGTGCTTGGCGATGCCGAGGATCCTGAGAAAGCTCTGCCCGTACGCGGCGCTTGAGTACCTCGCAAAGTGTTGCAAGTTGCTGACGAGGTGCTGGTGCGGAAAGTTGCCGCTCTTGGGCTCCGGCTCGCCAGTCGGCATCGACTCGGTGCGACACGTCGTCGTCAATGTTGAGCGCATTGTCTGGACAGAAGTCGTACGACGAAGGCGAGGCTTTGACGGTGACGAAGGCAGCTCGGGCGAGAGAGTGGCGAAGCTTTTGGACGGCGACAGCGTGTGCGGCGAGGGCATGGTCGGGAAGGGCTGGACATGCTGGCGCGACGATTCTCTCGACCGCCTCGTGTCCGGCGTCTGAGGGGCCGAAACCTGCACAGGCGCCGCGAAGGTCGGCATGACTTCAAACATGGGCGCATCGACGTCGCTGAGCTCGAGCGGGGTGTCGGCCGCCGAGTTAGGCGGAGTGAGAAAGTCGCTCCGCTTGTAGCCCTTGAAGCCTCGGCTGAAGGCGCGGAAGACATTGCGACCCTTGCCTTTCGGCGAGGGAGTCGGCGAGGCGACCGTTGGCGTATTCGACTCGGACGACGGGCCTGCCGAAGCTGTCGTGAACGAGGGCTGGCGGGAGCGCTCGCGAGGCCAGCGACGCTTGAGACCTCGACTGCCAGGTACGGGAGACTGCGAGTGCGAGGAGGAGCGGCTAGGCGACCCGGTCGTGCTGCTGCCGGTCATGACGCGGCGGACGGTGCGGCGGTGCTGAGTAAACTTCTTCGTCATGGTCGAGAGGACGAGCTGGGTACGAAGCGAGCGTGAGCAGTGGAACAAGAAGGAGTAAAGCCAAAGTCGCGCGCGCACCAGCAACCTCTGCTTGCTCTGCTCCGGGTGGTCGATCGCATCCTGCCTCGACAGCCCCGCCAAGCTCACCGGCACGTTCCCTTCGGCGTCCGTACCTCCCTGGCTCGTCGGCCACTCATCCCCGCTCGTCACCGCATACGGGTGCGCCGCACCCCTGGGACTCGTCCGACTCGCAATCTCGACCCACTCGCCCTCCGTATCGCTCATCTCGAGTTCCTGGTCCTCCGCTACGCTCACCTCGCGCGAACGGAGAGCCTCCTCGTCCGTCAAGCCAAAGATGCGAGGCCTCGAAGCCTTCTGAACGACCTTGGCGGATGGACCTCCGACTTCCTCGACCGTCTTGACAGTCGTCGTCATGGTCGTCATCGTCTCTTCGATTTCAATCTCGTAGCTGTAACCGTTTGAGTCGGCGCGGACGAGGTGCGTGCCGCGCTTGCGAGGCTGCGGCGCGCGGACGGTCGAGGAGGTCGAGGGCGAGACCGTCGAGGCAGGCGACGACTTTGCCTGCGTCTGCTTCGCCGAGGAGCGAGCCTCGGCAGCCGCGTACTGCGCCTCGAGCTGCTGCGAGACAGCCTGCACCTCAGGCGGGACCTCCCCGTCCGCCTCTTCGGCCGTCATCATCCCCTCGTCCTCCTCTTCCTCATCCGTCTCGCTCGTCTCTCCCTCGTCGCCCGCCTCGTACCCCTCGCGCGGGTCGTGAGGCGCCAAAGAACGCGCACGAGTCGGCGAGCCGCAAAGCGCCGAAAGCTCCTTGACGATCTCCTCCTCCGGCCTCGGGTCGAGTAACTCACCCGGGTCAAGCTCGACCTCGTCTTCGTCCATCCCGTCGTTCGAAGTGGCCGTCATCTCAGCCGGCCCAGCGAGCGCAGAGAGGTCGAAAGCGACCGAAGCCTGCCGACTTCTCGCCGGTGTGCTGGGCGCCGACTTGCCCTTTGCGACCAACGCCGCATGCGCGCGAGCTTCGAGCTCAGAGCGGACGTCCGTGAGGAGGTGATTGGGTTGAGGAGCGAGTTGGGCGTGCGAGTGCGAGTGAGGGAGGGAGTTGGCGAGGTGAGGGCGGGAGGAGGGCGGAGCTGTGGTCGGCGTGTGCTGATCGTACTTGTGTGACGAATGTGGATGGGGCGAAGGCGACACCGTCGAGGTCGCGACCGCGAGGGCCTGACCTTCGACGACGACGGTGCAGTCGTACACGACCCGCATCTTGAGCTCCCTCAGCGTCCTCCTGTGCGTCGCAGTCTGAAGACACGCGAACGCCGTCAAAGCCTTAGTGAGCGCCGTCAAGCTGCTCAACGTCCCGGCCTTTTTCTGCTTCTCCTCGTTCTGCTCCTCCTGGTCCGCCAGCAACCCCACAGGCCTGAAGTGCGGGTCTTCGCGGGTCAACTCGTCACGTATCAGGGTGATGATAGACGAGAGGGCGCGCGAAGACTCGTTCGAGCCGAGGATCGAGTCGAGCATTCGGACGGATTCTTCGGCGGCTGAGAAACCGGTTTGGAGCGTGTTGAGGGTCAAGTAGAAGCCGGACATGGTGAAGAGCTCGGCGAGGGTGAAGGTGTGGTGGATCTGCGCGCCCAGATGCCGGGTGAGCGGGACGAGCATAGGTCGTCTTGGGGAAACGACTAAACGCACGAGGTAGATGCCGAGGTTCGTGTACTTGTCGAGCACCTGGAGGAACGTGTCCCTGCAGATAGTACCCAAGCGTCAGCCAAGACGGACACTTTCCTGGCGCCTGACATGCGCAAGACGGGGACGACGGCGACTCACTCGCTCTTCTTGCCCTCCTTGTCCTTGCCTGTCCAGTCCAGCCCCTCCTTGACATAGTGCAGCGCCCTCGCGCTCGACACAGCCGCAATCAACGCCCTCCTCGTCACTCCCAGCCCCGTGACGGTTCCACACTGCAAACTCTCACCGATAGCCTCGATAAAGAGTGCTGAGGCGCGCAAGGAGACGCGCGCTGCGAGTGAGAGGGCGGTGACTAGTTGTGCGAGATGCGAGGGGAGGAGGGTCGGCGAGGACGAGAGCTGCGTCCGGATGAGGGACTGGGGGAGGTGCGGCGAGGGAATGAGCGGGAGATAGGGCATCGAGGTTGCCGTCGCCGTCGCGGCATGCTGGACGACCTGCGACGCATCTGGCATCGCTGTGTGCGTACTCTGCGCCTGTGTGAGCCTGTCAGCGCGCCCCTCGAAGCGCTGGAGGAGAGCGACGGGCGCACCTGATGAATGTGGTCCCGTGCACCGCGGGGACAGTTCAACGGAGTGCGAGAGTTGAAGCGAGCGTGCAGCAGTCGTCGACGAGTCTATCGAGCCAGTGTCCAGTCACAAACAGCCACACGAGCGAGGTGTACGACGAAGAGAGAGCGAGAGCGAGTCTGTTGCCCGCGCGGAGCTCCGCGACTTCAAACATGCGCATGAAACGAACGAAGCGAAACAAGCGTTTCCAGTCATTCAGTGACTTGGAACGACGCCTAGTAATACACAGACAACAATGCTAGTCCAACTGGCGGCAGTACAGCCGTCCACGCGCGACCTGCGACGCGCAGAGACGGGGTTCGACGAAGCTGGCGACCAGACTCGCGGCCAGGATTCCGCCAGTGTCCGCGAATCCGACAGCACTGATGCGCTGTACGATCCAGGCATTGTCAGGGCGATCCGGGGGCATCCAGAGGTGAGGGAGGGGCACTCACAAACTCCTTCTCCTGCTCCACCCTCAGCCTGTCCTTGCCCAAGAACCCCTCTTCCTCCTCGTCTTCGTCCTCGTCCTGCCCTTCCTCCGTCGCCAACCGATGAAACGCATTGACGTATGCCGCGCCGCCACACAGGCCCTCGCAGCAGATCAGTCCCGCGACGATCCAAGTCGCGCCGTGTTCGCCGAGGAGGGCGACGAGGAACGAGGTGGATGCTTCGAGGGTCGTGAGGAAGAGGATGACGAGCTGGAGCGCTGTCGGAAGCGGGAGGAGGCGGAGTGGGAGCGGGGGGATGTGCAGAATCGAGATCGAGGAGCGCGAGATGAAGACGAAGGTCTGGTACAGGAGTTGCCAGAGCCTGCGCACGCGAAACCAACATGTCAGCATTAGAAGGCGCGAGACTCGAGCAGCACGCACGGGTAGTAATCTCGTAGTGACTTGATGACAAGCGCAAGGACTGGCGCGTCTTCCTTCGTCGGCACCTTGTACAGCAGCGTCGGCGCGACTCCCGAATTGATCGTGTACTCTGTGTGAGGCGATCGCAGTTCTCAACGCGTCGGCACCAGCCTAGCAAGAGCCGAGAGAAACGCGAGCTCGAATCCTCACTCACCCGCCAAGTAAACCAAAAACAGCGGCACCATATACCTCCTCACCAACGGTCTCGCCAGCTCAATCTTCTCCGCCGTCGTGAGCGCAGGTAAGCGCTTCTCGACCCTCTCTTCGAGGTGTTGCTCGTCTAGCTCTTCTTCTTCGTCGGCGGAGTCGGAGTCCGGAGAGGCGTCGGGGGCGAGAGGAGAGTAGGACTGGGAAGAGGGAGTGATAGAGAAGGGCGAGGACGAGCGGAAGGCTGTCAGAGGCGGGAGGAGGAGGAAGTAGGTTGCCGACATGGCGAGCGGGAGGACCTGCGAGACGAAGCAATTCCCAAACGTCAAGATCCCACCAACAACGCGTCCAGATGACGAAGTCTGCCTATCCGCAACGCACCGAACAGATCAACAGCCCCGTCCGCACTCCCAACCCTCTGACAACCCACCACAACCCGGCTCCTCCAATCCCCGCCGCGCCCGTCCCGCTCGAGAACCACCCCACCGCGGTGCCTCCGTAGTCTTCTCCTCCAGGTGGGGAGAGCGAACCGTACAGAGTCGCTTTCTGGAGGTAGGTCATCTCGCCTAAACCGGAGGAGAAGGAGGCGAGGGCGATGCCGAAGAGGCGGGGGAGGAGGGTCGAGGAGGTCGCGACGATCTGTGTGTCCTCCAGCAAGTCAGTATCGAAGCGGAAGAAGGAAGGAGGGGGAGCGCACGAGGATTCCAGCGAAACTGATCCCGCTACACCAAGCGACCCGTTTTCCGTACCGCGGCGGACCAGGCACAAAGTACGGCCATCCGATCTTGACCAGCAGCGCAGGAGTGATGTTGACGAGTAGGATGATGCCCTATTTCGCGCATTAAGAGAGGGTGAGCGATCGTGTGAGGAGGAAGTGGGGAGGGGAGACGGCGGGAGACGGGCGAAGGGATTCGCGCGCACCTTGGGTGTACTCGCTTTGTCCACCAAGTCCAACGCCGCACTCAGGATCACAACGTAGATCTGTAGAAGCGCAAGCGAGATGGAAGGTCAGCCAACGTCCGTTCCTCCTCCTCCCTGTACACGCCCCGTAGGACGAGATGAGCCGGCTAGAAGACTACTCACTATGTTGTTGAGCGTCCCGAACAAGAAGTTGGCCCAGCATAACCGGTTCCTCGTCCGTCTGTCCACGCCTGCTGATGAAGATTGGGCGGGCGAAAGGTGGGAGCGCATAGGCGGGTATTGCATGCGCTCCGCTCCGGCTGGGTCTTTGCGGGGTGTAGCAGCGCGGAAAGCGGAGAGCGAGCGCAAGTATGAGGTGTGAGCGGCGTGAGCGAGCGGAGGACGAGGAAGAGGTGGTGCCCTCGATCACGACCAACTCTATTCGAAGGGCAGAGCTTCAAAGCGCACTAGTCGACGATTCATGTACATTGCGCACCCATTCCGTCCCGCTCCTACGGCTTCAACTGCATCCCGAGCGGCTTCTCGTCGTTCCAGTTCACGAAAGCGCCGCTCAAGTCCTTCGGTGCCTGCAGAGCCAGACCAGCGAGAACTCCGCCGGGCTGGTGAGGCGGCAAAAGCTCGCCCTTGGCGTGGAGCTGGATGAAGCGGTCGTGGTCGGAGGGGGACATGGTCGTTTTGCCTGTTCCGCCACGGAACAATCGTCATGTCAGCCGCTAGGCGAGATCGTCTAGCCCACGGATTATCAAGTTTGGTAAACTTCGACGAGCAATGCGCTCGTGCAGGAGCTGACGAGACGGAAAGAGGCGAACGCACCGAGTTCGCGGATCTTGGCCTGCATGACCGTGTCGGGCGTCCCTGGTCGGACCGCAACGGTTACGACGTCCTTCTCTTCATTGCCGAGTGTTCGGCCAAGCGAGTTCATGGCGGCTTTGGAGGCGCTGCGAGGAGGGAAGAACTAGTGAGTTTACGCGTTCCCCTCAGGGAGCGCTGGCTGAACCATCTCGGTTCCGAGGGCGCACGTGCAGGGAGCACAGACTCACTTGTACGCCGCCCAGCCCGTCACGCCGCCTGTCGCCGCACCCGAACTGACAAGCACAATCCTTCCCGCTGGCTCATCCTCCTTCAACCCCTCCTTTCCGTCCCTCGACCGCAGGTAGGGCAGCGCATGCGAGATGATCGAGACGAGGGAGAAGAAGTTGACGTCGAAGAGCGAGCGGAGGGCTTGTTGTGCGGCGGGGTCGGTAAAGGACGCGACGGGTCCCAAAGGTCCCATCTGGCCAGCGTTCACTGCGGGCCCGTCGGGGTTAGCAGGACGACAAACGCGAAAAGGCAGCTTGTACGCACGGATGAGCGAGTCTAGTCGGCCAAACGCCTGCATGGCCATCTCGATAGCCGCCTGCTCGACTTGCGAAGGTCAGCCGCGTCTCTCGCCCTCGGGACAGCACCCTGCGCACCTTGTTGTCCTCGTCCTTGCTCACATCACCCTTGGAGATGACGAGCACGCCCGGGTACGTGGCTGCGAGGTCCGACAGCTCCTTGCTCTCTGTCCGCTGGAGTGCGACGACGTTCAAGCCGTTCTTGAGCAGGATTTCGCTGCGGGACAGGCTGACGGTCAGTACAGGTCCTTGAATGAGCTCTGTGTGCACTCACAGGGTCGCCAGTCCGAGTCCCTGCGATGCGCCTGTTGACCCGAGTCGTCATGAGTGGGGACGAGGCGAGTTGAGCGTACGACGGCGCTCGAGCGGGACAGTGGGCGCACCAGTAAGCAGCACAGTCTTGTTGGCTTGGACAGCAGCCATAGCAAGTTCTTCCAGCGAGTGAGCCAAGTTGGCCTTTGCTGTTGGAAGTGGTACAGTGGAATGCAAAATGGTTGCAGGCAAGCTGTTTCGCGATGAGTTTTGGCGCGTGGTCTCGCTCGTCGAGGGCGCACTACGGGGGCTCAGCGAGGTGCAGGCTAACTCGCAGCAGCTTATCAGGCCGGTCTAGCGTCCGCGCCGCTGTCCTGGAGCTGTGAGAGAGTGGGAAGCGGCGGAGGCGGTGCCCCTCGAGGCGGTTCCACAGCTCGCTGGCGGGCTCAGACGGCTTCGTGCTCGCGGCTAGCCTAATGAAACCAGTCCTTCTGGCGCGCCCTGTATCGTCAGATCAGCCCGGGAGGCGGCGAGGGAGCAGTGACCTCGGACGAAATTTGCGCGCGAAAGTGACTCTCGCTGCAACCATTTTGCATTCCACTGTAATCGGCAAGTGCCCTTCGCGCGCGCTTACCTTTTGTTGCTTACCCGCTTACCCTTTACCTCTTAACCCTTCATCACCGCATCACCCCTCCTGGCACCGGCGCGCTGCTGCGCTCTCGACTGCACGGCGCTTGGCATTGTCCGATCGCTTTCCCCTGCGTGCGAATCCGCGCACTCCCGCCAAGGCTGAACAACGGCGACTGCATGGCCTCGCGTTTGCGCTCTCGCACTCTTCCTGATGCAGCCGAGGCGTTGCAAACGACGCTGTGTATTGCTGCACCTTCACGACGACAGCGCGCGGAGCATTGCGCTCCTGTTTCCCGGCGAGCCCAGGCGCCAGACTATTGCTTGACAACGCCCTCCTCGGCGGACGACCGCGTCCTCGGCTGACTACGTCGGACACTCGCGAAGCTTGTGGCCGACAGGCAACGTGCCGAGACGGTGGGACGAGTTGGGTTCGATGCATGCACCGGAGTTGCGCAGCCGTGAGGACATGCGCATAGACGGAGGGGCGAGAAGCGGGTGGGACGGCGGGCGGCGGTGCTTTAAAAGCGGACTCTCCTCGCCTTCCTCTCTCTCCCTCCTTCAACTCACTCGCTCCCTCCTCAACCTCCTCCCCTCTCCGCACCCCGCCATCCTCCTCCTCCTCCTCCTCCTCCTCCGCGTTCCTCTTCTCTCTCGCCCTCCCTCCCTCCCCTTCGCCCTCCGACTCCTCGTCGAGCACCTCTCTTCCTCGTCGACGTCCTCCACGCCGCCCTCCAAGCCGGACTCGGGCGTCAACCGCCTCCGAGGTTCGTCCCCTTCCTCTTCTTGCTTCGCTTTCCAGACACTCACGCTAACCTCTTTGTCTCCGCCCACAGGTCCGCAGCGGGCGAGCAGGATGGACGTTGTCGTCGAGGCGATCCGGCGGACGATTCGGGTGAGTTGGCGCACTTCCTCCTCGCTCCTCCTCGCTCCTCCTCACCCTTCGAACCTCCCTCGCCCACACAGACATTTGCTGACCCAACTTCGTACTGCCCGCAGTCTCTCGACCACCTTCGCCTTCGCAACGCCGATGCCGCTGAGCTGCTACAGGACCGCAAAGTGCGCAACTTCTCGCTCCTCATCCCTCGCGATGCTTACTGACTCGCTTCGTCGCTTGCGCGCAGGCTCCTCCACCTACGACGTCGCCCGCTCACGTTGTCGGCCTCGACACGGCCAGGGACGAGGTGAGTCCGGTTCCGCTCTCTCTCTCGCCGTCTCAACCGGACTGACGCTCTTCCTCTCGTCCGCAGCCTTCGTGTCGCAGCTAGGCGGTCAACAACAACATGTAGATAGGCTTGAGGACTCGTCTGCGGTCAGTTGCGCCTCCTCCTCTTCGCCCGCACCCGAGACTCCGTCGCTCACAACTTTTTCGCTCGCGCAGGTGGATGTTGTACGACCTTCATTTGCCTACCCTTTCGGTGCGTTGCCTGCATTCACGTCACTCCGCACTCGCCGTCGCTGACTCTGTCCGTGCACTGCAACGCAGAGCGACTCGGTTCCTCGCCGCGGGACAGCAGCAATGCTTCGGCAGACGGCAGCGATGCCGGACTGTGCTTCAACGTGCGTGTTGACCGTTCCCTCATCACCGAGTCTGCTCTCGGGCGCTGACAACGTTCGTTCGCGTGCAACAGGGACCGAAGCCGTGGCGACGTCGTGCAGGACGACCCTCGTAACATAACGCCCACCCTTCCCAGGGGCTGGGGGGCCACGCTTCCGCGACGTACCCGTTACGAGGATGACGCATGCATGCACCGAGGAAGGAGAGAGGACGGCGGAAGAGGGCAAGGGTTAAGGGAGAAGGGTTAGGTGCGATTTTGTAGTATGCCGATTCGTAGCTCTGTACTTGCTGAGCTTCGCGCGAGTTGCTTGAACGAGGACAACTTGGCTTCACGCTCGCTCGCCTGCTCTAGCGTGGACTGCACAGCTGCACACTGCTCTCGGCTAGTCTCTGACACGCGCACACCCGCTTGAACCGCGCGCCGAGCGACCCTGCACCGTTTTCTCGTCCGGACGGCCTCAGCGCGTCAGATGGCGGCCACAGCAGCGCAGAGACCGCCCCAGGCTGTTCACACGCTCAGGACAGACACGATGGACGAGGACGACTTCTCGGCGAGGATCCTCGGCGCGACGGCAGGCGCGGCGAAGCCTCTCAGCCTCAAGAGCCTTCTCGAGCAGCCCGTCAAGTTCGCACCGGCGCAGGGGAAGCAGCAGGACGACGAGATCCCGTATGAGCCGATCAACGTCAAGGTGAGCAGGCCGTCACAGCGTGTCCCCGTCGAGTGTTGCCGCAACACCAGCTGACTTCCTCGTCTCAACGCCTCTTTGTCCGCGGTGCTCACAGCCCGCTGCCGGATCATCCTCGCTTCCGAACGGCACCTCTGCATCGACCTCGGCCTCGCCCGTCGCCTCCACCTCGAAGCAACCTTACACAAACGGTCTCCCAACTCCCCCTCCCTCCGTCCCTGTTCCTGCCGCCTCAACCTTCGGCCGCGGCTCCTCCCTCTTCCCTCCCATCGACACCAACACGTCATGGCCGAAGCAATACCCCGTCGGCGCTGGGCTCAACAACCTCGGCAATACGTGCTTCCTCAACTCGGCGCTCCAGGTCCTGCTGCATACGCCGCCTCTGTTGCGGTACCTCGAGTCGTCGCAGCATCCGGCGGAGAACAATTGTGCGTCCCCTGTGCCTTTTTCTCGCGCGACACCGCAACGAAGTCCTCGGAAAGGAATGAAAAGGCTGACCTTTCGCCTTTCCTTGCGCAACGACAGGCAAATGCAAGCAGCAGAAGGACTTTTGCATGATCTGCACCATGCGAGCATGCGCACGGGTGTCGTTCTCCCAGCGTCAGCGAAGCTACGCGCCGAACCCGGTCGTCAGAAATCTGAAGAGTGCGTCCTTTCGCTCTTTCAACGGCCTTCCAGCGAGACTGAACTTGCCGTCTTGAATGTGTTCACAGAGATCGCCAAGCACATGCGGCTCGGTCGGCAAGAGGACTCGCACGAGTTCCTCCGCTTCTCCATCGATGCGATGCAGGCCGCCGCGCTGTACGGCAAGTCTCCGTAAGTGCCGCCTCCTTCTTGCACTCTCGTCAAATTTCGCTAACCTCTTATCGCACAGCAAACTCGAGCAAAAGATCAAAGAGACCACCTTCGTCCACCAGATCTTCGGCGGCCGCCTCCGCTCGCGCGTGCACTGCATCGCCTGCGGTCACAACAGCGACACGTTCGACTCGATCCTCGACCTCTCGCTCGACCTCGGCAATCGCGCCAACTCGCTCAAAGACGCGTTGGACAACTTTGTCAGGATTGACAAGTTGAGCGGGCAGAACAAATACAAGTGCGAGAAGTGCGTACCGGTCTCACGTGTTGCTGAACTCTGGCGGGTTTCTGCGTCGAGGCGTGCTGATGACTGGACCTGTGCGCAGGTGCAAGAAGCTCGTCAACGCCGAGAAGTACTTTGCGATCGAGGACGCCCCGCTCGTCTTGACCGTCCACCTCAAGCGGTTCTCGCCGACCGGTCGCAAGATCACGGGCCAGCTGCGGTACCCCGAAACTCTCCATCTCGGGCCGTACATGTCGAATGTGCGTGCCAGAACGCTCTCGCTCTCGAGGCGGCCATTCTGACCCTTTCGGTGCACGCGCGCGCAGCCCAAGGTCGACCCGTCCTACCGACTCTACGGCATCATCCTCCACTCCGGCGGCGGCCCCCACTCCGGCCACTACACCTCCTACGTCCGTTCGTCGTCCGGCAAATGGCACGACATGAACGACGACTACGTCTCGTCCCTCGCCCGTCCGCCTCTGTCGGATCGCGACGCGTACGTCTTGTTCTACGTGCGCGAGAAGGGCGAGTCGCTCAAGGAAGCGATTTATGGAGGCTTGAAGTCGCCGCCGAAGGACAAGGTGGGCATGGCGCTCGTCAACGTGAACGGGAAGCGGCCGCGCGAGTCTGTCGGCGCACCCGTCGCGCGCGACTCGCCCTCCGCACCGAAACGATCTCGCCCTTCAACCGACTCTGCACCCGCGGCAAGTTCGTCCCCCGCCATCCCGGTCAAGGTCCCCTTCATGCCCGGCGCCGTTCCCGCCTCGTCAGCCTACTCCTCTTCGCCTCCTCAAAACCCCTCCTACGCCGGTCCTCGTCCTCCACCCGTCCTCACCGCCCCGCGCCCCGCTCCAACATCTCCCACCAAACCCTCTCCCTTCCCCGCCCAGACTCACTCGCCGACAAAGACCTTCCAGTCGCGCACTTCGCTGCCTGGACAAGGAGGAGGAGGAGGACAAGGAGGGGGAAAGGTCAGAATCCCGTTGGCGGGGAACTTGCAGCCGAAGCATGAGAAGAAGAAGAAGCACGGGCATCCGGCGGGCAAGTACCTTCCGAAGACGATCCATGGCTGAGCGGTCGGAGGTAGCGCAGGTTGTGTTGTAAGATCAGTGCGTTGCGAGACGAGCTGCGTGACCCGTTCAAGTCGAGGCGAGAGGCTGGAGAGGCTGCCCAACGGTGTCTCGTCCCAGGTAAGCTGGAGCGTGCCTGGGTTGCACGCAGGGCTGTGAGCAAGTAATGCGCCTGAAACGAAAGATTCAGTTGCGCCGCAGCGGGAAGAAGTCGCTGCCGAAAAGTGAGCAAGCAACGAGATGTCGCTGCGTCAGTGGGCCGTTGGCCTCGCTGCTGCGACGTTGCGACACTGTTTGCAAGCCGGGCGAGGAAAGCGGAAGGAAGGGAGCAATTCGGAAGCGAGGCGAGAAGACGAGAGGCTTGTCTCTGTGCGACGGCGACGACGCGCTCGGTGTTGGCGAAGACGGTGCGGCCTTGTGCGAGAGTGACACGATGGTGGGAATTTGCGGCGAAGTGCCAGAACGACGTCGCAGGCGAGAGAGGGAGGGGGCGCGAGGAGAAGGAGCTCGAGAGCTGCACGACTTCGGAGATCCTCGTCGATGACGTCGTCGACCTCGGACAACGCTGGCTCGCCGCAGCAAGATGCAGCAGGACGAACAGAAGCGTCGAGAGGAGAGCGAGCGGTAGTGAGGAGCAGAGCGAGAGGAAGCAGACTCGCTCTGCACCGCCCGCCCGCCCGCTGAGCGAGGCCGCGCCGAGTCTGGTGGACAGATGCAAAGGTTCTTGCTCGACGGAGAGAAGGCTGCCGAACAGGAGGAATCGATCGAAGGAGGATCGAAGGAGGAGAGCGTCTGTCTGCTCGTCGCAGGATAGCTGCTGCTTTGCTACAGATACAGACACTCGCTGCTTGACGGTGGCCACGCTGCCATCCAGCCAGCCAAGCGGAAAATCGAAGCGAGCTCTGGTTTCCTCTTCCTCGCGCAACCTGACGCCGCCTCGCAACCACCCTCCAACTGTGCGACCCGCAAGGTGAGTGGCACATCGACCTCGACAGAGTGCTACAGCGACTGACACGCGCACGCTCACCCAGCCAACGCGCCTCGCAACGGCAGACGTTTCCTTGCCCTCGCTCGGCTCGACTCTCGACCAGCCGGCGCAGGAATGAGGGCCGCAGAGTCGCCTGAGCCACTGCGAGCTCCTGCTCACGGCCAGGAATCGCCGTTCAAGCCACCAGACCCGGCACATGTCGCCGTGCGCGCCGCAGACTCGGTCGCTGAACCTCGCCCGGACGGACTGCGCTCGCACCCCGGTGACGGCGACGGGCGGGGCGGGAACGAGAGTGGTCAGGCTGGACAACTCGGACTAGAGATTGCAGGGTCGCCCAAGGGCATACGAGTGGCAGCGGGCCACGAGCTGGCGCCTTTGGCACGCGAGGCGGACGACGACGAGGGCGAGGAACCGCTCTTCATGGTGCAGAAGCGGACGCGCTCGCTTGCAGGGTCGACGACGAGCTCGCCAGCACGCTCGGATGCCAACACGCCCACCAAGCGCGAGGCGAAGCCGCGACCGGCCTCGTCCTACATTCCGGCGTCGTCCTGGACAACCTCGCTCTCCCGCCTCGCCTCTTCGAACCGCGGATCGACGTCATCGTTGGCATCGTCGTCGTCGCCTTCGAAGCGGCAGTCCAAGAGCGCGGCCGAAGCGGCAGACGATCGCTCACCCCGGTCAAGATCCGCCTCGAACGACGAAGTCGACAGTGCCGCTTCGTCCGCCAACCCTTCGCCGAGCGTCAGTCGCCGCAGCAGCACCGCGAGCACACGGCGCGCGCGGCCCTCGCCGACCCCTTCGTTCCGACACTCGTTGAGGCTCCCGTTCCTCCTTCCTTCCATCCCGGCTTCCCCACTCCCGCCCATCCTCTCGCCCGGGCTCACACGCTCTTCTTCCTCTCCGCCCGTCCTGCCCGCCATCGTCAGCGCAGGACCCATCTCGCCCTCCTGGACGATCGATCCGCCCACCGCTGACCTCGACACAGACCCATCCAAGCTGCCTTCCGCGCCGACGACGACCTCCTCTGCCCTTCCTCGCCCTCCTACACACCCTCCTCCAGCCCTTTCTTCATTTTACTCCCGCGCAGCGACATCAGCTTCAGCGCCGGATCTCTCGCTTTACGCCTCGGTTCCGCCAAGCGACTCCTCCACTTCCTACTTCCCCACCTCGACCGCCTCTTCTCCCCCCGCATCGACCTGCTCGCCTCTACCACTCGTATCAGCAGCAACTACGACTCTCGACGAACCGCTCTCGCACGACCCGGAGCTGCTCGTTGCGGATGCCGAGGCAGTGAGGATCGAAGAGCGGGAGAAAGTTGAGCGAAGGCAGGCGGACGAGAAGCGCTACCATGCGCTTGTTGAGCTCGTCGAGACCGAGCGAGGCTACCTTGAGCACCTGCGCGTGCTCGTCAAGGTGCGTTCTTTCTCTCCCTCTCGTCGTTCGAAGACGCAAGGCGTTCTGTGCCCCACCTCGACCCTCGCAACCCCGACCATCGACCCTCGTCCCGCTTCATTATGCTTGGCGCCGCTCGGTATCCACTTTCGCAGCCAGACGCTAACGAACCTTCTCCTGCTCCGACTCGCAGGTCTATTTCCAGACCCTCCCGTTCCTCACCATCCTCACGGTCCAAGAAGTGCACGCCATCATCCGCAATGCGGAACAGTTGCTGGAGCTGCATGAGCGGATTGGGGAGAGGATTGAGAGGGTTGAGGAGGAGCTGGGGTGGATGGCGGAGGGAGAGGACGAGGGAGAGAGGGCGAAGAGGGCCAGGAAGGCAGCGGGGCGGGTCGCGAGCATCTTCAACGAGGAGGTGCGTCGACTTCCGCGACCTATGCGAAGAAGGTGGACTGACGAAGACTTGTCCGCAGACGCCCAACTTTGCCCTTTACAACGACTTCTGCGCCAGACACGCCGAGGCGCTCGACATAACCCGCTCCATCGCGTCCCGGCAGGAGTGGGAGGCTTTCGAGCGCCAATGCGCTGCCCGAGTGACGGTTGAAGCGGTTCGTCGGAAAGGCGACCGGAAGCCGCTCGCTGCCACGTCGAGGCAGAACTCGATGTCGTCCTTCTTCGGCGCCGCTCATCTCCCGCCCGTCTCTGCGCCGCCATCGTCGACCTCCCCTCTCCCTTTCACCGCCACCCCGCTCTCGACGCCGAGTCACTCCTCCGGCACAGTCCCGACTCAAGCCTCTCTCGCCGCCTCTTCCGTCCCGTCGTCCGCCGCCGCATCAGCCACCGGCACCCGCTCGAAACTCCGCTTCGTCGACTACGCCATCTCGCCCGTCCAGCGCGTCACGCGCTACCCCCTTGTATTCGGCCAACTCGCCAAGTACTTCGCCGACACTCCCGAAGGCGAGGCGGTCCGACAAGCGTGGGAGGGATTCAAGGGTATCGCGAAGGGCGTTGATGCGGCGAAGAGGGCGAGGGAGGGAGAGATGCGCACTCGCATCGTCGCGAGGAGGATGGAGTTCAGCACGCCACTTGTCGGCGGGACCTTCTGCGACGTTCTTGGCCCGACTCTGCTCGTCGGCGCTATGCACGTCGTCCATTCTGGACCGGCATCGACGATGGGCTCGCAGACTGGACCGGCAGGCGGAGTTGGCGGACCGGGAGCGGCGGGACAGGCCGCGGAGGGAGTCAGGGTCAAGTATCTCGGCTGCTTCCTCTACAGGTCGCACCTCGTTATGGCCAAGATCAAGAAGCGTGCGACGTACGAGCCGCGGGAATGGTTACCGTTGCGGCTCTTTACGATCCAGAACATGGAGGACGGTCAGGGTGCGTAGTAGACTTTTCCTCGATGAGTCATGACCATGCTGACCTTGTCTCTGAACCCGCAGGCCCGCTCAACCACAGCATCCGCCTCACCTTCCGTGATCACCACTTCGATTTAGGTGCGCTGTGCGCCGGCGAAAAGGCGGTTTGGCTTTCGCACCTCCTCGCGGCGCAAGAAGAGACGCGACGGCTCTGGGACACGCAAGAGCTGGACGAGCACGGACAGCCGACCTTGTTCGACGATTCTGTCGTCTCGAGCGTGCCGATCTCGGCCACCGCCGTTGTGGAGGCATCGAAGCGCAAGGCTCACTCGCGCTCCGCCAGCACGATCTCGGTCGCGTCGGTCTTTGCGTCGGCCGCATCGTCGTCGGCTTCGACGCCTGCCGTCGTCCACGGACCCTTGCCGGCCCTTCCGACCGAGTTCGCCGCGATTGCAGCAGCAACCAGCGCAGCCGCTACAGCCTCGATACCGCCCGTTCTGTCGACCGTAACACCTCTTATTCCCACTTCGCCGCCTACCGCCGCCCTCGCGCTCATGACGACTCCGCAGTTCTATTCGCCGTCTCGCTTCTCGTCGACCGCTTCCTCCCTCCTCCTCGGCCGCACTCCCTCCTCCCAGCGCGCCGCGGTCGACCTCCGCCTTGCCGACGTCTTCTCCGAAGAGCTTCTCTCTGCTCGCGCTCAAGCCGCGCGAGACGCCGAACTCGAATCTTCGGCCGCCGCCCTCACTGGCAAACGCCTCCGCACCATCTCGGGTCCGAAGCGCAGCATGACGGCTCTCACACCCGTCCTCTCGCAGTCACCGCCCATGCCGTCGACCAGCACGCTCCCGAAGATGCTCTCGGCGACAGGCGGACGTGATGCTCGGCGCCGCATGAGCGCATTCGAGCTCAGCCCAAGCGCGAGCGACCGTGCCGAGTTCCGCGGCGCAATCGGGTTCGATGCGGCGCAGGCGGCGCCGTATCAGCAAGAGTCGCCTGGCGGAGCACTGGGACTTGCAAACGTCTCGGCGGCTCCGGCTGTTCTGCACGAGAAGGAGCGCGGCAGGTGGGCGAACGCGATGCGCAAGGCTCACCGCAGTGGAGGAGGCGGGAGTCGTTCGAGGCCGCCTCTGCCGTCGATCGACACCGCGTTGGCGGAGGCTACGTCGCGCAAGAGGGACAGCAGCGCGGGGCCGCTTTCGGCCGGAGGTAGCTGGACGAGGCGAAGCGGACTCGGGAAAAATAGGGACGCGGGAGGATTGGGAGGGCAGCTGAGGCGAGTTGCGTCGCAACCGTCGATTGAAGCCAGCAGCAGCAAGGTCCCGCTCGGCTCGGTGCCGACCATGCTCGTCCAACCCGACACCCCTCTCCTGCCCGAGACGCCGACTCCGGCCAGCGCGTCGACTGCGCCTCAGCGGACTGCCTCGCCCGCCGCCGATGTCGAGCGCAATAACTCGGTCTCGTCGAACGCGTCGAGCGGCACGGGCACGCAGTCGTCGTCTTCGCACACGCACAGCTCTCACCTCATCGAGACGCCTCCGTCGTCGATACCGCCTTCGCCCGATTTCGCCAACATCGAGCTCCTCGATCCGCTTGCGGCAGCTGCCGCAGTCGGCAAGCACGCCGCCTTCCCGTCTCCCGCGCTTCATGCTCACGGCTTCCCCTTCCCGTCATCACCGCGATGGGCGAACGTCAGTGATGGCGTGTCGAACGTTTTCCGCCTTCGCCGACGCAAGAGCACCCTCGGCCTCGTTCCTCCGGCCGTTCCCTCTCCTTCGACGTCCGACGAAAGCCTCACGGCGCGCAGTCCGACCCTCGCCCCAACCGTTGTCCAGACACCGAGCTCGGCGGTCAAGCTCCAACGGCGCGCTTCGACTACCCTCTCCGGCCTTTTCTCAGCCAAGAAGCGAGCCCAGTCTTCGCCCACTCTCGCCGGACCGAACGGCTACTTCAACTCGCCGAACAATTCGAGCCCGACCTTGCCATTGAGCGGCACGTCGAGCGAGAACTCGAGTCCTGCCAACTCGGCTGCCAGCACACCGGACCAGGCGCCTACAACGCCGGAGGCTGGCGCAGCGCTCGAGCTGGCGGCTGAGCCTTCTCAAAGCGGCGCGACGTCGTCGAGCGTGTCGTCCGTCTCGTCGTCGTCGGTTAGCAAGGCAAAGGAGCAGGGGGCGAATACGAGCGGGAAGGAGAAGAAGGCGAAGTCGGGCTCGTCGCTCTTCCGCAACCGCTCGAGATTCCTCTTCGCGACGCAGCACGGCATGACGCCCCTCTCATGATCACTTCGGTCGGCTTTCGGCACTTTCACTCGACTTTTTCGCCTCCCTTCCTTCGGACCTGGGCGCTGGCGCCATTCCTCCACTCCCACAGACACTCTATCTCGTCGGATTTTGCATTCTTTGCACACGCGCGCCGTATCGCCCGCTGTGCTCACAGACACTCGACTCTTCGTTATTCCCTTGTCCCGTCCCTCGCAGAACTCGTTGCTATTATTACTGGAATTGCCGCAGTCTCCGCTCAGTTTGCGTTCAGCGCGGGAGTGCCGCACACGAGTTGGCGAGACCATTCTGCAACGGCAAAACGAGGAGCGAGCGGTAGAATGTGAGGCGGGGGAAGCAGGCGAGCGACGGGGTATACGTCCGGCTTCGAGTGATAGACAACATGGATTGCACGTGCGTATATACGACAAGCGAAAGGGCATACGAAGGGAGCTGTAGAGCAATCCGGAGAGAAAGCGATACTGGGAAGAAACGAGAGGGAAGGCAGGTTCGACGGCCCGGTCAGACGGCTTCGCCGCGCTCGCCGAACTCTTTCACCGCCGCCTCGAGATGTTTCCTGCAGGCAAGAGCGCGTCAGTTGGTGGGCCAGGGCGAAGAAAGCGCTTGACCGCTTGACCTACGCGAAGACCCGATCCTTGCTCTCCTGCAAAGTCTCGTGGACGACGGTTGATGTCAAGTCCTCATGAGTGTAGTACAGATGAACAGTGTGCTTGAGCTGCGTGGCAAGCAAGCATACATCAGTTACATGGGAAGGTAGCTTGACACGGCGGAAGAGTCACACCAGCTGAAGCCACGTTCTCCCCACGATTGCATGCCGGCAGAGGCAGCTGAACGTAGCCCCGAGGTCGTCCATCGTGCCGATCTTGACAGAGCGAGGCAGCCCCGCTTTGTCGATCAGGGCGGTCACGGCGAGTATCGTCGACGAGTTGATGGAATAGCTGTCCGCCTTGAATGAGGGGCGATGCGCCTCGTCCTGCTGGACGCCGTATCGGTACGTTCTGCATGGATGCCCGAGGATGCGAGGGAAGTGGTCGACCATGTTGCACGTGTCGCACTTGAAGATGCTGTACGCGCGCGACATGATGTCGTCGACTTGCTCGTCGGAGTAGGCATCGCCGGCGCCGGCTGCACCTGGCACCCTGAGCGCTGAAGTCGGGTCCTCCAATCCGGCCGAAACGCCTGTTTGGCCAGCGCCGGAAGGGACGGGGACGGTCGATTCGGTTGCGCGAAGCTGGACGAGTACTTTGTCGAACAGCTCGAGCTTCACAGCGGTGCGCCGCATGACAAGCTCAGCTGCGATGGCTTCCGCCAAGTCGGCGATAGTAGGGGCGGTCTCGTATGCCGCCTCGACCGTGTCGACAGACAGCAGCGACTCGACTGTCTCGAGCTCCATGAACTCGTCCCACCTCGGCACCGGATACAGCCCAAGCGCCTTGAGCTCCGCCTTGTTGGTCGCGAGCTGGCTGAACTCCTTCTTGCGGTCGGCGGTTCGGGCTGACCTCGTCTCCTCCAGGAGGGCGGCGTCTTCGGCGTCGCGCGTCACTTCGAGGAATTCTTCAAGCGGTCCACGAATCTTTGTCCAAGCTGCGTGACCGGCAGAAACGTCAGGACAAGTAGAAAATCGCGGACTCAGGCGATGGCGCACTGGCTTCGTTGAGGTCTTCCACGACCGCGACGAGCGGGTGTCGGCAAAAGTCAGGCTTGTCGAAGCTACGCAAGCCGTGGCCTTGTCAGAGATACATGAGTCGGAATAGCCGGGGACCTACGCACTAGTGAGGGCGCCATCCGAGCGCTTTGAAGCGTCCCGCGATGCTATGGGTCGAATGAGACGTCAGCGACTACTTCAAGCGCGAGACGGCGACCTGAAGCACTCTTGACGACGTTTTTCGACGACCGCTTCGCGCTCCGCCTGTACCTTCGCCGCCTGCGCGAGTTGCCAGTCGAGGAGAGCCTGACCGTCCTGCAGTCCCAACCAATTGGTCAGCAATCAGCGAGGCAGCGATACATAACGCAGTGCGAGAACACACCTTGGTCCTCGCGCAAGCCATCTTGTAGTAGTGCTCGAGCATGCCCGTCCAGTTCACCTTGCCCATGCCCTCGCAAAGCTGATGATCGCATTTGAAGTCGATCGTCGGTGCAGTCGTCTGCTTCTTCTCTGTGGCCTTGGTGCGGAGAGCATCGAGAGTTTGATAGTGCCCCTGAAGATGCTGAAGCTCGTCGACGCGCTGCAGAGGCTTTCCACGCTTGCGCCCGAAACTGTCGCGGCAGCTTTGCGGCGTATGATGCCCGGCGCACTGGGCTTCGTCGTGCGTTATAAGACTGCAGGTGACCTCGGATTAGCATCTGACTCGCCGCGACTTAGCGCGACGGGCTCACACTTTCGCCGAGCACGACTTGCAAGCCCTGATGCGTAGAAAGTAGTCGACGACAGTTGTGCTCTTGCCGCAGACCTGCGTGGGACTGCGCGTCAGCAAAGGCGTCGAACCATCCAAGGAGCCGACGCACGGAGCAGTGCGAACCGAAGAGCAGGTGCGCGAGCTGGTGCGGCGGCATCGGCACCTCGAAGTCGGGCAGCTCGCTCGTCTTGCGAGCATCCTCCCACAGGTGACTGAGCGAGTCGTCGCGGAGGAAGCGGAAGAAGCGCCTGTTGAGGGTCGAGAGGTGGAAGAGGGTCTTGAGGTCGACGCTCTCGCAAATCTGGGTGACGGTCTCGAGCGGCAGCCGCATGAATCCCGACATGGTTCCCTGCATTGAACGAATCAGTACTGCCTCGGACGGGCGGAAGGGGCTGCTCCACGAACTGTTTGGGCGTTCCTCTTCCCGGTGGTTGAACGTGAAGACTTCCCCTGTTTCTTCGGCGGCGCACGGACGACTGTGGCGCAGGCAAGTGGCAGAAGTTAGCTCGTACAGAGCATGGGGGCCATTCGCACAGCACTCACACTCTTCGTCCTCACTGGAACTCTTCATCACTTCCTCCTCGTCCAACTCCTTCTGCACCTTCTGCAGCGCGTCGCGCGCCTTGAGGGCCGTCTTGCGGCTTGCAGCGCGCGCCATAGCAGCCTCCAAGCCCAGCAGCAAGCCCCTAGGCGGTAGCGTCGGTGAGTGGTAGCGGTCTGAGCGAGGAGGAGCGGGAAAGGCGGGGAGATGTCAACGTGAGATGTCAAGGTGAAGTCGTCGCAATAAGCAGCAGCACTGGGGCGTCCTGCATACAGAATCGTTCGCATGACTGCTCTAGAGAGAATCGGGGCGAGCGACGTGAGGCAGGAGCGAAGGACCGCAACTCGCGAGCTCAGCATCCAGGGGTACTACTGCATTACGGAGCGAAACGGCGAGTACTAGGGTAGTTGAGCGTATGCACAAGGACAAGAGACGTTCTAGGGGAAGACGGGAGCAAGGCGGTGCGGGACGAGAGGCGGAACGGCGATGAGAGGCGCAACTACGCGACAACTGCGGCCGGCGCAGGGAACTTTGCGCGGATGCGCTCGAGGAGGATAGTCAGGCGGGGCTCGTTGCCCGTGATCATGTCCTCCATCGAGATGTCGTCGGTCGACGCGAGCGGGGTGATAAAGTCGAAGACTGCAAGGCGAGCAAGTCAGCAAGGCTCCGCGAACACGATGACAGGGCCGCAACGCACCAGAGAAGATGGTGTCGAGGTACGCGGTGTCGAAAGCCTCGCCTACTTGCTGGTGGAACGCGTCAAACTGCCCATCGCTGATGCCGCTCGACTCGCCCGACAGGTTCTCGAGGAGGCGGACGATCAGGCGGCCGGAGCGAAGGGAGGAGGAGAGATCGGTGGCGAGCGGGCAGCTGGAAGGCAGGTTGGAGTTGAGCCATGCGAGCAATTCGGCGTTGGTCGTATCGGACGTTGCGCGCTGCAGCCGGCCGAGCGTTGCGTCCGACTTCGCGTCGGTCGCTGCGCTTGCACCGTTCGATGCGCTGGTTGTCGAATCTGGGACGCCGACAGGTACCTGCGAGAGGAGCAAGTCAGCCTCGACTGATAGCGAATGAGCAGTATAAGACGCACCGCCAGCGGCGTCGTAGCCTCCTTCGCCGTCGCAACGGAGCTCGTCGACGTAGTGGAAGCCTTGCGTGTGCCATCAGGAGCGAGCGAAGGCCGCTTCGAAACCGAGGCGTAGAGGTCTTCGCCGTTCATGAGCGGCGACCCGGGCGCCAGCTCCATCAAGATCGTCGCGTCCTTGTCGGACAATTTGTTAGGATCCCTACCGGCGTACCGCTTCTTCTGAATCTGAGCGCGGCGTGTCGGAGAAGGCGGTCGTGGGTACGGCGTCATTGTCTGCGCGATATCAAGCGGGAGGACCTCGATGTCGCATGACGAAACGACGGGAGCTAGCGGGCATGCAGCGAGTCAGTAGCAGCTTCGAGTGACCATGCACGCGCGGACGCGCCGGAGTAGTCTCGCAGAATCGTCGCCTTCATGATCTCCTTCATCCAGTTGCGAACCGTGATTTGCTCCGCCGCGGCGAAGTAGTGCGGTCGCTCGGTATCGTGGACGATCTTGAAGGCGTACTCGCCAGGGCGAATGTCGGGGTCGGACAGGACGCGGTAGCCGGTCAAGTCGATGACGCCCTTCGCCTTTTGCTCCTGCTCGAGGTGGAATGGGTCAGCTCGGTCCGAGCAGGGAAGGAGCTCGTATACTACGCACCGCCTCGGTCTTGAGGTAGTAGAGGTACACGCCCTTGAGCACGAAGAACCGCATTTTCCACGTGTTGTACTTCTCGCCCCGCTTGCGCATCCAGCCAGAGTGGTCCGGTCGGCCGATCTTGTCCATCAAGTTGCCGTCCGTGACGAGCTCTGCCTTCTCGCGCATCATTTCCTTCGTCGCAGGGTCGACCGACTTGACCGTCATCGCAGTCGGGGCGTCGCGACCTCCGCCGAGCGTCGAGTTTGACGGACGCGAGCGGACAGACTCAACAGCGGTAGGCGATTTCTCCGAGCCAGAGTTGGTGCCAAACGAGCCGAAGAGGCGGGTCGAGCGCTTTGCGCGGTCCTGAAGCGAGGTGCGAGGACGAGGGCGCGGAATTGCGCCGTTGGAGTCGACGAGAAGAGCACTGCGCAATTCAAGCCGTCAGTGGCAGCGAGAGCGGACTTGCACAAAGGGCGACTCACGAAGGAACGCGAGGCGGCGCCTTGCGAGTTCTGCCCGGCAGGCTCGGCAGAGTCCCGAAGAAGCCCGTCTTGTCGCCCGTGCTGCTCTCCCTCGACTGGCTCGCCGTTGCTGCAGGATCGGGACTGTTCGGCACACTCGTCGCGCTGCTATCGCCGCCGGCAGTGCGTTCGGAGGCACGGCGGGAGCTGCGCGGGCGGATGCTGGATGCGATGGAGGGGCGCGTCTTCGCTTTGCGAGAGTCGTCGCCGAGAACGGGAGTAGTAGGCGTGGGAGTGGTAGGCGCGGGCGCCGTCATGGTAGTCTCGGCGATGGGTGGGATGGGAGCGGCGAGAGGAGGGGTCTGAGGAGCCGGCTGTACGGGCGGCGCGGCGTCGCTGCTGGCTGGCTGAGAAGAGCGAAGGTTGGTCATGCTCTGCTGGCCGAGCTGCGGGTGAGATTCGTCAGTAGGGGAGAAGCAGCCGAAATTAGGTGAAGAAACGCACCGACGAAGGCGCCCGCAACGAAGTCGGCGCCGAGTCACCCTCGATGCCAAATCCAGCGAGAGAACTGCCCTGCATGAGCTGCTGTTGCTGCCACCGCAAATGCGGGTTCTGCTGGTGATGCAGCGCCGAGATGCTCGGGCTGTAAGCAAGGCTGGTGGGCGAGTCGGGCTCGTAGCCGGTCATCGAGGGCGCGATGAAGCTGCCGGCGGTCGACTGGCTTGCGGTGAGTGCGCGAGGGGGCTGCGTGCGAAGGCGGAGCTCCTTGATCGCATTGTAGATGTGCACGCGGCGGCCAAAGGCGACGAGGTCGATCTCCTTGAGCATCGCGACGTCCATCTCGAGCAAGACGTCGCCCGAGATCTCGTGTTCTGAAACAGGGGCGAAAGGTCAGCACGTCCGTTTCCTCCAGCGGAGGAGAGATCGACCGCACCCGCAAACTTGCTCAGCGTGAGCTGATCAAAGCCCTTCTGCTTGCCCCACTCGACAACATTCTCGACATTCCAGTTCATCGGGTCCGCTGGCAAATCCTTCTTGCCCGCCTCGCTCGTGCCCGTCGCATCGCCCGAGACGCTCGCAGCAGGAGTAGCGGTCGTAGCTGCGGTGACGATGCTCGAAGAGAGCGGTGCATGGGTGGCGGGAGTGCTTGAGCGAGACTCGGCGGTCGTGGTGGGAGAGGAGGGCTGGACGGTTGGCGCAGAGGTAGCTGGCGGCGTCGTCGAGCGAGGTGCGGCGGGAGAATCGACGGCGGTTGCCGGAGATGGTGCGGAGGACGCGGGAGGAGCGGACGCTTCGACGACGGCGTCTGCGGCCGAAGCAGGAACAGGCGCAACCGAGTGCTCCGTCACAGCCGGAATCGCAGTCGTCTCCGGCTTCGGCGGCGCCGCAGGCTCAACCACATCCGTCTTGAGAGCGGGCTCAGCCTCCTTCGGCACCGCATCTACCTCCTTCTTCGCCTCGTCTACTTCTTTCTGCTCGTCCTTCGAGTCGTGCGAGAGGCTGACACCGGCAATAGCTGCTGCAGTCGTAGCTGCCGCGACGACGCCTGCGGCGCCTGCCGTCAAAACTTCGGCCGCAGTGTGCGTCGTCGACTTGAGTGTCTCGGTAATGGCGGTCGTTGCTGAATGTTCCGGTTCTTGCTGGACTGTAGAAGGCTCCACGGGCGCAGGCGAGCGAGGCGTCTCGTCCCCTCCAACGGGAGACGCTGACTCGGCAGCGAGGATCGCAGGCGTTCCGGCGAGGATCGGTTCTTTCGCCTGCTCGTTCGGGAGAGATGCGGTTTCGAGGGGCTCGGGTGCGGACACGGCAGCGATGGAGCGTGAGGGCTCGGTCGTCGGGAGGGTAGGAGGAGAGGGAACGGGCGGGATGGAAGAGTTGTTCGAGTAAGTCGATTCGGCGTAGATGGAGGGCTGAGTGTCGGCGCGAGGACGGATCTCGGGTCGTTCGGCATCGGGGGAAGTGTGTGCGGGTGTACTGAGGATCTCCTCCGCCTCGGACGTTGCGGGCGCAGGTCCGCCGTTGACTGCCGGAACCGCCTTCTCGCCGTTCGCCAGTCCCGCCTCATCGCTCGACGCCTCAACCGACGAAGGAAGCGGCAAGGGCGCGTCATCCTCATCCTCCTCGTCGCTCTCGTCACTGAGTTGCAACCCCTCAATGAGCCCCGACTTGCGATACTCCCTATACCTCTCCTCATCCTCCCTCTTCCTCGTCTCAGCCCTCTCACGCTCCTCCTGCGCCGCCCGCTCCGCATTCTCAGACACCCTCGCCGCAAGCGCAGCACGGTGCGCTGCACCGTCTGACATGCGCTGAGAGGAGGAGGAGGCGTGGTGAATGCTCGAAGCGGCATCGTCTTCCTCGTCGTCGTCGTAGCGAGAGTGGACGGAAGTCTCGCTTACGCTGTCCCGCCGAGAGGAGAGAAGTGCGAGTCGACCGTTGGGCTCATCGGCGGGTGAGGCGTCTTCGTCGTGGGAGAGGATGGGGGAGGCGGTTGTGGTTGCAAGGACGGGGGTGGGAGAGACGATGGTGTCCGGACCGGCGGAAGAGGTGCCGGCTCCGCCAAAGTCGTTGGCATCCTCGGACGGGAAGAATGAGGGAGGACGAGAAGAAGTGTAAGATTGAGGGAAGAGGCCGATCTCGCCGCGTTCGTTGCGGCCCTGCGCGTGAGTCCAGGTTCGTCAGCACGGGAGAACCTCTAGCAAGCCAGGACACAGCCTTTCAACCACTCCCTCCGCCGCATCGCTCTTTCAAACGAACCCCTGCTCCTCCCCACACCCCTCGCAGGAGCAGCGAACTGACCTGGAACCACCCATCGCCATACTGGTCATCCCTCTCGAGCACGACAATCTTCTCCCCCGCCTCAAAAGTCAACTCGTCTTCGTTCTCGGCCTCGAAGGTGTGAAGCGCCCAGACGACGTCTTCCTTCCCCGGCGCTTTGAGCTGCGGTGCTGCGCGGGCGGTGGGGTCTGCCATGCTCGTGAAGGATGGCAGACTGGTTGGAAAGGGTCGGAGAGTGGGTCTGCCGGCTCAGGAGCGGTCGGTGCGTCGAGGAGAGCCGAGTCGAGATGGAGGAGCTGATGGGGCTAGCGAGTGGGGTTGGCGAGTCGAAGCGGGTCGGGACAGCACAAAAGAGAGACACAGCACTCGAATCGAAGCAAGTCCGAGCTGCTCCTCGCCTTGTAGCTGCTCTCGAGCGGCGGGAGAGTGCGAGTGAGCGGGAGAGCGGGAAGCTGACGTTCAGGAAGGGAAGGGGAGCGGCGGGGGCTCCGTTCGCAGCCTCTTTCCGGATGGAACGATCGCTGGACATTCTCTCGACAATGTACTGATGCTACTGTGGACGAACGCGTCGTTGCAGGAGATGGAGGAGAAGAGGGAAGAGCGTTTTCGTCAACGGCGAGCAGGAATCTCTCCTTCTTCTAGTCCTACCGCGTCTCTGGCGGACTGTAGGAGTGAGCGCCGGCCAATGCTGGGCCCTGTAAGCAAGTAACGAAGCGGAGAAATAGCTGGGGATGCGGCCGGCTCGCGACCGAGGACGAGAACGATGCGGAGTCGGTGGAAAGGCTTGTCCTCCGCAAGCGAAAGCGCTGAGAACCGCGAGACCGCGACGGCGGTACATGCTGGGCACACTCAGCGGACGAGCGGCGGAACAAGCGTTGCGCGTGCGGGCTGAGAGAGTCCTGAGCGACTCCAGGTGAAGGCGGACGAGCGAGTCCAGGCGGGTCGGTGGGTTCCGCCAGTGAAGCCCATCAGAAAAGTCTCTATGCGCTTGGTCCTGTCGCAGCAGCGGCAACCTGAGCTCGAGGAGGCGCAGAAGGGGGAGGACAAGGCGGCGAGGGAGAGGAGGCCGAGTACCGACAGCGATGATGCGCGGACCAGCGAAATCAATCAGACGCCCTCGAGCAGCAGTATGCGAGCCTGCTCAGGCAGCCTCGAAGCAATCCGAGCGATGCGAGTGAGCGGTGTGAAGCCAAGCGAGGAAGCGCTGGTTCGCCCTCGACCCACAAGGCGAGTCGACTTTCCCGCCGCTGGGAGACTTGTCGTTGCTGAGATAGCTAGTTACAGAGCTGTACGGCATGCTGCTCGCTCGACAGATCCGCCCAAGCGATGCTCGCTCGCTAGGACAACCCGCCCATCCCGCCCTCCTTCTCCTGATCAGGTAGTCGTCAACACGGCATCCCAGGGCATGAGACTACCTGGAGGTGAGCAAGCCTCCACTCGACGACTTCTGTACGCAGCGCTGACCCTCCCCGTATCCTGTAGCGCGCGAGGGAACCCTCTGACCTCTGACCCTTGTCCGTCGAGACAACCCTCGCTCCCGCCTCGCCCTCGCCCTCCTGCGCCCGCTCGACCCCCTTCAGCTGAACCGACGCAGTAACACTCTCTCGACCGGGACCAGCGAGTCCCACCGACGAAGGGAAGGGGGGTGGGAGACTCGCTCGCGCGCCGCGCATGCATCCAGCTCGGGACGAAGCCGCTTCTTTCGGCTCGAGGTGCGCCTGACTGGCCTTTTCTGCTCGCTGCGACGGCGGCAACATAGGGACTGGGTCGTCCAGCGGTGTGGGAGACGAGGCGATTGCATGCGTGCTCGAGGCGGTGCGGGGAGGGCGAGGAGGACGGCTCGCTCGCTGGGAGGTTCGCCGGACAGCTGTGGTGGTCTTGTGTGGTCTACACGGGCTCATTGCACGCTCCAGCACTCGTCCAGGCGCCTGTCGCTGGCTTTTTGTGGTTCGCTCGCGGGTCGAAGGACCACTCCTCGGCTGAGTCACGGCCAATCCCAAGAGGCCACCACCAGCAGCGCGCCACACCGCTCGTGGCTGCTCGTGCACGCGCTAGATCGACTCAGCTGGTCCGCTAGGCCCACACGCACACGCTTTCGGACGCGCGCGAGCCAGCTGCGACGCTCGGGCGACCCCTGCTTCGTGTTTGACGGCAGTCCCGGCTCACCACCACAACACGCTCCGATCGGGTCAGAAGTGCTCTCATTGGACTCGGGTACGTCTGTTTGGCCATCTCGGACCAGTCGGGGGACCACGCGAGTGGCGAGGGAGGCCGTGTCCCACCAGACACGTCTTCATCAGTGATGGGCGTTGGACCTCGGTTTGCGCGACCACAACGCATCGTGCTGACATACCGTGTGCGTCGTTGTCTCCGCACGACCCACAGCTACCGAACGAGCACCATCGCGCCCGGCGTCCGTCGCTGTTGACCGCCCAAACCGGCCCTCAACCTCGACCACCAGGAGGAGGCGTTCGTTCGCCTACCCTTTCGCTCCCGGACGAGTCGTCCCGCGCATCGAGTGCGCGAGACCGCTCTCTGTGAGCCTCGTCGCGCGCAACCATGGCCAAGGGTTCGGGGCGGTTCCGCAACCGCAAACTCGGCTTCAAGACTCGAATCAACGTTGCCGTCGGCGTCGTCATCGAGGATGACCCCATCGACGCCGACTTGGACATCGAGGACGACAAGGGCCACAAGGGCGTCGAGACGGGCGTCGACAAGGACGAGGAGGGCGAGTTTCACCTCCAAGCCGTCATCGCTTCGTCCGCCGCTGCAGTTGCCCAGTCGTCCGCGTCTGGCTCGCGCGCCGACAAGGGCAAGAAGTCTGAAGCCTACATTCCGACGCGAGCGAGCGAGACGATTCCCGAAGACGAGTACCGCGCGCTGTACAAGCCTGGATGGGTCGACCCGTTCTCGTACATTCGCTTCTCCGACACGGTCGAGGACGCCATCAAGGGCGCTGTCAACTACACGATGGACGAGGACGACGAGGACTGGCTCGAGGACTACAACGCGCAAGTCCAGGCCGGCTCGAAACCCAAGGCTTCGTCGTCCGAAGCCGACCCGAGTGCAAGTCCGTCCGGCCGCGGCGCTCGCCACAAGGGCAAAGGAGTCGACAAGTCTCCTTCCGCGCCCGCTGCGTCGACCTCTGCCGGCGGCGATTCCTCCTCCAGCCCGACCGCGCCTCTGAGCGAAGACGACTTTGAGCTCATCATGGAAGTCTTCGAGACGGTGACGGACCAGAAGGCGCCCATGGCGCACGTCAACATCAACCTTCTCCCCTCGCTTGACGACTTTGACGCCGCTTTCGACGACCCGCTACGACCTAGTCTCGCGAAACTCAAGTCTCATGCGAAGGACGTCTACTCGCATTGGAAGCAGCGACGAGTGGAGCGAGGTGGCAAGGCTGTCTTCCCGCAACTTGACGTGCGTTTCATTCTCGCGCGTCTTCGCCTCCGCCGTGACTGACCCTCCTCACCTCCACGCAGTACGACGAGTCGAACGAGGCCAATCCCTACGTTTGCTTCCGTCGCCGCGACGTCAAGACCGCCCGCAAAACTCGCCGCTCAGACCAACAAAACCTCGAGCGCCTCGTCCGGCTACGGAACGATCTGTACGCCGCGCACGCGCTGATGGTCAAGGTCCAGGAGCGGGAGCGACTCAAGCTGGATGCGATCGAGCTTGAAAGGAAGATCTTTGATGGACGGTGCGAGATGAGGGATTTGAAGAGGAGGTTGAACGAGCCGGATGGAGACGAGGATCTGCTCATCAGTCGGAAGGAGCGCAAGCGGAAGAGGGACGACCAGATGGCTGGGTGCGTTGCGCTTTCTCTTGCTCGTCTATCTCGTGTTCTGACACTTTCCGTGCAAACAGTTCGCTACGGATTCCGCTCGGCCGCAAGGCGGAGAACGCCCTCTCGCCCAGCAACCTCGTCCCGTCGCTCGAGGAGCTCCAAGCGCGCAAGCAGCGCAACGAGGCGATCCTCAAGCAGATCGAGCGCGACCTCGCTCGCAAGCGCCAGGGCGACCAGTTCTGGGACGACTGGACCGACAGCGCCTACGTCGCACGACCGCCTCCTACGCCCGCGCGGTTCTGGCGGACGGTCGAGCCCGTGCCGAATTCGGTGCCTTTCAGCGGATCGGCGGGGCGGAGAGAGGCGCTTGGGTTCGCGACGCAGTATCAGCCGCCGCTGGGACGGGTGCGGACGAGCTTCCGCAAACGGGTTGGACGTGGAGGGCGGATCCTGCTTGACCGGATTGGGCCTGCACGGCGGGACGGCGAGCCTCCGTCGGCGAAGCGGCGACTACCACCGGCGAGCGACGGCGAGGAGGGCAGCGACGGCGCGGAGGAGGACGAGTGGCTCGAGCGGCGGCGGCGGGAACGCCTCAAGTACGACACGGACGTCGGCCTCGACTTTCCGACAGCCGACGAGCCGACCCTGCTCGACGACTTCGAGGTGCAGTACCTGATGCGGCGCGTCGCGCTCATCAAGCCGCAAGACCTCGAGCAGCTCTCGGTCGACTCGGCGTACCTCGAGGAGGCGTTCAAGTTTGTCGCGCAGGATCCCGACAAGCATGCGCCCCCGCCTGTCACCTACGGTCGACCACCGCCACGCCCGCCTCTGCAGATGGCGCCGGCGCAAGCGGCTGGTGCGGCGCTCGGTCAGGCTGCTGGAGCTGTCGGCGCCCAGCTCGGCAAACCCAACAACGCCGCCGCATACGCTCAAGCTCAGCAGCAGCTCGCAGCGCAGCAGGCCTTCCGTCTCGCTCAGCAGCAAGCGGCGCTCCGCAAGTCGCAGCAGATGGCGGCAGCAGCGGCAGCGGCAGGTGGAGGAGGCGGCACGCCCGACCAGATGCGGCGGACGCCTTCGCAGGCTGGCTCGCCTCACAACTCGCACTCGCCGCTCGCGAACGGGATGGCGCTTCCAGGCGGACCGGGCCAGCTCACCATGAACGGCGTCCCGGCCGGCTTCCAGAACCACCAGCTCGCCTCCCCCATCGGTGCCAACGGCCTGCCTCTCCCTCGCGTTGGCCCGAACGGTCTCGCGATGAACGGCGCCAACGGCTTGCCCGCCACGTCTCGACTTTCCGCCCCGCCCTACTCGAACCCGCAGGCGCTCCAGCTCGCGATCCAAGCCCAGCAACAGCAAGCTGCGGCTGCCGCAGCCGCTGCTGCCGCCGGAGGGTCCCCGTTGGCGCTCCAGCAACTCCAGCAAGGTCGGCCGATGTCGGCGAACGGTCTCGCGCAGGGTAACCCGTCTCGCCCAACCTCTGCCGCCTCGTCTCACGCCGCCATCTCGCCCCACATGGGCGGGGCGACATCGCTCCCGCCCGTCGGACCCGGCGGCGCGCTCTCGCCGTCTGGCTTGCGCGCAAACGGCGGTCTCGCGACGCCCCCGCCTGGTATGGCCGCGAAGCGGTCGAGCCCGATGGGTCCTGGCGCGGTCAATGGGCAGTACGGCATGCACGTTGGCGCTCAGGGGATGAAGCCTGGTGCGCAGGCGCAGTACGGCGGCTTCGTCCAGGGCTGAACGCGACGCCAACCTCCCTCGCCTTCCCCTCTTCCCTTCCTCCCGGTCTCTCCCGTCTCTTTCCCCTTTCTCGACGACGACAAAAAGAACAAAGAAGCAGTACTTGCGTTTTACCCATTCCCTCTTCCCTCTCCTCGCGGTTCTCTTGGTGGTTCGTCCTCGCTCGCCTACCGAGGCGAGGCGAGGACTCGACGGGACCTGGCTTTGCAGCTCGTCCCCGTGTAGCTCTTGTATACTCGCTCTGCTCACCAACTCTGCAAACTCTCGCAATTGAAGCAGTCTCTCTCTCGCGATTCTCCCTGTCTTTCGCCGGACGCGACGCGACGAAGTCCCCGCAGCCAAACAACACAACAAGTTCGCCTTGTGGCTTCTCGCTCGTCTTCCGTCGACTCGCTAGACCTTGCACAAGCTCACACAGCCCACACACATGCTCGCCGACATCTCGAACCAGCCAGCGCAGCACCCGCTCGCGGCACCGTCGTCGCCCGCCTCGAAGGCGCCAAACAAACGCTCCCTCGCACTCGCACTCAGCTCTGAGGGCGATGCGGTGTTGCCGACCCAGCTGAGGATCAAGAGGCAGTTCTGTGCGTCCCTGAGCTAGTCGGACGAAGCGCAGACGCGAGCTGACCACCTCGATATCCTCCTCCTCGCAGCTTCGACGTCCTCCTCGTCTCCCGCTCCAGGTGCAGGGTCATCCTCCCCCTTCTTCCAGCGCTCACACCTCGACACCTTCTACGCCCCAACATCCCCCACCTCGTCAACCTACGAGAAACACCCTCTCTCGCCCGTTCGTCCTGCGCCTTCAAACGCATGCACTTCGCTTCCTCCTTCGTCGCCTTCGTTCGGGTTGTCCTCAGCGACTGCGCTGGACGAACTCGTGAAGGTCTCCTCGGTTCTCGCCTCAGAAGCGCCTGCCGCGTCAGCTGAGCAGAAGAGCGACCCCGGCCTCGAGGCACCTCGAGTGGTCCATCTCGAACGCGACACGGTCCTCTACTTCGGTCGCAAAGCGAAGAAGGCGCTTCCTCGCTCTCCTCTCCAGCACGGCGCGAATCGCCTGACCCACGTCCCCATCATGCTCCCCAAATCCGCCAAGAACGCTTCGCGGATCCACTGTTCCGCTCGGATCGTCTCTGCACCTTCTTCAAGCCCACGCGTGCAAGTGGAGATCCGCGTGACGGGTCAGAACGGGATGAAAGTTGATGGGAAAGTGAGGAGGGATGGAAGTGTTGTGAGGCTTGAGAAGAGGGCGGGCGAGAGTGTCAAGTTGAGGTTCTGGGGGTGGGATGCGCAGTTGGTTGTTGCAGAGTCTGAGGCGGAGATGAGGAGCGACGAGGGCTCGGATGGCGAGTTGGGTGATTTGCCCAGCGAGGTCGAGGAAGAAGAGGTGGACACCTCGGCTCGCTCGAAGCGTCGCTCTCGTCCCGCTTCTCGCGCCGTATCGCCCGCCCTCTCGTTCTACAGCGACGACCACGGTCTCTCGCCACAGCAGCGCCCCACCCTCTCCCTCCCTACCTCCTCACCTCTCTCCCCTCCTCCCTCGCTCCCTCGCTCCACACCCTCCGCCTCCTCCGCGCGCGCCGCATCCCTCACTCGCTCTCTCAATCTCGACCTCCCAGGGCTGGTCGCCTTCTCGATCGTCTTCCACTCGCGGTCGACAGTCGCAGTGGACGAGATCATCCACGCTTTGTTGCGCGAGACGGGGAGCATGTGGGACGTCCTTTGTGACCAGGTTGAAGAGCTGAAGGATACGGACGAGGGGGAGCGGAGGGCAATCGAGGCGTGGAGGCGAGAGGTAGAGAGGGTGTTGGATGAGGAGGAGATGTTTGGCAAGATCGACAACACGGGTCTCAAGGTGCGCTTGCCTCCTTTCCTCTCTTTCAATTTCATCACCTCCAATACGCTCGCTGACGCTCTCCTCGCTCGGCCCGGCGCAGGACGCCTCCGGCCACCCGCTCCCCCCCTACTACTTCTACATCCCCGACTCGGACCCCTCCCCCGACCGAGTCGCCGCGCTCGAACCGTTCGTCAAGCGCGTCAGGGGCGCGAGGACGAAGAAGCAGGCGAGGTATTTCTGGGCCAAGCCGAGTTTGAGGAGGAATCGGTGAGCGTGCGAAGGGGGAGGGGTGTATGTATCGTTTCGCATTTTGTGCTGTTGGGCACGGACGTTGGAATTGCTTGTACGCTCGAGTGGAGCAGACATGGCGAGGAGAGCGTTCGCAAGCGTTGACCTTCCCAATCTCACTTCGACGAGCTTGCGGGCGCTTTGCTGGCTTTGCGATGTCTCCTCTCGCTCTCTCGCTTCTTTCATTCTTCGATGCTCGTCGCTGCCAGCCCAGGAGAGACGTTGCGAACGCCCCGACAAGACTCGACGGAATCTCTTTTCCTCCTCCCCCTCCTCGCGGCTCAGCCTCCTCCGCGCTCAGACTCATGGACCGTGCCAAGCGACGAAGCGATCTGCGGACTGTGCGCGGCGGGGCACGACTTGACGAGGCGGCCCAGAACAGCGGGAAGTCAGGGTGCTTGGTGCTGCGACGAGTCCGAGTGCGAGGGTGCGAGTTGGGCGGGTCGTTCGCAGGTTCCTTTGCGAGTGTATGTATTGCGCCCAATGGCACAGCATAGACCGTGCGAGGTGAGTCGCGCTATTTTCGCAGTCCTCCGTCGTTGGGTGCCAAGACTTGATCGGGGATTCTCTCGTCGCCTCGTCCTTGGTCCCGCTCGCTCTCCTGCTCTCTTTCCCTTAGCCATTGCACTCGTACACAAGCTACTTGACACTCCCGGAGACACGCAACACCCAGCAAGTCCCGCCTCGACGCACACTCACTCCTCCGTCTCCCTCTCTCTCCCCGATCGCAACTCCGCTATACTTGGCACGACCCGCAATGCCTCCCGCGCCCTCGCACGCCAGCCAGCCCCTCGCCAGCACCACAGACACTCTGGCGACACACACAGCCGACCCCTCGCTCGAGACCGTCGCCGCACAGGCAGTCGCACCCTCGCACCAGCCCGTCGCAGCCGACCAAGCCTTGCTCACACCGAGCCTCGAGGCGATTCTCGCCGCCTTCAACAAGGACGGCAACGGAGACGGCGAGTTGTTGAAGTTGATCGTGCAGGCAAAGGCAAAGGAGGACGAGGTGCGTTCCCACAGACTCGCCCTTCTCCTCCTCGGAATGCGCCAAGAAAACCCCACTGACCCGCGCCTCGTTTCTCTTCTCCTCTGGGTCATTGCAACCAGCGCCTGGCCGCACTGGACGTCTTGCGGACGGAGCAAGTCCGCCTCGCGCAGACGTACGCCGTCGTCCACCTCTACCAACAGCAAGCCCAAGTCTTGGCGCTCCAATCGACCCAGGCGCTCAAGGGCCCGCCGCCGTACTCGCCGCTCTCTCCCCCGCCGTCAGACTACAACACCAGCGCCGGCTTGAAGCGCGGGAGGACGCCGAGCGACGCATCGACCGCGAGCGAGGCGTCGGCCAAGAGCAAGAAGGCCAAGACCGCTTCGGCTGCCGGTCCTCCGCCCGCTGTCGTTGCAGCCGTACCGCCAGCGAAACCAACACGAGCAGACGTGATGGCCGCCCTCCGCTCCAAATGCGAGGCGAACCAGCGCGCCCAGCAACAACAAGTCTCTCACGCGCGCACCTCTCCCTCACTCTCCCCACCCCTCCCTTCCACTCCCTCGACGCGGCGCCCGACGCCCCCTAAAGCCTCCTCAGCCCGTCACACGCCCTTCCTCCGCCCCGCCGCTCCTCCCACCTCCTCGACCTCTCCTCCCCCTCTCCCCGACTCGTCGTCGCGAAACAAACTCGCCCTCCTCCTGCATGCGAGCGAGTCGTCTGCTGCGTTGGCGCCCGATTGGCATCCCGTGCATGTCGCGACGAGCGATGTGCGCGGCGAGGGGGGAGAGGGACAGCCGAGGCAGGCGAGTGTGAAGGCTTGATGGCGCTTTTTACTCGGTCGCGAGTTGTATCACTACTTGTCGTTGGTGTCCATCTGTCTCTCTTGTCTCTCGCGGTTCGTTCGTGCGCATGTTGTCGTTCATACAGATTTCTCAAGCTTCGTCACATCCCGTTGTTTCGCTAGTACTGAAGCACACGCCGCAATTCACAAGCAGTCGCCTTCTCCTCAGCTCGTGACAGATAGAGAGAACAGAGCGAGGACGGAACTCAGAGAAGGTACCTCCACCTCTTCTCATGCTCCTCCTTCTCCCGCTCCTCGCTCGTCCCGGCTCCCTCTTCGTCCTTGTCCATCCCTTCAACGCGCTGCTGGCGATAATATGCTTCGCTGCGACCGTACTCCAATCCCTGCACCTTCGGGTCCACGAACCCGTACATCGCGTCTCGGCGTCGATTCTCGCGAACCAAGATCCTGCGAATCATTCAGTCGCGTTAAGTTGGTGAGTATGTGTGCGCTGAGGATGAGTATGAGCGGACGTACAGACGGAGGAGGGAGACGAGGAGGGTGACGAAGAACATGAAGGCGCAGCAGATGGCCATGCCTTTGTGGTAGTATGGTCTGCTCCGCCATATCCCTCGTGTGTCAGCACGATAGACGGGTACGGGTCGGAGAGAGGGAGGAAACGGCACGCACCCCTCTCCAGCCGGATACAACCTAGTTCCCAAGAACGGTCCGCACTGTCCGACAAGATTGAGCAACAAGAACCCTGCTCCGCGTTTCGAGTCGTCTTCGTGCATCGAGGCTGTGAGAGGGAGGAGGAGGCCGATGCAGGGGAAGATTCCGCAGGCGCAGAGGAAGATGGCGAAATAGCTGCGCGCGCGCACGTCGGTGAGTGACGGAGGGCATGGAAGTGAAGGGAGAGAGGAAGGAGACGAACCGGACGCCGGTGCTGGTGACGAGCGCGAGGAGGAGGTACCCGATCCCTCCCAGCATCGAAAGCGGGATCAAAAACGCCGTGCGGTCGCCTACGCGGTCCGACAGCCAGCAGACACCGACGACGACAAAGAACGAGGCGAGGTACGGAGGGGCGGAGAGGCCTTGGGCGCGGATCGAGGTGAAGCCCATGTCGGTGAGGATGGTGGGGAGGAAGACGGGGAGGGAGGAGTAGGAGACGTTGCAGGAGAAGTAGCAGAGTCTGCGCGCGCGCTCGTCGTCAGGATGACAAGCACGACGAGCGGAGAAGCGGAAAGGACGCACGCGGTGATGTAAGCCTTTGGGTCTCGCAGCCCCTTCCAAACATTCCTCATCTTCAAGCCCCCTTCCCTCCCCGTCTTCCCATCCCTCTCCGTCCGTCTCCTCGCAATCTCCTTCTCCCGCGGGCTGAGGAACCTCGCCTTTGTCGGTCGATCAGGGAGGAAGAAGAACGCGACTGCGGCCATGGGGATGGCAGGTGCGCCTTCGATCAGGAAGAGCAGCTTCCAGACGGGTACGGAGGAGTTGTGGATGTGCGAGATGCCATAAGCGAGGGCGCCGGCGTAGCACGAAGCGATCGGGGCGGCACCGAGGTACAGTCTGTCGAGGCGAGTTTAGCGAGGTCCGTAGTGAGGCGGAGCGCGGGACTCACCCTTGGCGGAAGCCGACTTCGCGACGAGAGTAGAAGAAGGAGAGAAAGAAGGTGACGCCCGGTGCGAAGGCTGCGAGCGGCAATGTCAGGGTTGTGTTCGAGGAGCAAGCACTTGATGACTTACCGGTCTCTGCGACGCCGAGGAGGAGACGAAGAGCCATCAGGCCCTCCCACCTAGCCGCCGCTTGTACTGCAGGACGTTGGAGGTCGGTCAGTACGAAGAAGCGAAGGAGCCGCGCGAGTCCGAACGCACGGAGAGCAAATCCGCCCCAGCACAGTGTGAGGATGGCGACAAAGACGTGAGGCGAGAGAGCCTTCCACAGAAGCGTAGTCGGCTGCCCGAGGGCATAGCCAATATAGAAGATCTGTTCGTCCGGGAGAAGTCAGCTCCAGCCTTCTCAAGCGGGTCTCGAGGAGGACAGACGCACCGTGAGGAGCCACTGGTACTGTCCCGACGACATCTTGAGACTCTTTGACATTCCTGCGGCATTCGCGTCTGCGCGGAGGACGGAGACGGCGTTAATGGGACCGAGACGAAGAGGCGGAGCAGCCTAGTCTGCGCTAGTGTGAAGGTGTAAGGGTATCGAACGGGGATCGTGACGTACTGCCGATGTCTGCGAAGGGTGGTAGCGTCGCTATGTGAGCAATGTGACTGCAAGGAGGGAACGAGGAGGACGTACTGCTCCGATCGAGGAAGGACAGCCTGCAGGTCCGCAACGGGGGTTCTCGTCAGCCTGAAGGGCGTCCGGACACGCAGCACAGCACGCACATGAAGAGCGCCCAGAGGAGCGGCATCAGCCTCCAGTCAATCTTCCTCACGATGCGCTTCTCCTCCTCCGCCGTCCAGGTGAGTTCTCCGTCTGATCGTGCGCCATGGTCGTTGTGCGCCGAGTCCTGCGTCGACGAGGCGTACGAGAGCTTGCGGTCGTCGAGGGTGCCGGCGGCAGGTGGGGACGACATGGTGGTCGTGCCGAAGGAAGCGAGAGCCAGAGGATCCGGCCGAGAGGAGGGAGGGTCGCTGGCTGGGCGGGTGGGTTCGTCGGCGTGTAGCAGGAGGACAAGAGACGTCGATGCGAGTGAGCCAGGAGGAAGAGAGAGCGTTGGAGTCAAGTGCGCGATTTTAAGGCGGAGGACCAGCCGGGACTCGTGCGGGGGTCGACGACGGCCGGCAGTGCCTGGGTGAGGCTCAAAGTTGGACGGACGGCGTTAAGAGAAGCGCACACACAGACGGATGGCAAAGGCAGCGCCAGACTCGAACACTGCCCGCGTCGTGAGCGCATCCACCTCGTCCTCATCATCCGCGAGGCAGGACTGACAGCCAGCGGTGATGCAGGCAGCAGCACTGACGGCCCAGCTCATCCACGAGCTCGTCGTCGACATCGCAGTCGAGGAACACCGTCTCGCCCTGCTCAGGCGGGAACGAACAGCAGCGTGCGTCCGCTTCCTCGAGGTCGACGAGACGAGGATGGACTGATGAAGCTGACGGTTCGGATCGACCACGCGCAGGGCTCAGCAGGCTGGGCTGGATGGAGCACTGAACGGTGCAGCTGGTTCTGGCGCAGCGAACGGCGCAGATGCTGGCACGAGTCCGGTCAAGAAGGACGAGGGACTGTTCGAATGCCTCGTCTGCTCGAGACAGGTGCGCAGGGGGGTTCTGGCTTGCACGGGAAGATGCGCTGATGGTCTACGAGGTATTCAGATTGCAGCGCCGCGGTATGCGAGCCATCTGAGCGGCTGCATGGGGCTGGGAGGATCGCGGCGAGGAGGAGAAAGAAGGGCAGCGGCGGCTAGCTCGCGCGCAAACGGTGCTTCGAGGTGCGTACCCAGTCTACAGTCTGCTGTGAGCGGTCCAAGCTGATCAGCTCGACCGTCGACGCAGGACTGGCTCCGTCGCGAGTTCGTATGGGTCGGACAGCGAGAACGGTTCGTTCTCTCCTTCCTCTACTTCGCCTGATGGATGCTGACTCACTGCGGACGACAGCCAAGTCGAACGGGATCAAGCGATCCGCGACTGCATCTCCTGCGAACGGCGCTCCCAAGCCAAAGAAGCCGAAACCGGCTCCTCGTGCGTTTCTTTCCTCCGTCTCCTTTGTACGCCATTGACAGTAGTCTTTGCACAGTCTCGACACCCCACGGCATCTCCTCCCCCTTCCAGCCACCGCACACCGGCTCCCATCCCCTCTCGAAAACCATGTCCCTCCCCTCCTCCCCTCTCGCTCCATCCCCAAGCGGCCACACAACTCCCCAACCTCTGCGCACACCCGGCCTACCCGCTCACTCACCGCTCCCGCTCGACGCCCAAGCTCCGGCAATGCAAGCACGCAAGTCTCTCCCAGGCTCGATGGGCATCCCTCCTCCCGCCGCTACGAAAACCCCTCGCGTCGCGCACCCACTCGCGCAGTCACAGCCTGTTGCAGCGCCTCGAACACAGCAGGCAGGGTACGACCCTGACAGACCTGATAGCGACTCGGAGAACTCGGACGACGAGTTGGTCGTCGTGCCGCCGAAGGGTCAGAGGCAGCCTCAGCCTGCGCAGAAGATGCCCAAGGGTGCGAACGGTGCGCCAGCGGGACCGGGAGCGGGACAGGCAAAGGGACAGAAGACGCCGAGGAAGGTGCCGCCGCCCGGAGGACGGAAGGCGGTTGCGAGAGGTACGTTTCAATCTTCGTTCAGACGTGTGCAGGAGCTGAAGAACTCTCTTGGCAGCTGTCGCCGATTCTGGCTCAGAGAGCGATGACGATGCGTCGGCTGGATCCGACTCAGACTGACCGCCCTTCTCCTCTCGCTCGCACACTGTTCATACCGCTCGTGCTTCCCTGTCATTCTCCCTTGCATTCTCGCATCCTTGCATTCGTTCTCTCTCCATCTGCCGGATGTTCAGCGAGAGAAACGCGAACGATAGATGCAAGTTGCGAGTAGAGAGGAGCAAACAACAACGGTGGTCAAGAAGGAAGCGAACGCAACACGAGCTATGGATATAGTAGAAGAGGGAAGCGATTAGGCGACGTCGTCTATGCGCGATAAGTAAGTGAACTCGGCCCGCCTCTTGCCCTTGCGGTCCCTCGAACCCGCCCTCGGGCCATGTCCATTCCCGTTCCCATTCGTCACCCGCCGCTCTTCCTCTTCCCGCTTTTCCTCGACATCCTCGAGACTCGCTCCCGCCGTCTGTGCCTCGGCAACCCACCCGCCATACTTGCGCGCCAAGTCCTTCGCAGCGCCGTAGAACGACAGTCGAGCCTCGAGAGCACGCTCGAGGTGGTGCCGCTGAGTAGCGAGGGGCAAGTCGTAGCCTTTGTAGCGGTGGTAGTCGTGGCGGATTGGGTGGACGGCGAGGATGGTGGAGAGGAACTTGAGACGGGAGATGTTGTAGTCGAAGAGGGCGAGGATGGCGTCGAGCTACGAGACCCACGAGTCAGTACGGCAGCTAGCGAGGGAGGTCGTGTGTGTGCTCACCTTGGACTCGATGACGTCCCACACATCGTCCGCCTCCGGCCTGTTCGCATCGCCATCAATCTCCTCCCAGACGTCCGTCCGCTCCTTCTTCGCGACCACCTTAGCAGCCGCCATGACTGCCTTTGCACCCTCCTGCCCAACGCCCTTCGCCGGTCCCTCCGCCGCATCCGCCCTCACACCGACACTCACGACCCCCTTGAGGTCCCTCGCGCCGAGCCACAACCTCCAAAGCTCGAGTCGCTGGCGATCGATGCGCGCATGAGCCTTCAAGACGCCCAGCACGCGCCGGTAGTTGATCTCGCGGACCGCGTCGCGCCAAACCGGTTCCTTCGAACTCGCCTTCTCCGTCCCGCATTCGCCGCCATCGAAAGTCGCGGCAGCTTCCATCTTGATTCGCTTGAAGGCGAGGAAGGGGTTGCGAGGGTCAACTTCGCCCACTGCGAAAGAGGCGGGAGAGACTGAATCGGCGAAGAGGGCGGCGCGGCGTTTCGAGCTGAGAGGAAGGGCGGCGCATGCTGTTCGAAGGTCGTGAATCGCGTCGAGAGAGTCGACATCGGGACAGCTGTGCGGGCCGAGGAATTCGTCTTCAGCTGTGTCGGGTAGGCCGACAACTTCTTCGGGCTTGGTGAGTGGGAGGACGGGTTTCGGGCGGTAGACGCGCGTGCGGATCCAGCGGCGCCGACGGACGAAAGCGCGGCCGAAGACGGCTTCGCCTCGCCAGTATTTGGAGCGGAAGCGGACGGCGTAGGACCAGCCTGCGAGAACGAGTGTGAGCACGAGGTGTAGCGGAGAAAGGACGAAACGCACCCTCTTCGTCCTTGTCGCCGCTCATGTCAATCATGAACTCGCTGTCTCGCCAGACCCAGTACGGGCGGCAAGGGAAAGTGTGAGGGGAGAAGGGAGAGGGTCTGCGAGTGGAGTTGCGTCAGGAGAGCCTTCGTAGGCAGGAGGGGCGACGACCCACTTGAGCGAGGCGTCGCACCACTCGGGCGGGTCGACTTGGAAGAGAAGGTTGGCGGTGAACTTGGGCAATCCGAAGACGACCATGCTGCGAGGCGAGGTCATGAGCTGCGACAAAGAGGAGGGGAATAGCGAATCAACGAACCCTCGCTGATGCTCCCACAGCACGTCGCACTCGACCTTGTCCTCCTCATCCTTGATCACACCCGCCTCTTTCAGAGCCTTGGCGATGTTCATGTCGAGCTCAGCAGACTCGCCGATATGCGTGTCGAGCTTTGTCGTGCGCCTCTTCTGGCCGTGCAGATGTTTCCGGCCTGGAAGGTGTCGGTGTCGCTGGCGCAGGAATATGCCGCCAAGTCGGCTATCGCGGCGCGAGAGACTATCGATGCAGTCATCGATCGTGAGAGTCCGCGTTGGCGCTTCGAGGGGCGGAGAGTAGGTCGACTCGGGAGGAGAAGACGAAGCGGCCGAGTCGCGGGATTGGAGCTCGGTGAGGGTAGGGAGTTGGGCGAGGGGAGCAAAGCCGGGTCGACTGCTTGTCTGTGAGAGGCGAGAGAAGGAGACTTGGGAGCGACTGGGGAGAGGAAGGTCGAGGCTGACGAGCGAGTCGGTCGAGCCTTGCGGCGAAGCGTAGAAACCCGTTGCGCCCGACACTGACGGTACGGCCGCCAAGACGGCACCTCCGGCGCCGTCCTCGTCGTTCTTCTTCTCCTCGAGCGCTCTGGAAGCGAGCACGTCCGGCTCACACTCGTCCTCCTCGAAGACGAGGTCCGACGAGAACCTCCCCTCCTTGACCCGCCTGATCGTCTTGCGTATCCGCATGCCCGCTCTCCGCGGTATCTTGCCAATGCTGAGCCCGATACGCTCGTTGTTCGTGTCGGGCAGTCGAAACCAGTCGTCTCCGACCTCCTCCTCGTCGCTGCTGTCCGGCGGCTTCTCCTTCCGGCCTGTCCCGTCGCGCACCTCCATCCCGTCCTTGAGCACTCGCCGCCTCCGCGCCAATCCCACGCCCTTGCTCCCTCTCTTCGCCGCCGACACATGCTGCGAGACGCGGCTCCTTGCCTCGTCGACGCCGTCCTGGTCGAGCTGGGGGAGCTCGAGTGCGCCGGCAGGGTCATCCGACGCCATGTCGGCACCCTTACAGCCAGTCCAGCAAGCAGAAGAAGCGGTTCGTGCGTGAAGGTGTGTATTGACCCTTGGGCGAGGATGAGCCGACTGTTGGCATCGACCACCCACTCGAAGGGCGCTGCTGCTCGTTGTGTGGCTTCCGAACGATGCTGGCTGCTACGGAGACCTGCTATGACCCTGCGCCAGCCGTTCCCGCCGTCTCGCAGCTTCTCTTACCTCGCCACCCCACCTCCGTCATTTCCAACCGCCTCGACAGGATGGACAGGCTTATGGGCAGGCTTCGCAGGTCGCGTAGGGGTCCGCTGTGGAGCTCAAAGCGATGGAGGTCCGCGCGCGGCTGCACAAACGACCCCCTCCCTCGCCCCTCCTCCTCCTGCTCATCGATTGTCGCCGCCGCCGCACACACCGCGCCGGTTGAACGACTTGGCGGAGTAGGGACGTAGCACAGCGAGACTGCGAGCTTTGGGCTTTCAGGCGCACCGCTACGATGCAGGAGACGGTGCAGACAACGCTGTTGGGCTCGCCTTTTTGCTCTCGCTAAGCTGTTGCTATCGTATCCCGAGACACTTCAGCGGCGAAGGAAAGATCATGTGCATGCTACAACGACCTGCTACTTGCTCATCCACTCCGCAATCAAGCGCTTGGCGTCCTCTTCATCCGCCTTCTGCTGCTCGAGCGATGTGTTGGCCTCGTACTCGTCCCACCACGCCTGGTCCGGGTCCACCTCGTCTTCCTCCTTATGCTCGACCGGCCGGATGCGCCACCTCGGCTGCCGCCCGCTCCAACGTCGCTCGTACGCCTCTGTCTCCGAATTAACCTCCTCTTCCTCCTCTTCATCTTCGTCCTCGTTTTGGTCGTCCTCCTCGTCCTCGTCGTCTGACTCGATGACTAGGCTGGGTTTCTTCAGGAGCGAGCGGTCGGCAGGCAGCGCGCGACGAGCCGGTGCGAGGCAGGTCTTGCACGTGAGCATGAGGTGGAAGAGGTCGAGCGGGTCGCCTGGGACGCTAGATTATCAGCTCGAACGCTCCTGCTGCCAGCGAGCAAGAGGCAGAAGGATGTTGAGGGGAACGCACCTGCGAGGAACTTGGCGATACGGAGCAGCGTCTCCGCGGACAGGGACCCGAGTGTCGGAGGAGGTCGCGTTTCCTTCGCTGCAGCGCGCGAACGCTTCTTGCTCGTCGTCATCTTTGCCGTCTTGCGTCGGGGAGGCATGTTGAGTGAAGACAGGCGAGAAGGGCGGAAGGCCGGCGGGACTGGTGCGTTCTAGGAGAAGCTAGGAAGGTCGAGCGAGACTGCGCTGGAGTGCTGTCGAAGCGCGAGGACGGAGACAGAGTGAACAAGAACTGAAAGAGCTGGTCCAAACAAACAGAGCCTCCACCTGACTTGGGGCGACTTGGGGCGATTTGGGAGAGTTAGGAGGGTAAGGGAGCGTTAAGGAGAAGTAAGGAGAGATCGGCAGGGACGGGTTCCCAGGTGTGTCAACAGTTGGCTACGAGCCTTTGAATGTCATTGCTGCTTGTGCGATTTCGAAGGAAGCGCCAGCGAGAAGCTGGAGGAGGAGGAGAGGAGGCGGAGCGAAGAGCGTGGCAAGTCGTCGGCTCTCGCCGCATTGGTCCACGGCAAAAAAGCGCATTGACAGGACTCGCAAAGCCGCGAGCAGCAGTACCGAAGCCACCAGTGTGCGGAAGAAGTAGCAGAGGGCTGCGGGAAAAAGGCGGACTCGAGCAGCCAGCGCGATCCTTATCTCTGCGTACTTGTCCCGCGTGTAACAGTAGAGACCGGACAAAACGTCCTGACGGAGGAATCGCGTTCCATAGAGATCGAGGCGAAGGACCGCCGTCGCTCTAGAGGATTCCGTCGCCGATGAACCACCCGCCCCTACCGTGCCCTATACCGTCCGAGTCCACCTCGTACCCGTCCGAGGCGTACGGGAAACCGTCCGAGTCATACCCATCTGAGTCCAAGTCGCTGTGAAGATAGTACAAGCCCTCTTCCTCCGCCTCGAGTTCCTCCATCGACGGACATCCCTCAAAGACGAGCTTGAGCTTGCGGCTCTTGGCGTACTGTCGGAGACCGCAGCGGCAGTTCTTGTCGTGCTTGCGCGAGAGATTGTGGTCGTTGGTGAAAGGAAGGATGCCCAAGTTGACGCTCTTGAGCTTCTTGAAGCGGTCGAGAGCGCCGACGATGCCCGTCTCCGCCGGCGAGAGGCTTGGATGGGCGTTGTCAAAGTCGGTATGGGTGAAGGACCAGTAGCTGCGGTTCAAGGCGAGATGTTGGAGGCCGGGCGATCCTTCGGCGAGAGTCGAGAGTTTCTCCACGTCCATCTCTTTGACGGTCGTGAGGCTGAGGCGCTGGAGACGCGGGAAAAGGCCGAAGAACGCCTTCGGGAGGACCTGACCCCTGCAGAACTCCTGGTACTCCTCCTTCGGGCCATCGGCGCCAGAGTTGTAGGTCCCGCTTGTCCAGGTGATCTCCGTCAAGGCGTTGCCCTTGAGCGCCTGAACGAGCAAGTCGGGCGATATGTTCTCGCACGGCCCGCCGCCCAGTTCGAGGATGCGCATCGTCCACAATTTCTTTGGGAAGAGTGATGCGGCCGTGCAGAAGCACGAGGTTCGGAGGTTCAACGTGAGTCCCCGCACGTTGTAGTGAGGCTTCTTGCTGCCTCCGACGTGGCACTTGGCGCCTGGCGTGATCTCGACGTGATCGATGCGCGGCATCGAGACGCCGCCGAGTCCTTTCGCAAAGTCGCGGAGAACGGGGTGGATCGAGTGTCGCGAAATAGTCGTCGGGAAAGAGACGCGGATGTGGGCGAGCATCGGGCGACCCTGAAGGTGCTTGCCGATGCTAGCGGCGTACTCTGCATCGCGCAGAAGGACGCCGACCTTTGTCGCGCCCGTGCAGAGGCGGACGAGGTCCTCCTGCCACGACCACGGCTCGACGGCTTGGTCGATGGCGCTCGAGTAGGCGGTCGTCGGGCTCCTGAGCATGCTCTTGACACTGAAGTGGAGCGTCGAGAGGTCGCGGACCGCGCGAGCGTATTCGGGGTACTTGACGAGGCCGTTCCTCAGCGTGTATGGTTTGCTCCTGTTACGACTGCCGTATGGCATTTCGTCGCGGGCGAATAGCGGTTCGCGGTAGAGCGCACGCAGGGAGGACGATACGAATGCCCTGCTCGTGAAGAGAAGGCTTCGGAGGTCGCGGCGGCTATCTGCGCAAGCCAAGCATCGTCAGCTTGAACAACACGGTAACACAGTGTCGGGAAAGACTCGCCTTCGCCGTACGTGCTCCTGCCTACATGGAAAGCGATCAAGTCGAGGATTTCGGTTGAGAGGGTAGGTAAGCGCGAGACGGGCCGATTGGCTGCCGGCTCTACTTGAACGCCGCTGCTAGCCTGCATCGTCGTCTGCGTCTGTGCGCGTGTCGCAGTAAGGTCAGCGCATGAGCGTGGTCTGCGGTCTGCGGTCTGCAAGGCCCGTACTGAACCTCCGCAAACGACGAGGTGGACGCAGCTGCATTCCCGCACTGCTGCTTCAATGTGCCCAGGCAGGTGGTCGTGGCCTTTCTCGCAAGCCAAGCAGCCACCCAGCCCTCCAAGAGGCGTGTGCCCTGGTCGAGGGAACGGCCAGCAATCACACTCAGCAACGACGAGACTCACAGATGCTGTTCAAGTCGACCCGTATGACCACAGGAGAACAAAGCAAGCTCGAACGAACGCAGCAGCGGAAGCGAAGTGAGGAGGCGGAAGCAAGGAGGACGCGAGGAGGTTGGACTAGGACAACACTGCACACTGGTTCTGGCCGGTGTTTACGTGCCTTCTGAACGCTTTCGAAGCTGCTACACGCGCGCACGTCTCTTTGCGACGTACGCAGCTCCTCGACACCCTCTCACCGCTTCATCAGTGAGCGGCACGAAACCCGTTCCCAGCCTCCGCCACGCCTGAAGACAAGCTGAACCGAGAGGATGCTGTCCACGACGCGTCGAGACGAGCTCGAGACCGCCGCGATGGCCTGTGAGGCGGACAACGAGGCATTGCGGGTCGAGGTGTTGAAGGTGAGTTCTGCCTCACGGCGCCGCTCGGTACGCACGACTGATGAGTTCAATCTGTCCAGGTACACGCAGAGATTGAAGGCCTGGAGGCGGAGGCCAGCCAGGAGGCGGATGAGGCTTTGCGGGTCCGTCGCATCCTTCACTCGTACCTGCTCCCGGCCTGACAGTGCACGGAACCAGCGGATACGAGCGATGGAACGAGAGCTTGCACAGCTCGAGGCGACGCTCGAAGTTCTCCGAACCGGTACGCTGTCGTGGCGACAAACTGAGGCCTAGAGCTGACCCTTCACCATTTCGCAGACGGTTCCGCAACAGACCGAGGGCTGTCGCCTAGGTCGCCGGTTGTTGCGGAGGAGCAGGCTCGCGAGAACCTGGCGAAGACCGTTGCGAAGCTTCAGCCCGCTCTGAGGTGGGAGGAAGAGCGCCTGGAAGAGGAGCAGATCATGCTGGACAGGTACGCTCTGCCTCCTCGGCAGTCCGAACGACATCCAGAGCCGACGATCCTGCTTCCCACAGAGACAAACTTTATCTGCGGGATGCTGAAGCGCTCAACACGACATTACCGGCTCGAGCCGCCGAAGCTTCGTCAGCCGCGCGTCGACCGACCGGCGAAAGCCTCGTCAAGTGAGCTCACTGTCGATAGTCACTGGATGCTAGCTGACACACTGTGTACAGCCGCGCCCAGACACACTACGACTCGCTACTTGCTCGCTTCCGCCTCCTTCAAGGCGGCCTCGTCTCCTTCATTGACGACGTCCTCGCCGACGACGCATCCGACGCCTTGTTCGACCTGACCCGTTCGGAGGCGCTTGCAAAGAAGGGCAAGAAGGCTGCAGCGAGCGTGCGTCCGTCCCTTCGGTGGAAGCAGGACTCGAGGGCCGACGCTGATCTGTGCTGGCCCCGCAGTCCTTCGATCTGCGGGAGTATCTACGATCCAACAGCGGAGAAGCAGAAGATGGCGAAAGTCGGGCATTCCAGCTCAAGAAGTTGATCGAGGTGCGTTTCTCCCCCTTCGCCGTTAACACTCCCCAACTTCGTCCGCCCTTGGAGCCCATCCCAACTACGATCTTTGCAACTGCCCAACGTCGAGCCCAAAGCTGACTTGCCTTGACCGCCCAGAGTCTGATGAACCTCTCCGTCACTTCAAGCCAAGACCCATACCTTCCCGACGAACCCGCCTTCCCCTCCGAGCTCGTCGCGTTTCTCGTTCGCGCTGGAATTGCCGAGGAGCAGGTGGTGGACCGGACGAGCGGGGTGAACGGCTGGTCCAGGAGGATCAGGCTGCGAGACTTTGGCGGGCTCAGGGCCGACGACATCGACGGTTGAGGATGGCGGTGAATTGTGGCGATGGTCGTGCATCTAATTGAAGACACCACCGTCGTCTTCGTAGGCTGTGACCGCGCTTTGCGAACGGGAGAATCCCCGAAAGGGACCTCGAACAGCTCTCACGGCTTGCTTTCGTCTCGGGGCGTCGCTCGCTGCTCAAGGACCCTCGAGAAGTATTTTGGCGGAAGCAGGCTGCCGAACTTGAGCTACAGAACACCCTCCTCTGCTCTTCCCCTACGCACATTGCTTCGCTGTTGCTGTCTCCGCTTCTTGGGTTTCGTTGGGTGTCTTCGAGGACGATTCGCAGACTTCAGAGTGAGTCATGACCGCTCCACTGCCGTACGCTCGCGGTTACCCGCTCATCAGGTGCGAGGGAAGATGGGGACTTTGGAGGGCGAAAGTGGTGTCAGGCGGGTGGTGGGCGGCTGAAGCGTGTGCGATCGGCCACTGAGTCGTCCTTGCGAAGGACGGCCGCCCGGGCAAGGTGTCAGAACCCTCACTCACGCTGTTCCTCCTGCAGGTCTGTTCCTTCTGGTCCACCTCCCCTCTTACTCTCGCCTGAAATGGCCGACGCGCTCAAGGCACAGGCAAATACCGCGTTCGCCGCGCAGAACTGGAACAAGGCGATCGACTGCTGGACAAAGGCGATCAAGAAGGAGAAGGACGCCGTCGCGCTCGCCTCGCTCTACTCGAACCGCTCGGCCGCCTACCTCAAGGTCAGCAAGTACGATGCAGCGCTGCGAGATGCGGAGCAGGCCGTTCTGAAGCGCCCGACGTGGAGCAAGGCGAAGGCGCGAATGGCCGAGGTCTACGCTCGCCAGCAGATCTTCGACCTGGCCAAGTCGTCGTACGAGCGAGCGATCGAGCTCGCCGAGGACGACGCGACCCGCGAGCGGTATCAGGCGTCGCTCAAGACGACGAAGGAGGCTGAGGAGAAGGCGAAGAGCAAGAATGCCTACGAGGGCGAGTCGTTCCAGCGGGCGAGCAGCTTCAAGAACTATTTCCTCACCCGACTCAACCGCGCCATCCTCAACGGCACCTACACGCTCGACCGGACTCGAGGCATGGCGCTCTCCGTCTCCGCCGCCGAGAACTGCCAGAGCGGCCTGCGAACTCTGGAGGAAAACGTCATGCGGATGCCGGACGGCCAGCTCATGTTCCGCGCCTTCACGAACGGGCTTGCCGAACTGTGTGAGTGCTTGATCACGGACGAGTCCGCCTTTTTCTTGCCGCGCGGGGAGGATCCGCAATTCCCGCTGGTCAGCAAGGTGCGTCCCCGCTGCCATTCTAACCAGCCTCTTATGATTCCTCCAAAGTGCGTTGGCTGATTGGCCCTTCTGCCGCAGATCCAGCATGTCATCCTCAACGAGTTGCAGTCGGCCAATTCCCTCAAGTACTTCCAGAACGCAATCTGGGCCGCCCGAGATATCATCGCCGACCTCGACAAGCGACTCGCTACCGAGACTCGTCAAGACGTTCGTCGAGCGGTCTCGACGATCATTCGCGGTCGTGTCGTCTCGGCAGGCCTCCTCGGCTTTAACAAGGACCAGCGAGGCGGAGCGGTGCGAGAGCTCAAGCTTGCGCTCGCGGTGCTCGAGGAAGGAAATCGCAAGTGGGCGGACGTGCCGTTCGACGAGCGAGGAAACACCTTCCGGCCGACCTTTGTCCGCAACGTCCGAGTCGCTCTCCTGAAGGCCCTCCTCGCCGCGCATCGCGATCTCAAGACGGTTGCCGCACAACGAGTCTACAAGCTATCCGACATCGAGGACTTGGCGAACCAGATCATTCGGATGCGTTTAATGCTCGCCTCGCCATTTTGGCTCTCGCTGACCCGCTTCGTTCCGCTCTTGCGCGCTCACTTACAGGACCACCCGCCTGAAGAATGGATTCCGAGGGACGGGACCATCATGCGTGTCGCGTACTCGGTACGAACATCTGCCCTACTCCCGCCCTCTCGTGCTGACTTTCGCTTCTCTTAGGCGTATCCTAACTGGGAGGCGTACAGCGCCCTCGGCTACGTCTACGGGCAGCGTGCGGGCGTACCACTCAAGGACATCAAACCCCGCAAGTACGCGTTTGCCGACCTTGTGAACGCGAAAAAGGCGGCCGAGTTCTACGACAAAGCCACGGCGATCATGGAGGTCGAAGCGCCCGATTGGCACCACCGCCGCTTCATGCTGTGGCACGCGCTCTACTGGCACTTGCGGGCGGGCGGCTTGTCAGTGCGCGAGATGCGCCAGCGCTACAACACCGCCAAGCAGGTCTCGGAGGAGGCGGAGCGGTTCTGTGAGCTCTCCTTCTCGCTCATTTGCCATGACACAAGGTGACAGTTCTGCTCCCGCAGTCGTCGAGATGAACGGAGTCGCTTCGTACGGCGAGCCGCGCAAGTTCTCCGACATCCAGCTCCACAGCATCAACCAGAACCTCCGCCACCCGCCACCCGGCGTGACGGACCGGTCAATCCTCAAGCCTATCCCGACTCTCAACTGTCGTGGCCTGCCTCGCAGCATCAATTACCAGCAGTTGCTTGACCGCGAGGAGTTTGAGCGGTTGCCGGGAGACGTCGATGCCATCGACGTGCTGGGTTGAGCGGGGCTCTGTGCGCGTTGTACGGATTCCCTGGCAATATACATCTACCGGAGCTATGTCCTGCGCAGCTTGGCGCAGTGAGCGCAAGAGGCGCGGGAGGCTCTCTTGCTCTTCTCAGAACGCCTCGCTCGCTTCTTCCGTCCGCTTCCTGCTACGCTAGCTGTATAGGCGTACGGGCTTCTGAATTCGCTCGTTCGCGCTCGCCTCACGCCTGGACAGACAGCGTGCGTCGTGAGTGTTCTCGTCTTCATCAGTTCGCGGGGGAAGGAAGGACCGTCAACAGGAGCAGGGCTTCGCACACGATAAGGACGGGTTTGCAGCGATGTGAGAAGTCGTCCAGGCTCCGCAAGACTGCACAAGCCCACTTGCCGGCCTTCTCTGCTTGAACGGCCCCCACCCACACCTGAAGCTGACGAGATCGCACAAACCGCGCAGATGCCAGACAGTCTCCTTGACGATATCAGGAACAAGGCGAATGCCGCCTACAGCAAGAAGAATTGGCAGGACGCTGTCGCTCTCTTCGGCCAGGCCGTCGACCTCGAGCAGGACGGTGCAGCGAGGGCGACACTGCTCGCCAAGCGCAGTGCAGCTTACATTCGGCTTGAGAACTTTGAATCAGGTGCGCTCACCGGCTCGCATGGTATCGAGGCGGCCCTGACTTCCTGTCTCTCACACAGCCCACACGGATGCGGCACTGGCGGCTGCCGCTGATCCTACCTCCTCCCTCGCTCAAGCACGGATTGCAGAGGCTTGCGTAAAGCTCAAGGATTATGAAGGGGCAGAGCAAGCCTGTACGAGCGTCCTCAGAGCGCAGGTTCCGTTCAGCGGTTGACGAGTCTGCTCTCAGACGATCGCGCTATCAGGCTTTCACCCGAAGGTGCAGCTCGCAAGCGCTATGAAGACGCTCAAAAAGTCCGCTCACCGAGCTTCCCGCCATGAAGCGGCGCAAATGCGACAGGCGCCTCCTCCCCCACCCGCCCCAGCTCCGCCTCGATCTATTCCTTCGCATGCTTCTGCCGCCCGCAACTCTCGCACGGCACCGAGGACCGCATCTTCGCCATCTACAGCCCGCTACACTTCCAGCCGTCTTCAGGTCTACCAGCCTGGCACGTCGTGGTGGGATCGAGTCGCTGCTGCGGTCAATAAGGAGGGCTTCAAGCCTGAGAGCGGCGGCGGACTGGAGGTTGCACTTGTGGCATGGGATGAATGCGAACAGGGCTTTGCTCAACTGCACGAAAGCATATCTCAGGTTGCGGGCATGCTGCAGGTCACGACCTCGGACAACAGACCGCTGGTCGCGTTTGCCAGCAAGTCCCTCTTCTCCTCCTCGGACATCGCTAGTAACAAGCTCACAAGCTGTATTGCATCGTTGCAGAATGCATCCTCACCATGGACGACGCTTTCCACCTGACGGCCTCGCCTTTCGGCGACATGCCTCCTCTCACCAAGATCAGCATGCTCATCGAGCAGCAGTCACGTCAAGGCGATCTCCTCAAATACATCGAGGCGAAGCAGGGCTATTCGGCCCGGCAGAGCATCAACGATCTCAATGCTCGCCTCAAGACACAATCGCGCTCCGACGTCCGCACTCTCACGGCGAGTCTTATCTTAGGGCGCATCTTCGGCAGCTTCATCCGCTTTGAGATGGGGTAGTTACGGTGCGTGCGGACCGTGGTTCGTATGCCTCAAAGAGTGCCGCTGACCTCGCCGCCGTCCAGCCGAAGCCATCGAGAGTTGGAGGAACGTACTCGACTTGCTTGAGGCTGGGAATACCGTCTGGGATCACGAGGCGCTCGAGGAGCGGGTACGTTTCGCTTGAATGGCTCCGACTGCGCCAGCTCGTTCTGACAAGCTCTGTTCCGCAGGGCAACATCTTCTCGCCGACCATTCTTCGCGGAGTGCGAGTCGCGCTCATGAGTAAGTTGCTTGTTCTCCAAACTCTCGGCTTCTTCTTGCTTGACGCTGAGCTGCACGCGTGAACTCACCTGCAGACACGATCATGGTCGGTCACGGCAAGGCTTCGACAGACTCGGAGCGCCGCAAATTCAAGCTTGACGAGATGGAGGATCTCGCGAACGACGTTCTTGATGTGTGTCCTTCTCGCCCGCACCTCGCAACTCAGAACTAATGTTTGAGCGCCTGCAGGAGTTCCTCCCAGACTCGTTGCTCGCGGGCAAGCCACCTGTCTACCGTACAGCCTGGGAGGCGAGTCTTCTGGCGGACTGTTTGGGGTGAGGGCGAGCTGACTCTTGTCTTGCAGCTCATCCCGCGCTGCCGAGCGTACTCGGCGCTTGCGTACAGCTACGCCTACCGCGCCGAGGCTCCCTTCCGCGACATGCGGATGGGCGTGCCGGCCATCGCTGATCTCGACGCAGCGAGGCAAGCGAGCGACTGGTAGGACGCCGCGACATCGTTCGACTGGTGGGAGAAGCGGACAATCCTCTGGGCCGGCTTGAGGATGTGCGTTCCCAAGCTCTGCTCCTCACTACATCCATTCTGACTGACGCTTCGGCTTTGTACAGGCGTCTGTATGCAGGTGGCTGGAGCGTGCAGGAGTTACTTGACCGCGTCGAGGAGGCGAAGCGCGTCGACGAGTTCGCAAGCCGCTTCTGTGCGTTCCTTTCTTCCTTTCCCTTTCCCTCCAGCTCCTCTGACGAGTACCTCGCCACACAGTCGGTCCTGGTCCTTCGCCCAATTACGCACGCGACCTCGTTCTGCACTGCGTCGAGGCTTGCGACGAGTCGCTTCGCATGGCCGCCCGGCCGACCTACTCCGGCCCAAAGCTGACACGCCAGTCGAAGATCAAGCCAGTGCCTCGCCTCTGGAGTCCGCCCGGGTTCGACCGAAATACCGTCTTCACGAAGGACTTCTGGGAGAGTCCTGAGATGCAGGGTGATATCGGATGCTACGACGAGTACCAGATGCACTAGACAGGCTTGTAATAGCACGGTACTGCAATGTACAGCCGCTCCATCGCATCCTGGACGATGTTGACCGACGACGACGACGCTGTTCGGCGAGAGGACGTTCGCTTCGACCTCTTCCACCTCGCTCTCTCGTGCTGCTTGGCCAAGATGGACTCGCAGCCGAGTGCACCACGCACGCACCCGCTGCGGCCGTACTCTGTCAGCCCCTCGCTCGACCACTGGTCCGCCGACTCGCTCACCGCCAACCCCACCGCGTCGACGTCCGCACACCCCGTCCCGCCCTCGCTCCGCATCCCAGCCACCAACAGATACGAGTCCAGCGTTGGCGACCTTCCCGATGCCGCGTCCTCCCTACCCAACGCGGGCAGCATGCTCCGCGCCTTCGTCACGAGTTCGCTCCTCAGTTTCACCGGCGTCGCCATGGTCCAGCCGTTCGAGGTCGGCAAGACGCTCGCTCAGGTCCAGTGGGTCCCGCGAGAAGGCGTAGAGCCGTTCATTGGCTTCGAGATGCCCGAAGAGGTCGACGAGGAGACGGTCGAGGTTCGTTCGCGTTCTCCTGCCTCGGCAAGCGCGTTCGGAAAGTGTTCGCTGACAGAACGCTCTCTTGGCCTCACAGATTGAGGACGAGAACGAAGCCGAGGCGTACTTCGAAGACTTGCACAACGCTGCCGCCCCTTCCTTCAAGCCGCCAACACAGCTTCCGCCGCGACCAACCTCTCCTTCCGGTTATCTACAGCGGGCGGGAGTTAATGACGAGGTCTTTGGGACACGGCCAGAATGGATCATGCCGATTGTGGTGCAAGGTGGAGTGTGGGACATGATCAAGGCGGTCGGGCGGTGGAAGGGCGAAGGTTGGGCGAGCTTGTGGAAGGGTGCGTTCGTTCGACTTCCAGCTCTCGAGCGGTGACTGACCGTTTGCTTGCAGGGCAATTGACGACCTGCGTCGTCGACGCGCTATCAACGACGGTCCAGCCCTTCTTCCTCTCCCTCTCGGTCGCCCTCGTTCCCGCGTCTTCCTTCACCGCCCTCCCGCTCCTCTACTCGCCCAAACCTGGCCCTCTTCTCCTGCTCTCGACCCTGTCACACACCCTCGCCACGCTCCTCCTCTCCCCTCTCGACCTCGTCCGCACGCGCTTGATCGTTCAGAGCGCGCAGCCTCAGCATCGCAAGTACAAGAACCCGATCAACGCCTTGCGGACCATCATCGAAGAGGAGGGCGGACTGTGGAACACCTACTTCCACCCGAACCTCTTCTTCCCCGCCCTGCTCGAAGGCATCCTCCGCCCGCTCATCCACCTCTCGACTCCGCTCATCATCTCCCGCTACCTCCACATCGAGCCCGAAACCTCTCCCGTCACATTCGGACTCGCCGAACTCGTCCTCGGCACCGCCGGATTGCTCGTCACCATCCCTATCGAGACCGTCCGCAAGCGCCTTCAAATCCAATCCCGCGCGGCATTTGTGCGAGCGGGCCGAGCAGGAGGAGTCGGACGACCGTGGCGCACGTGCGTCGAGACTCGACCGGCGCCCTACGCAGGCATCGTCGAGGCCGTGTACCGGATCTTGACGGAGGAGACGGGCAAGATCCCTCGTCGCAGGAGGCGGAGACGGAGCAGTGCTGCGCCCGGCACGCCTGGCGCGCCGCCCATGACGAACGAGGAGAAGGAGGACCTGGCGACGGCGGGACTTGGCGCCAGCGGCGGGCTGAGGCAGCTGTATCGCGGGTTCGGGATGGGCGTCGGCGCGAATGTCGTCGTCTTCCTCCTGGGGCTCGTGGCTGGTGGCGAGGAGGCGTCGGGCTGGGCGGAGATGTAGAGGCGGCCGTTCTTTCCTCGTTTCCCCTCGAGAGGTTTCAGTTTTCCTCTTCTTTCGTCTTTCACCCCGTCTGAACCCCTTCCTCGTTTGTACCTGTTTCGTGATGTTCTCCCACACTGCAACTCGTCTTACACTGGAGCAGCGACTGTCCGTACGCCTGGAGAGATCCGATGCGAGTTTAGGAAGGTTGCGCGTGTTCTCGCTCGCTCCTTGCCCTGGACGGGACAAGACTGCGGCGTAGGTGTTGCTCGCCGCCCTGCCGATGTGACTGCGCCGCTCCGCCTGCTCCGAACGCAGCCAAGCCAACCGTCCCACCCTCCCTTCGCCTGCTCGCAGCTTGACCCTCGTCCACTACGCTCGAGTTCCCCTCGCTTGACTAGGCTACGGAGCAGCTACGAACGACGCTGAAGAATGCACGGACTCTTCTCGACCCTCCTCGCCGCGCTCGTCGCGTTTGCCGCACTCGCCAGCTCGAATCCTGGTGCGTTGCGATGCCTTCCTTTCTCGCGCAAGCTGAGGGGTTTCGCTGACTTCCGCCCGGCTCAAAACGACAGATAGCGACCCTAGCAGTACGTTCGCCCTCCTCCGGTGACGCCCTCGAACCGTCAAGCCGTCCTCCTCCCCTCTCTCTCCCCAAAACCGCCCTCGCCACATCACCTCTCGTTTCTCGATCTCCGACGCAGCACCTGACACGTTGTTGCTTCGTACGCAGTTGTCGGCAGCACCAGGATCGACGAGAACAAGCACGACCAGGACATTGCCATCAAGGAGGTCTGCTACCTCGAGCTGTACGAGGCCAAGGACTGGAGCACGCTCTCGTACCAGAAAGAGACGCTCGTCAAGGACGGTGCGAGGACTTTCTCTTATCGCGGGTGGGCTGGCGCTGATGCGGAGGGAAGGCGCTCGCAGAGTACGCTCGCTCCGTCTACTTGACCGACGGCTACAAGAAGGACGAGAACGGCGCCGAGTACTACTACAAGGTGCGTCAACCTCCTTACACTCCGTCAGACCCGAGCTGACCCGTACAATCCCCCGTCAGTCGTTCTGCTACAAGGACTTCAAGTAATCCGAGCACAACGAGAAGAGTGCGTTCCCCGCCTTGCCTCGGCTCATCGTTCCTCCCACGACACTGACGTCCGCAATGCATTCGCAGCCTTCGGCGACAGCAACGCCGCGTCGGTCGTGGACGGCGGGATCGGTCGCGCGTTCCGCAACGTCAACATCGCCGGCAACGGCGGCGCCGGCGACTCGTCTTCGCTCGAGACGGGCAAGGGCGACACCGAGGCGACCAAGAGCGGTCTCGGCAAGAACCTCTACTAGTCCCCTCCCTCGCCCTCCCCGTCGCCTCCGCTTGTTTTCCCCTTCGAGCCTGTCTTCGTAGCATCCGCGTGGACTGTAGCACTTCAGTGACCGTGATGCGGGTCTGCTGGCTCAAGCACAGGAGCTGGAGAGCGCTGCCGTCGACCTAGTCCGCGAGAGCTGATGAAGCGGAGCGAACAGTGAGCAAGCGCGCGGGAAGGCCGGCAAGCGACTGCCAGCTCCGAACTCAATCCCCGTAGCACCGTAGCAGCCCGCGCAAGCCCGCTCGAGTCAGGAAGCGGTGTTGTCGCTCCTCGAGATGCGGATCGACTCGACCACAACGGTTGGAAGCGACAACACCGCGACTCTCGCTTGATACCCGCTCGAGGGTGTCCAGACACAGTCAGTAAGGGCTGCAGAGGATGGCAGACCCGCAGGCAGACTCGCCACGCGCTCTCGTCGACTTTCTTCGCCGCGCGACATCTCCTGCCGATCCGCTCTCGCTCAACTCGGCACTCGCACTGGTCAAGGATGCTCTCTCGCCAAACGCTCCCCTCTCGATCGCACAAGCACCGCCAGCCATCGCCAATCTCGATGCCGATCCCGTCCCCACGCTCCTCGACTCGTTCGCACCCGTCGCATCGACTTCGACCGCACCATCTTCCTTGTCTTCTTCCGCATCGACCGGCGCATTGGCCAGGCTAAAGAGGTCGCTTGTCGACGACGTCAGGGTGGCGCATGCGGTCGAGGTGTTGCGAAGCGGGAGTAGCGACGCCGAGATCCAGGGCGAGTTGCTGGACATCTGGGGCTTCGAGGGTATCGAGGATGTAGGCGAGGCGGTACGGAGACGAGCGGAGATTGTCGCGGAAGCCGCTGAGGAAGGAGGCAGACTGCAAATGAACGGCTTCTCTCACGACCTCCCTCCTCACATCGACTCGCACCCCTCACATCCCGCATCCACCCTCTCCGCCCACGCTCGCGACTACACACCCGGCTCGCAACTCTCTTTCGCAACGGCCGAGGAAGTACAGGCGGCCAAGCTGGCGAAGAAGGCGCACAAGCGGGAGAAGGGGAAGGGTCGAGCGGATGGCGACGGCTTGGATGGCTCGCCCGACGTACAGGAGTGGCTGCGAATACGGGAAGAGCAGCTTGCGCGAGGACCGGGGGCCTTGGTATCGGGACGACGAGTGCGTCCCCTTCTCCTGCATCTGTCTTGTGCGTCGCCTGAACCCTCTCACCTCGCAGCCGGCTATCGAGGACGCCCCGCAGTATCCGAACGTCTATATGGCGTCGAAGAATGCGGGCGTGAGCATCGGCGGTCAACGACTGGCACTGCCAGTGGGGACGACGCGGGAGATGAAGGAGGTGCGCCAAATGCCTGCCCCTTCGAGTGCTAAAGCTAGAACTGACGAAGGTCTGCGCAGCTGTACGAGGAGATCACGATTCCAGCACCTAAAGCGGTTCCCTTTCGCTTCAACGAGTCGCTCGTACCGATTGGGGATATGGACGCCTGGGGGAAGCGGACTTTCCACGTAAGCCGTCCTTTCAAGCACGGTCCGTCTGCTTTGCTCACCCCTTGCCCTCGCTCGCAGGCCTACAAAACGCTCAATAGGCTTCAGTCGATTGTCTACCCAGTCGCGTACAAATCGAACGAGAACATGCTTGTCTGCGCGCCAACCGGTGCCGTGCGCGTGAACTGTCGTCTGTCTAATTGCAGAAGATGCTGACGGCTTGAGTCGCAGGGTAAAACTGACGTCGCCCTCCTCACCATCCTTCGCTGCCTCTCGAACCTCGCCAGTACCCCTCTCGCCTCGACTTTCGATCCTCCGAAGCTCCCTCCTGCCTCAGCCTACAAGATTGTCTACGTCGCGCCGCTCAAGGCTCTCGCCGCCGAAGTCACGCTCAAGTTCGCCAAGCGTCTAGCCTGGGCGGGTGTCAAGGTTCGCGAGTTGACGGGCGACATGAAGCTGACGAAGAAGGAGGTGGACGAGACGGGCGTCATTGTCACGACGCCGGAGAAGTGGGATGTCGTGACCCGAAAAGGCGCGGGTAGCGGAGATGGCGAGGTTGCGGATGTGCGTCAAGTCGACTCCCCTCGCTTCTCCACGGCTGACTTGTTCCCGTCCGCCCACAGCATGTCAAGCTGCTCATCATCGACGAGGTCCACCTTCTTCACGAAGACCGAGGAGCCGTCATCGAGTCGATCGTTGCCCGTACACTCCGGCAAGTCGAGTCTTCGCAAAGCCTCATCCGCATCGTCGGTCTTTCAGCCACGCTGCCGAACTACGTCGACGTCGCCGATTTCCTCGGCGTCAACCGCTACACCGGCCTCTTCTTCTTCGACTCGTCCTTCCGCCCCGTTCCCCTCGAACAGCACTTTGTCGGCGTGCGAGGCAAACCCGGTAGTCCTCAAAGCCGGACGAATCTCGACAATGCGGCTTTCGACAAGGTTGCCGAGCTCGTCAAGGGCGGTCACCAGTGCATGGTCTTCGTCCACGCCCGAAAAGAGACGGTCAAGACCGCGCAGATGCTTCGCGAGAAATTTCTTGCCGAAGGACTCGGCGATCTACTCGATCCGTCAGCGGGCGAGGAGACAAACGGGAAGTGGCAGGGCTTTAAGCGCGACTTGGCGTCGAGTCGGAATCGCGAGATGAAGGAGCTCGCGGCTGCAGGTTTCGGTATCCACCACGCCGGCATGCTGCGATCCGACCGCAACATCTCGGAGCGCATGTTCGAGGCGAACGTGACCAAGGTGCGTTCGATCCTGGGGTGCTCAATGCCTGCGACCGGCGCTGACGACTGCCTTCCTGCCAGGTCCTCTGCTGTACCGCAACGCTCGCATGGGGTGTCAACTTGCCCGCCTATGCCGTCGTCATCAAGGGCACGCAAGTCTACGACTCGGGCAAGGGTGCCTTCGTCGACTTGAGCATCCTCGACGTCCTCCAGATCTTCGGTCGCGCCGGTCGCCCGCAGTACGAGGACCAGGGTGTCGGCTACATCTGCACGACGAACGACAAGATCGACCATTACGGTGCGGTCCGCCGGCTTTCGGCTCTCGCTCACTGTTAGCTGACGCTCTGCTCCTCGCTAGTCTCCGCCATCACGCAGCAGCATCCGATCGAGTCGAAGTGAGCAGGCTAGACCTCCTGCAAAAGCCATAGCTGACGCATGTTGCGCCTCGCAGGTTCACCACCGGTCTCGCCGACTCGCTCAACGCCGAGATCAGTCTCGGAACCGTCACGAACATGGACGAGGGCGTCCGCTGGCTCGGCTACTCCTACTTGTTCGTACGGATGCGGAAGAACCCGCTCGTGTACGGCATGACGGCCGCCGAGGTCGAGCAAGATCCGCTGCTCGGTAGCAAGCGGCACGCCCTCATCAACAACGCTGCGAAGCGACTCGTCGAGTGCCAGATGATCTCGTTCGACCGCGACCTGGGCACCTTCACTTCGACCGACCTCGGCCGCATCGCTGCTCGCTACTACATCCGCGACGCGAGTATTGAGATCTTTAACAAGATGTTCCGCCCACGAATGAGCGAAGCCGACATCCTCGCGCTCATCTCGGCGAGCGTCGAGTTCGAGCAGATCCAGGTTCGCGAGAATGAGGTGGACGAGCTCAAGAAGCTCATCGAGGCGTCCTGTCCTTGCCAGGTCAAGGGCGGCACAGAGTCGAGTGCGGGAAAGGTCAACGTCCTCCTCCAGGCGTACATCTCGCGCGCCTACATCGAAGATTTCGCTCTCGTCTCCGACACTGGCTACGTTTCGCAGAACGCCGGCAGGATCGTACGCGCTTTGCTCGAGATCGCCATGGCGAAGCGTTGGGCCCCGGTCTCGCTCGTCCTACTCAACATGAGCAAGTCGATCGAAAGTGCGTGTCAATCCTCCGTCTAGCACTCAGAGTGTCCCGCTGACTGCTCCTCGCAGAGCGCATGTGGCCGTTCGCTCACCCGCTCGCCCAGTTCGACCTTCCCGCCGACCTCCTCTACAACATCGAGCGATGGGCCGACGACGTCCCGCTCAGCGAGGTCGCCGCCATGTCCGACGCCGACTTCGGCGCTCTCGTGCACCAGAACGAGCGGCTCGGTGGCTTCGCGACCCGCGCCGCCCGCCAGCTCCCTGCCCTTGAAATCTCGTCGACCCTCCAGCCTCTCGCGCACGACCTCTTGCGCGTCCGGATCGACCTTCGCAAGTCGTTCGAGTGGTCCGAAAAGCATCACGGATCCATCGAGGCCTTCTGGGTCTGGCTGGAGGACGAGGAGAACCTGTCGATCCTGGGTCTCGCCCGAACCCTGATTCGCCCTTACACGACCGTCCTGCAGCTCCAGTTCACCATCCCCGTCACCAGCGCACCGAAATCTCTCTTCGTCCGGGCGATCTCGGACAGGTGGATCGGCGCAGAGGAGGAGCTCTTCGTCGACCTCGCCAGTCTGGTTCTTCCGCCTTCACCAGCGCCGCACCTCCCGCTACTCGACCTCCCCTTACTCTCTCCGCACGACGCTTTTAGCACGCTTCCGCACCTCCAGCAACTCTACGGCCGCGATTCCCCAACTTTCGATCCTGTGCAGACGCAGGCGTTTCACACGATCTTCCACACGCCCTCGAACGCGCTCGTCGCCTCGCCCTCGTCTGCTAGTCGGGCAACCTTACTGGAACTCGCCATGTGGTGAGTTCTACATCGCCTCCCTCAAAGTCTCGACTGACGGCCTTTTTGCAGGCGCACTTTCGGCATCCACCCGACTTCGACCGTTCTCTACCTCACTCCTCGACGTGCGCTCGCCCGACAAGCGGCATTGCGGCTTCGCGCAGCCTTCTCCGCCGCCTCCGGAATCAAGGTCCAGCTTGTCTCGCGCGTCGAGGACCTCGACTCGCTCGCCGGGTCACAGGGCGGGGTTGCCGTCGTATCGCCAGCAGCCCTTCTCCGCATCCTGCGCAAGCGACCTCGACCTTTCGGCTGCCTCGACCTGGTCGTTGGCCACGAGCTACACGCACTCGATGCATCTTACGAGCTCGCCCTCTCCCGCCTGCGCTGGGTATACCCGGCGGCGCGGGTGGTAGGATCCAGCTCGGCGCTCGCCGACATCTCGAGCATTGCCGACTGGCTCGACGTCCCAGAGCACGCATCCTACTCCTTCTCCCCGGCGACGCGCACGTCGTCTCTTACAACGAATGTCCAGCCCTTCTCAACTCCGCACTCGTTCGCCCTCCTCCGCCAAATGGTCAAGCCTGCATACGACGCGATGCGGGTTGCGTCGGGTTCGACCATCGCTTTTGTGCCTTCCCGCTCGCAATGCCGCGCGACCGCGAAGGACCTCGTCACACACTCGGCGAGCGACATCGAGAGCTCCTTCGTCGCGGACGGAGCGCTCGACACGGTCGCGGCCTACGCCGAGTCTCTTAGCGACGATGACTTGGGCGAGGCGCTCACCCACGGCATCGCGGTCTTCCACGAGGGTTTGCCAGCGGCAGAGCAGCGACTCGCGCTCGAGCTCTTCGGCGCAGGGATTGTCAAGGTTCTCATCGTTTCGCGCGAAGCGTGCTGGACGCTGCCCGTTCGCGCAAGTCTCGTCATCGTGATGAGCTCGCAGTACGTCACGGTGCGGCAAATCCAGGACGGCCACGACGAGCGCGAGGTCCAGGACTACCCAGTACCCAACCTGCTGCAGATGCAGTCGCTCGCGGTGCCGCCCTCAGCGGAGTCGTCGGCTGAGTGCCTCATCCTGTGCCAGAAGGACCAGGCCGAGCTGTACGGCAAATTCTTCCAGCACGGCGCTCCCCTCGAGTCCAGCCTGCCGCTCGACCCGGCGCTGTCGACGATCGTCTTTGAGGACCTCGCCAACCATCGCGTCCGAGATCGCCAAGGCGTTACCGACTTTCTCTCGTGGACGTTCGCCTCTCGCCGACTCGTCGACAACCCGTCCTACTACGCCGCAGAACTCGCAAGCGGCACACGCGCGATGCACGACGACCTTCTCTCTCGCCTCGCCGACTCCGTCATCGACAGCCTTGAGTCGCGGTGCGCTGTGCTGCCGACCGGTCGGACCGACATTCTCGTCTCCCCACTCGGCGGGTATTTCGCAGAGAAGGCGATTCCGCTCGACGAGGTCCAACGACTCCAAAAGATCTCGCTGGATGAGCTTATGCGGTCAGTCGGCGAGAGGAGCATCAAGCGAAATGGGCAAGAGCTGCAGAAGGGCGAGGGGGAGAAGGAGGCCACGGTCGAGCCGGCGATGGATCCGCACGTCCAGTCTTTCTTCCAGCGCTTGCCTCGTACCGTTAAGAACGACGTCGGCGACCGCGCCAGTTTCGAGGCGGAGGAATGGGAGCGGCGCATCTTGCTTGCCGCCTTCCGAGCAGGACGCGTGCCGCGCGGGAAGGGTGGGCTTGAGGAGAAGCAGCGCGAGCTCGTCGAGCGGATCATACGGAGTCGTGTATAAACTGCATAGCATTTTGCAACGCATTGCATCGCATACTCAGCCCCTTTGGTCGATGCAACCGATGTCTCCGGGGAGACGTCCAAACTCCTGCTGGTCGTTGAGCGACGCCGTGTTGAAACTCCTTGGCAAGCCCTTGCAGTTGAGCGTAGGAATGGGCTTGATCGTGTTCCTGTCGGTGATGCCGGGCGGCGCACTCGGCAAGCTCTCGTTTAAGATCTTGAGCTGCTGCTTGCAGAACTTGCGGATATCTCTGAAGCTGTCCTCGATGTCGTCGACTACGACGTCAGGCAGGGTCAGCTCCCGAGCGTACGAAGGACGCAGCGGCAAAAGGGTCTTTACCGAACCGCTTGGTCTCTTCCGTCGCCTCCTTCGCCTTGTTGACGCGAGAGCGGAGCTTGCGGACAGAGAGACCGCCCGCGCGCAGGCGCCAGTGGATGGCGTACCAGAGGACGAAGCAGTACCGGGTAAAGTCGGGCGCCTCGTCCTCCAGGATCGCCGCAGCCTTGTCGTAAGCTTCGGCAGCGTTTTTTGCGGCGGTAAGGTCGGCGAATGCGTATTTGCGAGGCTGGACCTCAAGCAGCGGGACGCCCGCGCGGATACCCCAAACATACCCTCTCGCGAGGTACGCTTCCCAGACGGGATAGGCCTGCGAGCGGAACGAATGAGCGCCGTGGCTGATTGAAGAGAGCGGCGACTCACTGAGTAGCAGACGCGCATAGTGCTGCCATCGCGCGGGTGCCAATCCTCGGGCGGGTGTTCCTGCAATGGCGGACGGGCGGAGTGTGAGCTTTAGAAGTCTGTGGTGGTGGCACACTTCGCCTCACCCGAATGACCCGGTTCGCGATCTCCTCGACGTCCTCAGGCTTGTAAGCCCGCTTCGCCGCCGCCGTCTTCATGTCGCGCGTCGCGAGAACGAGCGTCTGCATGAGCAGGACGCGAGCGTTTCGGACAAAGGTCGGCTTGAACGTGCTGCCACGGTCGGCGAAACGCTCGTTAGACCATACGCGGTTGCCCTCGTCGAGCAAAGCGATGGCGAGCTTGAGGTCGTGGACAGCCGAAGCGACGCCTTGAGGGTTGAAGCGGAGGACGCCGGCCGACACGATGCGTTCATGGATCAGCGACGACGTTGCCTTCCGGATGTGCTGACGGCCCTCGGTTGCGATGCGGCTGTTGAGGTCGGCAATCATGTCCTGCGGTGCCCAAATCGCATTGGTGAAGTACTTGAGGCAGCCGCCCTGCTGCAGTTCCGCCTTAGTGAGCGTGATGATCTGCGAGGGTTGAACTCGTCAGAGAAAGCTATCGGAGGAAGCGAAGCGGAACTCGCCTTGTCGGGAATCGGAAAGCCGGGCTCGTCGCCGTGCTCGAGCGTGAAGGTCATGTCGTCCGCAATGAGGCACTCCGGATGAGGGAAAGGGCGTGCGAGTCGGGGTTGATCTTGAATTGGTCGGTGCCGGGAATCTTCCTGATGTCCTCCTGGAGATCCTTCATGCCCATCTGGAGGGCTCGGTACGAGTACAGCGACAACGCCATGCCGCCGGCCTGGCGCACGACATAAGTCCCGTTCACCACGGCGAGGGCGACTCGATTGACAAAGAGACGCTGCTGCATCTCAGCCACAGGTCGAGAGGCTGCACGAGGACCCTGATTCTGGCTCTTCGCCTTCTCCTCAGCCTCCTTTGTCGTCTTGAGCGACGCCTGATATCGCTCGCGGGTTGCGTCGTCCTCGGCGAGCTCGATTGCTCGCTCATACGACGACTTGGCCAGGTCGAAGATCTGCTGGCGAGCGTAAACCTCGGCCATTCGCGCCTTCGCCTTGCTCCACGTCGGGCGTTTCAGGACGGCCTGCTCCGCATCTCGAAGCGCTGCATCGTACTTGCTGACCTTGAGGTAGGCGGCCGAGCGGTTCGAGTAGAGCGAGGCGAGCGCTACGGCGTCCTTCTCCTTCTTGATCGCTTTTGTCCAGCAGTCGATCGCCTTGTTCCAGTTTTGCTGGACCAGGCAGCGTTGCCCTCGGCCTTGAGCGCGTCCGCCATGTTCTTTCGTCCTGCGGGAGTGCCGAGGTGGAGAGAAGGAGGACGAGAAGATTGTCAGCGCTCATGGACGGAGACTCTGCACGCGCTGGCGACTCTTCAGCACCGTAGCGCTCGCCAAAGCGATCAGCAAGCCGGTCCAGCCCTACGCGCCTGCTTCACTAGCCCACCTTCCGCCCACGAACCTCCGCCTGCTCGAAACTGATGAGAAGAGCAACAGTGCCAATGCGTGCGCAATGGACGCGGGGGACGAGATCACAGCGAGGCGAGAGCATTGAAAAGTAGCTCACAGGCGGCAGACGTCGAGACGAGCGAGTGAAGGAAAGGAACGAGCGTAACGAACACGGCGAGGAAAGCGATCCCCTCCTTGGTCCAGGCAAGAATGTCGAGGAATAGAGGGAACACCTCAGGTTGCACGAATTTGACACCATACGGCAGGCCAGATAGGATCTGAGAGTCCGCCGAAGCTTCAGCGGGCCATGGTCGCGTCAATCAGCCCGACTTCACCCTCCATGTGCGGCGCCTCCCAAAACTCCTTCGTCAGAACGGTGCTGCTGTCGAAGCCAGGTGGACAGTGAATGCGAGGGATGGGCTTGAGGATTGAGTTGGGCGAGTGATGCGGAGACGCCGTGCGCAGCCACTGCTCGCATGCCTGAGCTTGCAAGTCGACAAAGTCCCGCGGCTCGTGCTTCGCTGGAAGAGGACCGACTGCGAGGAGCGAGCGTCAGGAAACACAGGAGAAGATGAGGAGAGCGGAAGCAGGTGCGCACAGAAGCGAGTCGCAAAGTCGTCGACGCGCTTGGCCTCCGCAGCCCGTTCGCGAACCTCCTTGATCGTGCTGCCGCCCGTCAAGAGACGCCTGTCATGCAAGTCGTCAGCGCGGGTATGAGAGACTTGATCGGACTGCAACTCACAATCGCAAGCCCGCCCACAGGATGTCCCGCTTCTGGTGCCAGTCGAACGGCATCGCCGACGCGGCTGCATCGTACCAGTCGTTCGCCTGGCGTGCAAGTTCAAGGTTGACGATGACGGGGACGCCTGGCTGTTGGTTCCTGAAGGGCTCCTCGGCGCGGTAGGCGGAAGCGTAAGCAAGACCGGCGTATGCTTCCCAGCGCGGGAGGAGCTGTCCGGCGGAAGCGTCAGAGAGGAAGCCGCATTGCAGAGAAGCAGGCGACAAACCTGGAAGCCTGTGCGGAAGATTGCTGCTTGACGTGTGTAGTATGACTCGGGAAGCTCATCCTGCGAGCCGAGCAAGCGCATCAGCGTGAGTAGGCCTAGCGAGACACGAGCGGCAGAAGGGATGCGTACCTCAAGGAGACTATCCGCAAGCTCCTCGATCTCGTCGAGGGGGAAGTCTCGCCGCTCCTCGTCCGTCTTTGCCTGTTGATGACCGCGCATCAATGCCTCTGCAGACGTCGAGGTACCCGTCAGATTCAGCTCAGACAGACACCGAGGAAAAGCTGCGGCGCACTCATGAGAACAACCTTGACGCCTCGAACGACAGTCGGGGAGAAGACGTTGCCCTGGTCAACGTCGCTGGTGAGCTCAATGGGTGAGGCGGACACTCTGTGAGGTACTCACTCGCGTTCCCTGCGACTCGTGCGCCCATTGACGGTTCCCTTCCTCGAGCACGTCCAGCGCAAGGCGGTAGCTGACAACAGCTTGCTCTGCGTCGCCGAGATCCGTCAGTTCTCGCTTCAGCGGTCGAGATGAGCGGACGGGTTACTGACTGGGCTTCTTGGCGTAGTGACAGAAGAAGCCGCCGATGATCCGCCCGTTGATCAAGCTCGCGGTGAAACGACGAATCAGCTGCCGACCCTCGCCGGGGATGCGCTTATTCAGGTCTTGCACGATCTGCTGCGGCGTCCACTTCGAGTCGGTCAGGTACTTGCAAAAGTCGCCCTTGTCTGCTTCGGCTTCGATGAGCTTCCTGAGCTTCGTGAGAGTCGGCAAGTCGCCCGGGTTAGGCGAAGGCGAGAGGTGGAAGCCGAGTTCGGTGCTGAGGATGCAGTCTGCGAGGGCGCAAACAGTGTAGTAAGCGAATGTCACGGACAAGAGGAAGCGAGCGACGCACCGCAGAACATGGTCAGGCAGTCAGGGTTGAACAAGTCGACGTGAAGGCCGGCAGGCACCATATACACCGTCCGGTGAAGGTGCTGCAAGCCCAGCTCGCACTGATTCCAAGCGGCCAGCGCGACCCCGATCCCGCCTTCTGGTTGATACTGGAAACCGTCATTCGTCATGCTGTGGATGAGGCGGTCGCGCCAAGTCTCGCTGGTGACGGTAAAGTCGTGGTCGGTACGGGAAGGGAGTGAGGCTGAAATCGACGGACGAGTGCCGCGCGCGCGAGGAGCGGAACGTCGGTTCGCTTTGCGAGCTGTCGACGACCCTGACGCAGCTGACGACGGCGGAGGCGCGCTCTTCTCCTGTGTCGTCGCCTCGTGACGAGCAGCGCGCTGTACAGACTTGACCGCCTCCTTGTAGCGCTTGCGAGACGAGGTGTCGGTGGCGAGTTCGCCTGCGTGAACATCTGTCGACATGAAGGCGTAAGTACCTGTTTCTCAGAGGGTTACAGGTCGTAAAGGTGGACGCACAGGCTTTCTCCGCCTTCTCGAACTCCTTGAGCTTCAGTGCAGCTTCGGCGATGCGGACTTGGGCGAGGGCAGCGGATGGGTCCGCTTCTACCGCTAGTTCTGCGTCGGCGAGAGCTGCGGGCGGCCGACGGTCAGCTCACGCTAAACCGTCTGCCTGGCTCCCTTTCGCACCTGACGAGTAGTCCTCCAGCTTGACGTATGCAGCACTCCGCTTGGCGAGCACTGTCGCCTTGGCCGGTCCGTCCTGCTCATGCTCGACGACTTCGGCGAAAAGCCGTACCGCCTCGCGCCAGTCTTTCTTGCTGTACGCCGCATTCGCTTTCGCCTTCAGGTCATCTGTCGTCGTAAGCATGGCTGTGTGAGTGGAAGAAGCGAAAGTCAGCTCGTTTCTAGGCGTTGAAAGACGGAAGTGCGACAGCCGGCGGAGCGTTCACAAGCTGTGGCAGCATAGAGCCAAGGAGACCAGCTTCTCGGAGTCCTATAGAGTCTTCCGCATGCTCCTCGCGCCCCATCACGCCCTCCCCGCTGTATTCCCGCCCTCCCCACCTCGCGAACTGATGAAGATTGGGAGGCTCACCTGCAGACTGCTGGAGACTGCGGCTGGTTCAGAGGGCTGCGTGAGGACGCGAAACTCTCAAGCAGGGTTCACAAGCCCAGCAAGCGGAGTGAAGTGGGAGAACAAGCCGTCTTCGTTGACGAGCGATGAGGGCAGGCGAAGCCGGACAGCGCGGCCCTGCTCGGGTTGGCGGTTCGTGGACGTGGATAGAAGCGTTATACGCAATCGGTCAACCGCGCACAGGACCACTCCAGCGGGCGCGAGGTCCACCCCGTTGTCGTCTCCTCCAAGCGATCGAGGCTTTCTGCGTCCGCTGTCCACCGTCTCATCCATCTGCTGCTTGTTCCCATTGCTTGGTACACACTATTCGAACAGGAACGTTCAGCGAAACCGGCCCGCTCGAGCTCCATCTTCTCCGTCTGCCTCTTTCCCCGCCCCGCCTCATCCAATCTCGTCGACGTCCGAGAAGCGGTGACAAGCGATGAAGTGAGTTGGGGGACGCACCGCATGCACCTGTACCTTGCTGACCTCGCTCTCTGCAGCTATATCCAGCTGGAGAAGCTCGGCGAGGGGACGGTGAGTCGGCAGCACGTTTGGAGCGTCGAGGCTGGGAAGGCGACGCTGGGGCTGACTCTGCTTTCTTGGGGCGCGTGTTTGCCCGTACGATAGTATGCGACGGTCCACAAGGTGCGTTCTGTTATGTAGCGGCTGTCCCCAGACCTACCTCGCTGACTTGCTCCCGGTCTTGCCGTCTCCTCTACCAACTACACCCGCTCACCCACCTCGGTTCGCTCTTCCTCCACGTCCGCAGGGTCGATCGCGCATCACGAACGAGCTGGTCGCCCTGAAGGAGATTCACTTGGACGCGGAAGAGGGCACCCCTTCGACCGCCATTCGAGAAATTAGCTTGATGAAGGAGCTCAAGCATCCTAACATCGTCCGACTCTACGACGTCATCCACACCGAGTCCAAGTTGATGCTCGTCTTCGAGTACATGGACCTCGACCTGAAGAAGTACATGGACATGCACGGCGAACGAGGCGCCCTCGAACCGGCCGTTGTCCGTTCGTTCATGTGGCAGCTCCTCAAGGGCACCGCCTTCTGCCACGACAACCGCGTCCTCCACCGCGACCTTAAGCCGCAGAACCTCCTCATCAACAAGAAGGGCGAACTCAAGCTGGCCGACTTTGGTCTCGCGCGCGCGTTCGGGATCCCTGTCAACACGTTCTCGAACGAGGTCGTTACGCTGTGGTACCGCGCGCCCGACGTCTTGCTGGGATCGCGGACGTACTCGACGAGCATCGACGTGTGGTCGGCGGGTTGCATCATGGCCGAGTGCGGAGACTCGCTCTCCTTGCGCGCCTCTCGCTTGAGCTGACCGTGCGTCGTACAGGATGATCTCGGGCGTCCCACTCTTCCGCGGCCGCGACAACAACGACCAGCTCAGCCAGATCATCCGCATCCTCGGCACACCCGACGAAGCGACGCTGCGGCGCATCGCGTCTGAATCCGTGCGTCCTTTCCGCTCTTGCTCAGAGGCTCTACTGACGTCATTTCTTGCTCAGCCCGAGGTCCAGCTCCGTCCCTTCCCCCGACTGAACCGCATCCCCTGGGCCTCGCTCTACCCGAAAGCCCACCCTCTCGCGCTCGACCTCCTCGACAAGCTCCTCCAATTCGACCCCGCCCGCCGACTCGACTGCACCAGCGCGCTGCATCACCAGTACTTCAGCTCGTCGGCTGCGACTCAGCAGCCGCAGTCGTCGCCGGCGCAGGAACAGCTGAGGCAGCAGCAGCTTGCGGCGCAGCAGCAGGCGCAGATGCGGGCGGCGCAGGGTCAGCAGGGAGGGTATCAGTGAGCAGGTTGGCGCGGCGGGTGTCTCCAGTCTCGTTTCCTCCCTTCACGTTGTGTCCCATACCCTCTTCCTCGGGTGATCGCCCATCTTTCCGCTCGTCCCGCGTCTCCTGCATTCTTACGAGATACATCACGCTCGTGTGTGATTCAGGATCGTGAGGCGAGGGCAGCGAAGCCTGGAAAGCGCGGATGGAGCGGCAGCAGCTTGAGGGAGCAGAACGGTAGCATCTGAGCCAAGCTTGGCGACTCTGGGTGGCTTGGATAGGTTGAGGCCGTCGGGCTGAGTGAAGATGAAGCGGAAGAATCGGATGGAACGGCGAGCGAGCGCTGTCGGATTTTGCGAAGGTTGAGAAGGAGAGGGTTGTCGCTGGTTGTGCTGTGTGGGAGGATGCGCTGGCTTGTCCGTGCATCGATGACAAGCGATCGAGCGTCGTCGTCGTCGAGACCGCGCGCAGAGAGAGCCCGCCCCAGCCTCGGTCGCAAGCGCTTTTGTCGACGCGGACTCCGCTCGTCGCTCCTTTTCCTCCAGAACATCACACACACTCCCTCGCACGCCTATCTGCTGGTCCACTCTCCGCCGTCAATCTACGCGCAGACACAACCTCCAACCAAGCAAGCCAGGACACACTCCCTCCCTCCGTCGCTCCCAACCCAGCCAAGTCCGCAGCGTCACTCAACATCCCCCTCACTCCTCCCTCTACACACCTCGAAACACACTCAAAGACTCGAAGCCATGTCGTTCCGCCTCGTCTCGCTCGCCACCGCACTCCTCGCCGCCTCCAAGGCCGTGCACGCCATCGGAGACTTCCCCTGCTCGGGCTCGACCGACTCGCAGTCGTGCGCCGCATGGAGCGTCGACCCGAATGCGCAGGGCACCATCTCTGCCACCGCTGTCTGCCAGCCTGGTGCGTACCCTCGAAAGCAGCTCTTGAAGGGAGAGCTGACCCGGTTGTTGAGCGAACGTTCTACAGACCCCATCAATACGTCGATGAGCTACTGCGGGTACGCGCACGCTGCCTGCACGACTGGAACAGACTGCGACTACGGTGAGTACCAAGCCCGGGCGAGCGCACGATCCCGAGAGCTGACCTCGTCTCCTCCCGGACTCCGCTCACTCGCTCGCTCGCAGGATCGTGCTCGAACGGCCACTGCGCAGGCTACCTCGGCGACGCCTGCTCGGCCGACACCGACTGCCAGGCGTTCTTCTTCTGCGGAACGGACGGCAAGTGCGGCGGGACTGGCGCAGCGTGCGCCAACGGCGACGCTTCGGCACCTATCCCTTCGCCTGACCAGCAGTGTGTGAGCCAGTCGTGCGACACGACCACCAAGACGTGCGCTGCTGCTCCCGCTGCTGGTGTCCCCAACGGCTTCGGTTGCAGCGGTAACACGATGTGCGCGAGCGGTGCGTCCTCGTTCGCGAAAGACTGACCTTCGCGACGTCGAGGCTGACTTCGCGCGGTCACGCAGGCTTCTGCTCAACCGCCTCGGTGTGCTCGCTTGCTGCCTCGCCTCAAGCCCGCCGCAAGCGCTCGACGCACGTCTGCCCCGCAAACCAGGTCGCCTGCTCGACCGGCCTCGGCGACGGCTACGAGTGCATCGACTCGCAGACCAACCTCGAGCAGTGCGGTGGCTGCGTCGCCGACGGTACCGGCGTCGACTGCACTGCAATCTTTGGCGTCGAGAGCGTCGAGTGCGACGCGGGCAAATGCATCGTCAGTGAGTCGCGCTTTCGCTATAACCTTCCGCCTCGACAAGTTCTGATCCGCCTCCTTCTACGCAGTGTCTTGTGTGCCTGGGCTCAACGTCAACCCGACCGCGACGGCTTGCGTCTAAGTCAGACCGAGTCTTTCCTCGGTCCCGGTTCCCGTCGTTCCCTCGCATCCACCTCGCTCGCATCTCGGCTCGCACGCTCGCATCGCCCCTTTCGTTCCATTTCCCTCGTCGTCGGACGGATACCGCTGTACAACAAGCCCGCGTCAAGACTGTACCACTACTCGGTGGCTCTCTCGCCGCCTCCTCGTCGTCCAGCTCGACTCCGCCCTGCCGACTCCCCTCGCTACTAACTTATCCCCCCTCAGCTTGTCCCTCTCCGACCCTTCGCCTATCGCCAACATCGCCCATTGCTCTGAAGGAGCCAGTTCCCCCGTTTTCGCCAACATCCACCGACACCGACACTCGTGCCCGCCCTTCGAGGAGTGCTCCCGGAAGAAGCCGTTCACTCAGCTCCTCCCGTGCCTCCTCGCCGCCCTCCCTACCCAATCGTGATGTTCTCAACCCTCTCTCCCGCGTTGTACCAGTGTCCACCCGTGTCGCTCTTGCTAGGTCGAGGTCCCCTTTGCTGCGGTTGTACTTCCCTCGCTCCCTTGTTCTCTCCCATTGTGCGATACCCACACACTCCTTTAGACTCACTCACGCTCTGCAACGATTCAGGCCTACCATTACGAGCTGATTACAACCGAGTTTGTATTGCTCCCGGATATTTCGCCCCGGCTACGTTCATGCACCCGGAAGGACTTCGCGCCGACTCGTTCTTCCCCTGCTCGCTGCGTCGCTCCTCGCTGTGCACTGTGCTAAACTCGCTTTGAGCTTGTGCTACCACTCCATCTCGCCTGCTAGCCTGCGACTTGCCGTCGAACCCGCTCCCCCACCAGCCGGCAACTTCTCCTCGTCGTCAATCGGCGCGCCCTCCTTGCACCCTCGCCAACCCTCTTGGACTCCGCCCAGCTACTCGTACCGATCCAGCCATGGCACCCAGCTTGACACCGTTCGGCAACGCCGTCGTCGGCGCGGTGGGAGGCGTCTTCAGCGGGGCAGTCGTGTGCGTTCCCCTCGCTCTATCGTTGCAGGTCTCTCGAGCGCCAGACTGACTTCCCAGTGATTTCGCCGCAGCTACCCCCTCGACACGTACGTCCTGACGGCGACGGGATGCGACGTTCTTTCCCGGATCCATCGGCTAACTCCTCACGAAACAGCATCAAGACCCGTATCCAGACAGAACACGCCGCGATCGAAGAAGCGATTGCCAACTCGACTGCGCCGCCGTCGCTCAAGCGCTCGAACGCACCGCACCACCTCCCTCACCGGCATGCGACCGCGAGGCAGATGGCCCTGCGTATCTTCAAGGAGGGAGGAGCGCTGGCATTCTATCGCGGATTCGGAGCGAACATGCTCAACACGTTCTCGATGCAGTTGTGAGTCGAGGCGGCTGTACACGGATCGAGAGGAGCGCTTTACTGAGGAAGGTCCTTTCCCCCGCAGCGCCTACTTCTACTTCTACACCCTCGTCCGCTCCACCTACATCAAGAAGTTCCCTTTGCGGAAGATGACGACCGCGTGAGTAGCCCGCCTGTCGTTCTTTTGGCGAGAGCTCACCTCGTCTGCTTCGCAGAACGGAGCTCGCTCTTGGTGCGATCGCCGCAGCGATGGGTCAGATCTTCACCATCCCCGTGAGCGTCATCGCAACGCGCCAACAACTCGCCAAGAAGACGCTCTCTTTCCGCAAAGCGATCGCCCACATCCTCCGCGACGACGGCATCACCGGCTTGTGGCGCGGCCTGAAGCCCAGTCTCGTCCTCTGCGTCAACCCCGCTATCACGTACGGCATGTTTGAGCGCCTCAAAACTATGTTGCTCAAGCCTGGAGAGAAGATGACGCCGTTCAAGGCGTTCCTCATTGGCGCAATGAGCAAGACTCTGGCGACTGTCGTGCGTTTCGCCTCTCCTCCTCCTCTTCTCTCTCGCTGACGAGCGTATCGCGCAGGTCACCTACCCCTACATCATGGCCAAGACCCGCCTCCAAGCCGGCAACGATGACGACGATGACACGCCCCCTGGCCAGCCCAAGGAGCGGTACAACGGCGCGCTCGACTGCCTCAAGCAGGTCTACGCGGAGGAGGGCTTCACGGGTTGGTACCAGGTTCGTCGGGGTTCTTGCGTGTGGGAGAGCGAGTGACTGACGAGTTCGGGTCGAGCAGGGCATGCAAGCGCAGATTACGAAGGCGGTCTTGTCCCAGGCGTTGCTCTTCGGCATCAAGGACGCTCTCGAAGCCTGTGCGTCGCGACTGAGCATGGCTTGGCTGTCTCGCTACCGCTGACGCTTATCCTTCGTCTCGCTTGACTTCTTGGCGCACAGACACAATCCTCTCCCTCGTCGCGTACTCGAAAGTCCGCGGATCGGCAGTCGGCTTGACGTCCATCTGATCACCTGTACTTCCTCTCCTCGCGATACACGACGGACCTTTCAGCCGACCGACCGCCGAAAAAAGACTGAGATATCGTAGACTTCTCCTTCCGGCCCGCTCTCCTTTCGAGCCGTATCCTGTTTGCTTCCCAGTAGTTCCGATGTGTCATGCGAGTTGTTTATTGACTGTCGCCCTTTCCGCAAGACGAGGTGCGGAGCTCTCGCTCGACTCGGACGAAGAGGTTTCTATCACGGCATTGTTTTTGCACGAGAGGAAGCACAGCCAGCGAGGTTCGAGTGAAAGGCAGGAGGAGGAGAGAAACGCATACGCATGCACACATGACCGGGAAGTTCGCGGAAAAGGAAAGATGGGAGGGGAATATAGTAGGTGTTGCGGGAGAGGGAGAGGGAGGAGGGCGTCTAGGCGAGTCCGGCATCGACCATAGCCTGCGGAAGCGAGCAAGTCAGCGAGAGCTTGGAAGGGAGAAAGGGTGAGGAGGAGGACGCACCTTCTTGAGCGACGAGCCGAGCTGGGCGGGCGAGTCGACCATGATGACGCCGGCCTTCTCGAGCGCCTTGACCTTGTCCTCGGCCTTGCCCTTGCCGCCCGAGATGACGGCACCGGCGTGACCCACTGCGAGAGGGAGAAGCGGGCGTCAGCGGATTGAAAGGCTGGAGAAGAGACAGTCGGGACGCACTACGACGGCCTGGAGGAGCGGTGCGGCCACTGCGCGAGCGACTCGGCGAGTCAGTAGGCGTCGTTGAAAAACAGAGCGAACGGCGACGCACGCGATGAAGCCGACAACAGGCTTCTTCTGGACGTTGTACTTCTCAAGGTACTCAGCCGCCTCCTCCTCCATCGAACCGCCAATCTCGCCGATCAAGACAATACCCTTGGTCGCCTCGTCCTCCATGAAGACCTTGAGGACATCGATGTGCTGCGAGCCGGGGAAGGGATCGCCGCCAATTCCGACGCAGAGAGACTGGCCGAGTCCGATCTTGGTCGTCGCGTCGACTGCCTCGTAAGTGAGCGTGCCAGAGCGCGAGACGACACCTGTTCAACCGGCGAGTCAGCGCCGTATCTGGGAGGGGTGAGGACGAGCGAGACGCACCGACGGATCCAGGGGTGAAGATGTTGCCGGGCATGATGCCGATCTTGCAGCCGCCGCCGTTGGGCGCAGGAGCAATGATACCAGGGCAGTTGGGGCCGACAAGGCGAGACTTGGTCTGCCTGCGGAGAGCTTGCGCGACCTGCCGGGATGGAACGTGTCAGGAAGCAGTATCGAGCGGAAGTACGCAAGGAGAGGTGACGCACCCGGACCTCGTCTTGTTGAGGGATGCCCTCGGTGATGCAGACAATCAAGGGGATCTCCGCCTCGATAGCCTCAATGATGGCGTCGGCAGCGAAGGGAGGGGGAACGTAGATGACGGTCGCATCCGGCTTGGTCTTGTCGTTGGCCTGCAAAACCGTTCGGCGCGGTCCATCAGCATTCAACGCAATCACGCGAAGAAATAGCCCGGACGTGCGAACGCACCTCCCTGACGGAGCCAAAGACGGGGAGACCAAGGTGCTCGGTGCCAGCCTTCTTCGGGCTAACACCGCCGACAAGCTTCGTGCCGAACTCGAGCGCCTCCTTGCAGTGGAAGGTAGCCTGTGCAAGAGAATGAATGGCAGGTAAGCGAGGTCTCAGGGTGCCGAGCGAGTGAACCGCGGTGCGGAGTGTCGGAAGCCGAATGGAGCGAGACGTACGGTCTTGCCGCTGTTGAAGGGGAAGCAAGTATGTCAACTCATCTGTCGCTACACCCCACACACCCGCAAGCGAAGCTCCCACGGATGCTCGCGACTCGTCGGGTCTGGAGAGAAGCGGGACGACGCACGTAAAGCCCTGGCAGATGACGGTCGAGTCTGGGCGGAGGCGGAGGTTGGGGACAGTCTGGTCGTACAGGCTCGAGCTGCTCTGCTGCGCGCGCGACGTCGCAAACGCCCGTCGCGGTGCTGCTGGACGAGGAGGAGGGCCGATGAGCTCGTTTCTCGCGCTTTCAACGGGCGTGGGCGGGATTGGGTGGCTCACCTTGCTTGAGAATGGAGCGTGCTGCGAGTCTGACAACCATCGTGAGCGTGAGAGCGTGAGGAAGGCGACCAAGTCCTCGTGCGCTCTCCGGGGTGCGCCGGAAGTTGACCCGCAACTTGTCACTCTCGCACAGCTCGAAACGACTAGATGGACACAGCATTGCAGTCTTTGTACAGGCAGGGACACGGACACCGCAACTCCCGCCGCCGAGCGAGCCCTCGGTCTCCTCCTCGACTCGCTCTCGCCAATCCTCAACTCGCTCCCTTCAGCACACACGCTTGAGCTCGCCATTCTTGACCGAGTACCACCATCCGCTGATCTTGTCCTTCGAGTCGGGATGGATCAGCGGGTGGTTGCGGAGGTACTCGACGTCGGCCTTGACGCTCGTGTGCTTGCTGTCCTCCTTGAACTCTTGAAGCGCGAGCGCATCGATCAGAGCGTGCGCAGACTCGGGCGTACGGTGCTTGAGCGTCGCTTGGATCACGGGCGTGCTGGCGTGCGAATAGCCACAGTCTCTGCGGACGACGGAACGGGTCAGCTCCGGCTTCTCTGCTTACACACGACCTTGGCACGCACTCGTGGTGGATGAGGATAATCTCGCGTGTCTGGAGGGCTGTGCAGAGAGCAGGGCGTCAGTTAGCTGGGTTGACGAGACGAAGCGGGTCAAACGAACCTTCCTGCGACCCAATCAAGCTCCTCAACGCATCCGCCGCCCGTCCACCGCCGTTCCTGCTCGACAAACGACGTCAAACGACGCTGAGAGTCGGTTGGAAGCGAGCTGGAGACGCACCGGATGATGTGGGCGTCGCCGACTTCGAGGCCGGTCATGGCGTTTGGGTCGAGGCGGGCGTCCATGCTGTCGCGCGTTGTCAGGATCATCGTCAGCGTCGTCATTGAGCCCCACGAGCTCCCCGTGAACGTCGGTGGCTCCACTCCTCCTCCGATCCTCCTCCTCCCTTTCCCAACTCCCCCTCGACACTTACCAACAAATGATCGCGATCCCCCTCCTCGGCATCAAATGCAGCTTGCCCTTCTCGCCGACCAGAACCGGATACGTCTTGATAAAGTTGCTGTTGTTGACCGCGAGTTCAGTGTCGGCGAACGACTTGCCCTTGAGGTCCGGTTGGGTCTGCGTGCTCGAAGAGGGGAGGCGTGTGGGTGTCAGTAGGTGCACAAAGACGGGGAAGCGGAGCTACGAATCCTGCGATGACCCCGGCAGCCGTTAACCGCCAGAGAAAGCCCCGCATTGCCAACGACTCGCGAGGAGAGAACGCAACGCACAGCAAACTTCGCTGCGGCAGTCTCGGCCATAGAAGCGATGTGAGAAGCCATAGTTGGTTGTCTGTGAGCGTTTCGACCAGGAAAAGAGCGAGACGGAGGTGAAGAGGCGTCTCTCGAAACTGACGTCGCGGCAAGCGGCGGACCTTGGGAAAGCGACCGACGGCGCTCGCGGGCGCGTTTCGCTAGCTGGCGGCTGTTAGGTTCTTTCAGCGTGTTCAGAGCGACGTTGGCAAGCGAGCAAGCGCACTGGGAAGCTGAGGGAAGCGAAGGAAGCGGCGAAAGGTCGAACCGACCTTCTTTGGGCTGTTTGGCTTTCCTCCAAGCTCGGCGACGTGCTGAGAACGCCGCAGGCAGCCCCAAAACCTATTGAACGGATGCGTATTGCACACGCGAGACCCAGAGTGTACGTATGTCGACCAGCGGTGAGCGGGACTAGCAGACGAAGAGAAGGTTGAGGTCGAGCGGGTGCGAGCTGTTGGCGCGATGGAAAGCGTTAGCAGCGTATCGCCAACGTTCAGCAACATCCAATATCGCCCGCGGTAATTCCCGGAGAGAGCGGCTGGGCTTTATTGCCGGAGAGGCGAGAGAATCGCAACGCACCAAGCGAGCTGCGGCTTCTGCGAGTACTTGCCCTGTAACTCGTCGCGAACCGTATTGAGCAGCTGACTGCAGAAGTGGAACGAGAAGGCGCGAGAGTCAGCGATGTTTGACCGAGACCGGCGAAACTTGGCGGGACGGAAGACACACAGGTAGTTCTGCTGCGGGTACTTGGTGAGGGCCTGTGTGGTGCGTGTGCATGGACAGATAGGAAGGAGAGAGGCGAGAAGAGGCGAAGTCAGGAGGTCAACAGGGAGAGGAGAAGGCCATCAGCCTCAAACGCTCAAGCGTTCGGAGAGGGAACGAAGCACGAGGGAACGGCACGCACAGTGATAAACGCGTAACTCATCGCCCCAGTTGGCTGTCCCTGCATGCTCGTGTCGGCTGACGTTTGTCTGCGCACGCAAGGAAGTCAGCGGAGGCGAAAATCGGTGCCGGGGCCGCGCCAACGCACGTATCCTTGCACCCACTCCAGCTGATGACGTCCGCATTGCTCGAGCGCGTCTGCTTCATGTACTCGGTGGCCTTGTCACCGTTCATGATGCGCTTGCCGACTCCCATGACGCTCTTGAAGACGCCGCCCAAGTCGCCGCGCATATACGACGTCGCGGCGCCAAGTGCGCCCGAGCCGGCGTCCATGAGCATGCTGCAAGGACGATGGGTCAGTCGAGAAAGGAGGAAGACGCAGAAAGCGGACGAACTTGGGCTCTTTCAGCACGCCCTTGGTCGAGTACATGTACGGCAGGTCAAGCGCGGAGCCAGAGTGGCACTACAGAGATCGACGAGTCAGTGACATCCCCACACGCATTTACGAGCGAACGCACGCAGTCAAAGATGGCGGTCAACCTGCAACCCTGCGGGAGGGGCGTGACGAGCAAGCGATGCATGTCGTTGTCGACGATCGTGCCGGCGACTTCGTGGTCGAGAGGGTAAATGTTTTCGTCGTAGCCGTCCTCCTCGTCGCCTTCCGTCGCTTCTTGCTGCCCGCCGTGGCCCGAGTCTGCAGAGGAAGGGTGGCTGAGTCCTCGTTCGCCAAAGAGCAACTCCCGCATTGGCGAATAGCGTGAGACGAAAAGACGTACAATGGAAGAAGAGCGCATCGTTCGGCCGCGCGTCCTTGACGAGCCACTGCATGCCGCGAATCTGCGAAACGACCGCAAAGTCAGCCCGCTCCTCGCTTCGGACCGCAGCCCGAGCACGTACGATGTTCGCACGTGTCGGCAAGCTCATCTGCGTCGCGTCGGGCGTGTCGAGCAGCATGACGATGTCCTCCTCCTTGTAGTTGTATCGCTCGCACAAGAATTTGGCCATGTTGCGGGCGTCGTTGTGGCAGCCGTTCAGCTGGTTGCGCGTGCCTGCGAGAGCGTCAACAAGTCAGTGAGCGTTCCTCGGATCTTGGCAGACGCGATTGCGTACCGGTGTCTGCAGGAGGAGACAGACATCAGCGAAGATCTCCCTGAAGCCGCGAAACCGGACGCACAGTTGATTCCGATGCACAAAGCCTTCCTCCTGCCCGACAAGTTTGAGTAGTACTGGCTCTGATCGCCGGTCGGCGTGCTGTGCATGGCGAACTGGCCGCCTTGGTACTGCGAGGGAACGTTGTACTGCTGCTCCTGCGCGCCGTAGTGCGTCGGCGGCGGGCCGAGCGGAGCGCCGTACTGCTGAGCATACGAGTTCTGTCCGCCAAACTCGGGAGGAGCGTTGTACCTGCTCGGAGAGATCGTCAGCGGGACCTTCGACGAGGCGAAAGAGGCGAGAACGCACTGGTACTGGTCGTGGTGCGGGTGCGGCATGCCCTGGTTGTAGTCCGAAGGGGGAGGACTCGTGTAGCCCGTGTTGTACCCTCCCTGGCCTCGATACTCGTCGTATCCTCCTCCGCCGTACTGGCCGGGCGGCGGACCGGGGGGAGGAGCGTAGCCACCCGGACCGCCGCCGTAGCCACCTCCTCCATAGCTGTCTCCTCCGTACCCGTAGCCCTGAGGCGGTCCAGGCGGCGGGGCGTAGCTGTGAGCCGATGAGAGATGAGCAGGTGTGGGGAGGGAGTGAGCGGAAGGAAGCGGGCGCACCCCTGGTTCTGCTGGTAGTGCTGCTGCTTGTGAGCGTGGTAGTTTGCTCCTGGGTACGACATGGCAAGCTGGAGAGCGAGAGCAAGTGAGAGGGAGAGGGTCGAGGTGAAAGAGGAGGACGAGGTCGAGACCTTGGCGACACGGTGAAGCCCGGTGCTTTCAAGCAGTAGAATGGAATGCAAGCAACTCGCGAACAAGGCGGGCGAGCAACCCGTGCGGAAATACGGGTATTTTTACAAGACTCCTCCTCGTCGAACTACACTGCATCGACTTCGCCGAGGTAGACGACACCCTCCACGCCGCCCGACGCCAGTATAGGCTCCTTCGGCGACCACGCTGTCGAAATGACGGTGCCGGTGTGGCCAGGAAGCTGCGAGAGGGAGAAGCGAGAGAGTCAGTGCCCCGTACAAGCTCTGCAAGGACAGCGCGGGCTCGATAGGTGCAACACGCGCCATCCACACAGGCGAAGGGCGACCGACGAACGTACCTTGTACCGGATCTCGCCCGTCATCGTGTCCCACACCGTCAACGCCCTGTCCGCCCCTCCCGCCGCAACCATCGTCCCGCTCTGCCCCTCGCTCGTCGGGTGCCGACTAAAGCTCGCCTTTCTCAGCAGCTGCTCGAAGCCCGCCGGCGCGCCATAGAAGCTCCGCACCAACCGCGGGTGCAGAGTCGGGTTGGTGGTGTTGATAGTCGGCGCGAAGGGCTGGACGGACCGGAGGTGGAGGGTCGAGTCCATCGCGCACGAGAGGAGCTGCGAGTTGTTGGGCGAGAGGGCGAGCGAGGTCACGGTGTCTTGGTGTGCGCGGAGGGTGTACGAGATGGCGTGCGAGGTGAGGGAGAAGACGTGGATGTCGTTGTCGAGGCCGCCGATGAAAAGAGATTGGCCGTCTTCCGACCATTTTACCTGCGGTGAAGAGCGAGTTAGCGGGTTCTGCACAGTCAATCAAGCAGAACCAGCGAGCAAATCGCCTGTAGGTTCAGCCAAGCGAGACTCGAACGCAAACTCACTGCCGTGATAGGGTATCCCAGCTCGACCACCTCGATCTCCTCCTTCGCATCCTCGCTCCACACCCGCACCGTCCCATCATCGCTTGCACTCGCAATCAGTCCCCGCCCAACTCCTCCCCGCTGCACATCCACCGAGTTGACGATCCCCTTGTGTCCTCGGAATCGTCGTATCGCTTCGCCAGTCTTCAAGTCGAACAGGAAGAGAGTGTGGTCGGTGCAGCCGGCGACGAGGGTCGAGGAGGAGGTGAAGGCGATCGAGGTTGGCGCGCCCTTGCCGAGTCGCAGGACGCCGTAGCTGTGCGCGAGAAAGAGGTCAGGTCGCGGTGAAAGCTTCAGCAGGGCCCAGGGATGCACGCACTTTTGGCACTCGCCGTAGACCCTCCACAACAAGATGGTCTTGTCCGCCGAAGCGCTCGCAAGGGTGTCGCCGTCAGGCGAGAACGCCAAGTCCAACACCTCTGCACCGTGGCCCTGTAGCGCACACAGCGTCAGCACGCGTCTGCATCTCGCGGAGTCGCGACCAGGACGAGGTGGAGAGAGGCTCACCCGCAAGCACATGATGGGCGCCTGGAGACCGCTTGTCCGCTTGACCGTCTGGATGAGAGCGCCCTTGTTCGACCCTGCCTCTGGCGCAGCGACCACGAGCGTCTGCGCATTCACCTCCTCGTCCGCCATCCGCTGCCGCTTGATGAGCGCCGCAGAGTCCTGCCCTGGTCGCTTCGACACTGCGCGTAGCGGATCTGGTAAGCTACCGCGACGTCTTCAGCCAGTCAAGTGCACGCACTGGTGGTGTGGGAGAGTTGCGGGTGAGGTTGACCTTCGCGTAGGAGGAGGCAGGCGGTTTGGCACTGGCCACACCGCTCACTCGCCCAGGATGGCTGCTGAGTGTGCCCAGTCGCCTCAGATTGACTAGGCAAAGCTGCCCAGCTAGCACCTGGACCGCCCAATCCTGCTGCCGTCGAGGTCCGCCGCTGCTCCTCCAGGCGAGCGTGATCGACTCTCTCGCTTCCTATGCGGGATGGAATAGGTTGCAGGTGTACGAGACGTCGCTGAAGGACTCCGGCAGCCATGCGCGAACCCGCCCGCCCCGGACGCTCGCCAATCCACCCGCTCGCACCTCCTCAGCCGGGCCTTGTCCTCCTCGTCCCTCTCTGCTCTCGCTTGCATACTGCTTTACCTCTTCCAGCCTTGCTGTGCAAGCTATCTAATCCCACCAACTGATCTATACGCTCCTTCCGACCCTTCGTTCTCGCTTCTCTCGCCCGCGCCATGCACTTCTCCTTCCTCTCCCTCTTCGCCCTCGCTCTCACCGCAACCGGCGCGACCGCGAAGTCTTCCTCGACTACGACCAAGCACGTCAAGACCTGCTCGCCGCCGAAAAGCGACTACCTCTGGAACGTCCTCGCCAACAAGAACCGTTCGTCTACCCCTCCTTTCCTCTTTCCTCCTGGCTCTGCTGATCCAGTCTGTCCGAACAGACAACATCGGCTTCCAGACTTCCTCTGCGACGCATGTCCGACTCGCGACCCGCGTGACGGACAAGGTCAACACGCATGAGAACCTGTTGTGGAACGTCGTGCCCGCTTCGAAGGGCGTGCATCACACCGAGTGCGTCCCCTTACCTCATAGCGTCTACAACACCGTGCTGACTAGTAAACGAGCAGGACGACGACCGGCAAATGCCTGACCAGCCACGGCAAGAACGCCGCCGTCACCCTCGGGTCCTGCAAGTCTCCCTCCGCCGCCGTTCGTCCCCGTCCCCATTCCCTTTTCCTCCGCTTCCTCGCTGATGGCCTGTTGCATGCGCAGTGGGAAATTAGCTGCACCAAGTGTGGCAAGACCGCTTGCGGTGACGAGTTTGCGGACGAGTGTCTCGTCAAGAGCAAGACGCACAAGGGACAGTGTATTGCGCGAGTCGACGGCGCGCGTCCTGCGTTCCTTCTCTCTGTCTGAGGAAGCGCTCACGTTGTGTGCGCAAGCAGGGCCTCCGCGAGCTCCCTTGCGACGCCAAGTCGAAGATCCAGCTCTGGGACTTTACGCTCGCTTAACCCGTCCCCATCTCTCTCGCTGCGCCTCTACGAATGAACGCAGCTGGTCCTGCGCTCCTCTCCGTATACCCATACCTCGCAATCAAATCTCGTCTGAGCTGATCGCGGTACCGAAAGAGGGGGATTGCAAGCGACGAACGATGAACGCAGTTACAAACAAGCTTGACGATTAGGCCAGGACTAGGATTATGAGAGCGTATGTACAGCACGATTTAAAGCGGTGGTAGGTGTGTCGGTGCGGATTAGATCTCGCGCGAAGGACCGGCGAGGGCCGACATCATTGCCGTGTTGTTGATGAGGCCGTTGTCGCCTGCTCCGCCTTGTCCGCCACCGAAGAGGTTCATCTGCGCATCCTCCAGCGTCAGCATAGCTCCGCAGAAAGAAGAAAGGGAGAACGCAGACGCACCGGCACGAAGATGACCTTGGATCCCGCCGTCTTGGCCATACTCTGCAGCGCCTCGAGCTGGCGGATCTGGATCGCCGCGCTCGAACTGAGGATGTCGGCTGCCTCGCGCATGAGACGCGCCGAGTCGACTTCGGCTTGGGCGGCGATGACTTTCGCTTCGCCCAAGCGACGCTGCTGGGCGGCGGAGGAGAGCGAGGCTTGGAGCTCGGGAGGGATGAGGACGCTGCGGGTCGCCAGATCGTCAGTCGTGACGGCATGAGGGAATGAAGGGCAACGCACTCCTTGAGCAAGATGTTCTCGACTTTGACGCCCCAGCGCTCCGTAATCGCCTCGACAAGCTCCTCAATCTCGCTCGCGACGGCCTCGCGCTCGGTGAGGAGCGACTGGAGGTTACGACCACCGATGACGTCGCGGAGCGTCGTCTGCGCGCGCTCGACGAGGGCCTTGCGGACGTCGGCGACTCCAAACGCGGCCTTGTACGGGTTGATGATGTGCTATCAGAGAAACGGGGGCCGGTGAGCGTGTGAAGACTCACCGAACAGAAAGGGCTGCGCACGTAGATGATGACTGCCTCGACTTGGACCGTCAGGTTGTCCTTGGTCAAGACGGACTGGTTCGGCAGCTCGACGACCTGAATCTGCACGTTGACCGTGTTCATCCTCTCCGAGAACGGGTTGATCTTGACCAACCCGGGGTCGACAGCGCGGTAGAACTGTCCGAAGCGCGTGACGAGTCCGACGTGGCCTTGGCGGACGGTCTGGGGAGTGAGAAGGTCAGAGGAGGTCTTGTGGCGCGAAGGAGGCGGACGCGCACCTTGTAGGGGTTCGGGCAGAGGATACCTGTCAATCAGCAGTGTCAGCCTCGGGAATTAGCAGAGGGAGTCAGAAGGCGAAGCGACGAACAGCACGGGATCGAACCGAGAGTTCCGGCGAAGCCACCCTGCGACGGGCAAAGTCAGCGAGACGTTGCGAGAAGCCTCGAAGGATAACTCACGAGGCAGTTGATCATCGAGCCGTAGCAGCCATGCTCGATGTCGCTGACGGGAAGCGTCTGTCGTCGTCGAAGAGGTTAGTCGGCGGCTCGAAAACAGGCAGGCGGAAGCGGGAACTCGCCTGGGCGTAGGACTGTTGCATGTCGGCCTTCCTGAGGGGCTGAACCTGGACAAGACCGCTACGAAAGGCGCCGAAACGAGAGTCAGCGGTGGGTCGATCTGCAGGGGCGAGGGAGGACTTGCGGCGCATCCCTCGTCGTCTGGCGGGTTGGGTGGTCGCCCAAAGTGGGAGATCCGTTTGGGTGGTCCATGTGCATGACTGGGGCTTTGAGCGGGTCGTCGTGGGCGTGCGACATGGCGAGTTGATGGATTGTCGAGGGATGCGCGTGCGAGGGTGGGAGTTTCGCTGGGTGGCTGCTGGTGGGCAAGAGAGTCAGTCTGAGTCGTGTCTGAGAGTGTCCTGAGCTGTACTCGCCGTTGTCCGCGTTGTGTACGAGTGCAAGCCAAGTCCCTTGACCGACTCGAACAAGTGGGGCCAGTGGCGGTGCCAGGCGCCGAGTCCCGGAATAGCTCCCGCTAATCAACGGATTACAACTCGCTTTGTATTGCAAAGGATTACCCTCTCACCATTACAACTCAGCCATACCCCCGTTGTATTCCTGCTCCCTTACAAACTTCCAACAGCCCTCTCCTCGTTCGCGGTCGGTTCGGTAGCGAGCAGCAGAGTCAGAAGCCGTAGCAGCAGCAGCAGCAGTCCACACAGGTGCGTCCCTCGCCGTCGCCGCCGCCCACCTCGCTGTTGCCGCCTCCCCCTTTTTCGATGCCTCGCGAGGGGACGACAGCTGACCCTGTGCTTGCTTTAACACTCGCTACCGCCTTCTGCGACCTCGATACTCGTCCTCGACCATCCGCGCAACCCGACCGTGCCGCCGTCGCTGTTCTCTCGACCCCTCGCCCCGACCTCCCTTTCCCTCATCTCTCCGTGTTCTTTCGACTCGCCAACTGCTTCCGCTGCGCTACTGACCCTTGCGAACGATCTCGCGCCCACTCTGCTCCGACCGACACACCACCCACTCCGTACGCCTTCTCTCGACCGCCCCTCTCGCCTGCCCGCTCGACAACTCCGTCTCGCTCGCTCTCCCCACACACTCACGCTGCACCTCACCCAAGCAGAGAAGAAAGAAGAAGAAGAGAAATGGCGTTCGCCCAGCCCTTCCCGATGAACCGCCGCGGCTGCTTCGTCTGCGGCAAGCCCGGCCACATCGCCGCCGCGTGCACCTCGACCGAGAGGCTCTGCTTCAACTGTGGCGTGAGTTCTACCTTCAGATGTCGTGTGAGCAGAGGGGCTGAATGAGCGATGTTGCGGTTCCGCAGGAGCCTGGACACGAGTCGAACGCTTGGTACGTTCTTCCCCCCCTTCTTCTCGCTCTTCCTTTCGACGCGAATCTGACGAGTCGTGACATACATGCAGCCCGAACCCGAAGGTGTCGGACAACAAGCAGTGCTACTCGTGCGGCGGAATGGGCCACCTGGCGGCGTGAGTCTGGTAGCTCGCTCCTTGCGATCTCTCGAGCGTGACGTTGCTCGAGGCTCGCTCTTTGGAGTTTCCCGAAGACTGACAACTGTTGCTGTTGCAGTGACTGCCCGAGCATCCGCGTCGCGTGAGTCTCACCTCTCTCCTCGTCGCACGCCCGGAAAGACTGAACCCTTCTCTCCCCGCAGTGCCACCCTCAGCGCCGCGGGCCCGAAGTGCTACAACTGCCAGCAGTTTGGCCACATCGCCCGTTCGTGCCCCAACGCCACCGTCGAAGCCGGCGCCGGCGTCGGCGTCGACGGCGTCGCTCCCGTCGCGCCCGTCCCCGTCGCGGCTCGTCCCCTCGGCGCGCGTGTCGGAGGCTTCGCTCCTCGCGGTGGGTTCCGTGGTGGATTCATGGGCGCGCGTGGTGGATTCATGGGCGCTCAGGTGGGTGGTCGCGGTGCGTTTTCCTCGCTCTCCTCTCGGAACTCTTCCTTCGCTCGGAAGCAGGTACTGATAGAGGGTCGGCACGTGCGTACAGGCCGCTGCTACGGATGCGGCGGGTTCGGACACGTCGTCGCTACGTGCCCGACGGCTGCTGCTTTCGGCGCGCCCCGCGGTCCCAAGACGTGCTACAAGGTGCGTCTTTCGCTCCTCTATCGCTCGCTACAATTCGCTGACGTCCCGTACCTCCTTGTGTGTAACTCTACAGTGCCAGCAGGAGGGCCACGTGCGTTCCTCTCGTTTCCGTCTGCCACCTCTACGCGCCGCGGCTGACTCCTCCTCGCTCGCACAGATCGCCCGCGACTGCCCGCTCAACGCCGTCCCCGCCGAGACCGCCACCATCGCCTAAGCGCGCTCGCCCTCTCTTGCCCTTCCATCCTTCTTTCTCGTGGCAGACTGGCGTGCGGCTGCAGGAGGAGGAGGTCGTCCCTTGTTTCTTCCTTTCCTCGAGTCGGAGTCGTCGGATCCTCTTCTCTCTCTCTCGTTTCCCCTTGCAATTATTTCCTTCCACCTCGAGACTCTGCCCGCGGGACGAGTGAGAACGTTCTCCGCCGTCGGCATGCGGCACGATCTCGGTTCGCTTTCGACCGTGCTCGCCCTCTGCTTTCTCTTCCTCCCGCTCTACTGGCGCGAGGATGTCCTCAACGACGGTGGTCAACGACCCGCCTCGACCCGCTACAAGACCCGTCTACACAGGCGGCTCGCTCGCTCGAATCGTTACTTCGAACCAGCTCTTACCAACCGAGTCGCTCATCTCGCAGCGTGGAGGGGCTACAGAGCTCCGAGAACGGGAAAGGGATGGATTGGAAGCGGGGTTGACAAGGCAGGTGGTCGATGAGAAGGGACGCAGGCCGGCGGATGGGGGAGAAGCGGAGGTGGGAGAGGGAGGGGTCGAGGAGAGGGACGTGGTGCTGACGGATGGGAAGGAAGGTGTGGCGGAGGAATGGACGTTCCCCGATGGCGGTTGGAGAGCTTGGAGCGTCGTGTTCGTGCGTATTTTCACCTCGAGTGCTGGAGGAGGAGGAGCAAGTTGACCTTGACTCCATCTCTCGCTTCGTCCACAGGGATGCTGGTTGTGCGCTTGTAATGTGCAGGGGTACGGAATGGCGTGGGGCGCGTTGGTGGGCGACCTGCGGAAGAACCACCATCCCTCATCTTCCCTCGCGACACTCAACTTGATTGTCGGGCTGTTCAACTTTGTGAGTTCGATTTTCGGTCCACGAGGCTTCCCCAGGGTCGACTGCCTCGCCGCGGAGACATGCACGACATAGCGCTCCTCGTGCTCACTCTTCACACTACCTCGCAGGGCCTCAACGCCTCTCCGTTCATCACCGGCCGACTAGGCGAGCTCTTTGGTTTCAAGCGCATGATTGCCATCGGCATCACCATCTCGATCTGCCTCCTCGTCATCTCCGCCTGCGCCGTGAACTCCCTCCCGGCCCTTTTCGTCTGCCAGGGCTTCCTCCTCGGCTGCGCGCACGGCATCTCCCTGCCGCTGTTCATGACCCTGCCATCGCAGTGGTTCTCCAAACGACGAGGGTTGGCGACGGGAGTGGTTGTCTCAGGCGCTGGGTTCGGAGGAGGTGCGGCGTCGCTCATCTTGCGCGCAATCCTCCCGTCGCTCGGGTACCGGTACTCCCTCCTCGTCTACGCGGCGATCAGCACCGTCACGTACATCATTGGATGGTCCCTCCTCAAGGTCCGGAAACCGCCCCTCCGCGCCGTCCCTCAACGCTTCGACACCAAAACTGGGCTTCCTCCCGGCATCTGGCGCGACGGCGCCTTCTACAGCCTGATGGCGTCCGTCTCCATCGGTGTATGGGGCTTCCTCTCGCCCTTCTACTACCTCACCGAATTCACAACCAAGAACAACCCCTCGCTCGACCCAAACTCGCTCGTCGTCGCCGTTCCCCTCATCGTCGCCAACTTTGCCCTCGCCGTCGGCCGCGTTGGTGCAGGCCTTTTTGCAGACCGGATCGGGCCAGCGAACGCCATGTTCCTTACGTTCTTCGCCGGCGGGATCCTCCAGCTCGCTTTCTGGAGTCAGCTCGGCGAAGGACAGTTCGGCGCGACCATCGCCTTTGCCGTCTTGTTCGGCCTCTTCGGCTCGTCCTTCTTCCTCCTCATGCCGGCAGTCGCGTCGCAGCTCTTTGGCCTGCGAGGACTCGCAACCATAACGGGATGGGTCGTGACGAGCCAGTCGCCGGGACAACTCGCAGGAGCGACAGTCGCTGGTGTCGTTCTCACGTCCGCGGGTGGGTACAGCGGAGTCGCCTACTACGCAGGAGCGATGATGCTAGGCGGCGCAGCGCTCATTTTACCAGGTTCGTCGCCCTCCTCACCCTCTCTCGCCGGACTCCGCTCACATCTTCGCCTCCCTTAGCTCGCTTCATGCGTGAGCGGAGATTATTCGCCCGCTACTAGAGCATCGTAGAACTATTTATCGCGCCATGTAGATCTTTATTCTTGTTGCATTCGCTAGACGGCCTCATCGACGTCGCCGCTTCGTTCTCTTGCCGTCTCGCCGCTCACTCGCTATGGACGAACGAAACAAGGCTACACGGCCAGAATCACTGCTAGACTCGGATAGACCCGCTTGCCACCCCGTCCTGCGCGACGTCGTCCTCCTCGACGCCATCTTCAGCGAGGCAAGTCCCTCCCGCGCTTCGTTCCCATCGCGCTCGCTGACCGCTCGAGTGCTCGCAAACACCAGCTCGAGCGCTACGACCTCGTCCGACTCGCTGGCGTCTCAACCCTGTGGGCGGAGGTGGCGCAAAGGCGCCTCCTGCTCGATGTGAGGTGCGAGTCGGCTAGGAGCGTTGAGGCGTTCCGAAGGCTCGTGATGCACAAGGAAGGCGGGTACGGGAATCGAGTACGCGGATTAAGCCTGACGAGGTGCGTTTCAATCCGTCAGAGAAGCGAGGCGCCTGCTCAGCTTCCTCCTCCTCTCGCAGACCATCTCTCTCGCTCGTCCCGATTCTCCCGACTTTCACGCCCAATCTTACGCACCTCGAACTCACGCCAAGCGCCAACATAAGCGACTCTCTCACGCTCGCTACTCTGCTCTTGCACCTCCCACGACTCGAGAGTCTGCGCATCAGCGGACAGGACCTGCGAAGTCGGAGACGCAGGCTTGTCGACTTCGAGCCGGAGGGTCATGTGGGACAGGCTCTGAGGCTCGTGGCGGACGAACTGGAGCGAAGTGGGGAGAATGCGCCGCGGCTGGAGCTCAAGTCGCTCGTTGTGCGCAACACGCCGTTGAAGCTGTCCTCGGTCGACCACTTCCTCGAAGTTTGCGGCGGTCGTCTAAGGCAACTCGCCCTTGAGGGCTGCGGCATCGACTGTCGTGCGGTCCTTCTTGCCGAGGAGTTCTGCCCCGACCTTCGCGAGTTCCGCCTTGATGCCATCGTCTCGACTTCCGCACCTGCCGCCACGCCCCGCATCCGTCGTCCGCCCATTGAGCTCCTCCGCGACGCACCCGTCATGCTCTCTTCCCGCCTTACAACCCTCCATCTCGCCTCCCTCCCGCATCTCCCCGTCTCGACCTTCTCCCTCTTCTCGACATCTCACCACGCCTCCCTCCGCTCCCTCTCCCTCGTCCACTGTGACCTTACACCCGCGCACCTCTCCCACTTCACGAGCATCACCCGCCTCCGCCTCGTCGACTGCCCAACCATCACCTCAGTCCCCGCCTTCGTCGATACCGCCTTGCGACCGGACTTGGGCGCCGGCTGCAACGCGCTTAGGTCGTTGACGGTGCTGGGGAAAGGCGGGAACTTGCCGTTGCGCAATTTGTGGGAGCTGGCGATGCTTGGACGGGTGGACGGGAAGGGCGGGCTGGCGAGGCTGACGGTCGACAGCACGAGCGCCTCGGACTCACTGTTCAATGGTGCGCTCTTCCCGTCGTACCCGACAGGATTGTGCTGACTATGTGATTTCCTTCCAGTGGGCGGCATCGTCTTCTCCCTCCCAGCCGGCCTTGGTTCGCCAATGGCCTCGACGCTCGCCAATCCGCACATTCCCTCAGCACTCCCTCAGAACCTCGCTCCACCTCCTCATCTTCAGCCCTACCTCGCCACCGGCATTCTCTCCGCCGACCTCCCGCCTCTCGCCCTCCTGCAGACCCTTCTCGCCGCTTCAGACCTCGAAGAGCTCAGTCTTTTCGGCTCAGCACGCGCCGACTCGCTCGCTGCCGTCACGCACCGTCGATCGTCCTCGGTACCGCTCGCGGAACACCTCGCCGACCTCGCGCGACAATACGTCGGAGGAGCGCTGTCTTGCCTGCCGCTCATCGGTTGGCTCTTTTCGCCTCTCGGTTCGGCGACCTCGACTTTTCCTCCTCGCAACCCGCCCGTCCCGTCTTCAGCTTCTGCACCGGACGTTGACTTCCAGCTTGCCGCGAAGATGGCCTTCGCAAGTACTGGTCTTCCTACGCCGCCTGCGCTCGACCTGCCCTTCCACCCCCCTTTCCCCTCGCCCACCTCGACTCAAGCGTCTGACGCATCGCTTCCGACCCGTCGCGGCTGGCTCAAGCGCCGACTGAGCCGCGTCGAACCGGCCGACAAGCCATCGCCGCCGTCGACGAAGCGCTTACGGGCAGAAGAGGTGGAGTGGCTCGTCCAGGCTTCTCGCCAGTCCGGCGGCAGGCTCCGCAGGGTATACGTGTGATGTGATAGACGTCCCTCCTAGAATTGCGTGAACGAAATAGACTATAGAGAAGCTGGAACGGACGAGATAAGTTTTGCGAGATGCGAGAACTACTGAAGAGATGGAACTGCTGTGATAACCTGGAAGAGGACGACATCCGACGACAAAGAGAGTCCGACAGAAGAGGGAGAATAAGTGTCTGTAAGGCTAGGAGAGTGCTACACGGCGAGATCGAAGGTTTGGACAGTCGGGTCGTAGGATGCCGGTCCTTCGCTGCCGAACGCGGTAAGGAACTCGTTGTAGTCGAAGGTGGCGCTGTCGCCAAGCTGGACGTCGGTCGACGACGAGTAAGGCGCGCCGGCGGCATCGACCGTGGACGACAGAAGGCGGTCAAGCTGAACGTTGCAGGCGTTAGCGTCAGCTGCGACGGAGGGCGGGAAGCCAACACACCTGCTCGAGCGAGAGCTGTCCACTAGCGTCCGCCGACATGCCCAAGCCAAGCGCATCACTGTCGAGACCGCTCAAGCCGTCGATAGCGTCCAAAGATGCGACCGAAGTCCAGGGATCCGAAGCGAGGTAGTTCTGAATCGCGTCGGCTGTGTCGCCCTGAAGGGTTCCGAGTCCGCCAGGATGGAGCGGTTCCTTAGCCAGCTGGGCGCTGATTTCGGGCGGAAGGACCGTGATGACCGCTGGAGCAGGAGGCTGGTCGGCGGAAGTGCTGGCGCTGGGCTGTTGCGTGACGCGCTGGGGATCAAAAGCGTCAGCAACTGCGCCGGAAAAGCCGCGCCTGAGAACAGTCCGACACACCTTCTTCGACTCCCGAGTCTCGCTGATCGAGTTGGCCATCGAGGACCGCCTCCGCTTGCTCGCCGCAACATTCGCACTCGCCGTGCCCGCCGGAGAAGCAGCATTCTCGCCGGCCTTGTCCGCCACCGCCGCTTCCGCAGACGCGCCCGAGGCCGACGGAGTAGGCGGAAGCGGAAGATCCTTGTTCCGCGGCGTATTGTCCAGCGACGTACTAGTCCGCTGCGTCGTTGGAGGAGGGGGCATGCTCCCCTCCGCCGCAGCCGAAGACGCCCTTCGAGGCCTGCCCTTGTCCTTGTCCTTACTCAGCTGACGCTTGGCCATCTCGAGCTGGGTCTGCTGACTCGCGACGAGCGAGGCGCGGTATCGGTTGTAGGCTTCGGTCGTCTGCTGGAGCCGGTCGGGGTTGTAGTTGAGCGCGTTGGGCGAAAAGGATTGGACAGGTGAAGTGGCTGTAGCAACTCGCGAAAGGTTAGTGTCCGCCCCGTGAAGAGCGAACGAGCGAAACGTACCTTGTCCCGTGCTAGCGGGCGTTCCAGGCGTTCCGACGCTAGGCGAATGCGGCAAGACATGCCGGCTGTGGATCTGCTGAGCATGCACGCGAGCCTGCGCCATCCTCGCGTTGATCTCGGCCTGCTGCTCCTGCTGACGCTGGAGCGCCTGCGCATGCGCCATCGCGCTCTTGTGGCGGCTCGAACGACGAGTCCCGCCGGGCGTAGAGGCTACTTCGTCGGTTGGAGCCGAGGGTTCGCGTACTGAGCGGATGGCGGGTTCAGGCTGGGCCGAGGGAATGCTGGGGTTGTCCGGCTGACGAAGCGGGATAGGTGGTCGAGGTGCGTTCGGCTGAGACGGCGGGTGCTGCTGTTGCGGATCTTGCGCATACGTGGGCTGAGCGACGACGGAAGGTCTTCGCTGAGGCGGAGGCTGCGCGCCGGCATGGAAGGACGGTCTTCGACCCTGCGCCTGCGCCTGCGCCTGCACGTGCGCCTGATGCGCCTGCGCCTGCGATCGAGCCTGCGCATGTGCATTCGCCTGCCTCTGCATCGCCACATCGACCGCCGCCGAGCTAGCCTGGACGAACGACCTCGCCGCTGCGGGATTCGCGTTGCGCCCCGCCGCACTCGCCTTGGCTCGAAAGACGTCCCAGAAGACGTTCCACCATTCGTAGAGGAAGCCTTGGTCTGTCTCGATCTGGACTTTGGCGGCGGGAATACGGAGGGCCGAGTATTCGCCGCCGGTTGACGAGCCAGAGATGTTGCGCGAGTTGGCCTGCGAAGTCCGTTTCGAGGGACTACCCGGCCCGCTCGCGTCCTTCGCAGGACTAGGCGCGCCGTCCTCGTCGTCCGTCGCTCCTCGACCCGACCCGTCGAAGCCAAAGTGCGTAGCGGTCGAGGCGGTGCTGGCTGTACTTTCGACCGTATCGGCGTTTGTAGGACCGGCATCTGCACCGAACGTGTCTTTTCGAGGCGAGATGGGCTGGGAAGGCGGAGGACCGAGAGGGAGAGGGGAGAGCGCGGAAGGGGAAGTGAAGAAGAGCGAGCTGTTGCCCGAGGTCGCTTGGCGGAGTCGAGGGCGTGGGAGGACGTAGGACCGGCCGGAGGAGGGAGAGTGAGTGGGGATGCTGGGTGAGTCGGAGAGAAGCGCGGCGGCGGTCGAGAGGAAGCCCGCCTTTTGTAGGTAGTCGAGCAGGTAGGCGCTGCGCAAAGGAGGAAGGTCAGCGATCGCGATCCGCGCCAGCAGACACAGTCAACGCACTGGAAGCGCAAGCGCTGGTCCTCATCTTCGTGCAAATCAAACGGCTCCGCCGCCTGCGGCACCGCTCGCTGGGCATGATGCTGAGCCATTCCCTGACTCTGTTGCTGCTGTACCGGCACCGCCGTGTACCCATTCCCAATCGTCTGCAACGGCGCAGAGACGGGCACGACTTCCTCGTCTTGCCTCGCACTCGCGAACCGCCGCTCTTGCTCGGGTCGGCGCGCGAGGCGCGCGCGCACAGCGTCTGCGTGCGCATGAGCTCGACGGCGCTGCATCTCCTCGTTCTCTGCGTCACTGTAGAAGTCGCGCTGCTGCTGCTGCGACGCTTGTTGCGGCTGAGCGTGAGGAGGATGTTGAGCGGGAGGCTGGGGATAGGACAATTGGCGTGCGTGCGGGTTGGGCGATATTTCGTGCGCAGGGTGCGGAGCGTGCGGAGAGAGGTGGTGCGGGCGAGTCGGGCTGGGGTTCGGATGAGGAGGGGCGTAAGTCGCTTGCGAGTTCGAAGGATGAGAGGGGAAGGGCCCGCTGGGCTGCTGCTGGCGCTGCGGAGGATGGGGATGCTGCTGATAAGGTGACGGTCCCGGTTGAGGATAGGTCGCAGGCGAGTTCGAGTAGGGCGAAGGCGCAGGATGCGAGTAAGGAGTGTGAGGAGGATGGGGAGATGGGTCGGGTTGGGACTGCTGCTGCTGCCGCGCCTGCATCTGCTGCTGGTGTTGCTGATGCTGCATGTGAGGCGACGGCGCAACGTTCTGCCCTCTTGGCGTTGTATGCGGCGACGCCTGTGGACCGTACGGATTCGACGAGACGACGACCGACGGTGGACGCTGCGGGTGGCCCGGATTCTGCACCTGACCCTGCTGAGTCCCGCCATACGCACTCTGAACCGGTCCATCCTGCATCGCCGCCGAACCCGACCCCATCTGGCCCAGTGCGCCTCCTTCAGCCGCACGACTTCCAGGTCGTATAGACTGGGTGAACCCGGCGTGCTCGGCGTACGCAGGTCGCTCGTAGTGACCCTGTGCGGCTGTCGGTGCGTACGAGGCCCTCATCTGCCCATGCGAGGGTCCAGCGACCGCGGCAGGTCCTCCTCCGCCGCCGTTGCCCGCAAACATCCCTGGTGTTCGCCCGTACTGCCGCACTCTAGTCCCTTCGAGAGATCCGCAAGCAGTCACCACAAGTCTACCAGCGCACTCGCCGCCTCGTCGGCGTTACTGGACCAACCCTCGAGGATCCGAAATGGAGCGCTGCTCGCTGAAAGCGTCCAACCGAGGCTTCCGCGCCGCTGTGCGGTCAGGGCTGGGTTGGAGATAGACTGTGCGCCGTGATCGACGACGTTTGAGCGCGCCAGGCGGCTTGCGAGCGGTGTTGCGGCGTCGAGCGCACGAGCGGGTGTGGTGTGGAGGAAGAACGGGCGCGGCGGCGAGTCGTGCGAGCGCTGGTGCGGGTGTGCTCGTCGGTGGTGTACACGCAGCGTGAGCCTGTCGCTGGCTTGTCCAGAGCCACGAGCTGGACGAAACGAAACGAGACGAGCTGCTTCTTCGTGCGAACGAGTCGAGGCTTCCGGCAAGAGCTCCTCCCTCCTTGCGCTCTAGCTTTCTACTCGGTGCAGCAGTGCTTGCTCGTCGTCCACTCAAAGCTAGCAGTACAGCCCAGCGAAGCACCCGCAAGTCCGCTCGAAGCAGCCACCCTCGCAACTCCGCTTCCTCGAGCGGCAAGTCTTGTCAAGGAAAGGCGCCTGACGACCGCGGGCATGACGACCCGGCAGGACTTGCTATTGACAACGAAAGAGGGGCAGCGCAGGATAAAACGACCGACCGGAGAGCACACACAGATAGCGAGAGCGAGCGAGAGAGTACAGAGCCGAGGCGCGCGGGGGGATGAACGAATAACGGGTTCGAGGGGGATGGTAGAGACGGACAATGACGATAGACGAACGAGGCGAGGCGAGAGAGACCGGATGCGAAGGGGAGAGTCGCGGTCGACGAGGTGTGTGTGTCGAGGCGGGGTTGGATGTGGGTTTTGCGAAGGCGGAGAACGGAAAAGGTCGCGGCGACTGCTGGGTGCGGGATGAGTGCAGTCGGCGCGAGCTTTCGAGGGTATCGAAGGAGTCTAGGGATCTGGGGGTTGGCACAAACAAGGGCGGGAAAACGGATGGCGGGAGGCAACGGCGACGACGAACAACCTAGACCTAAGCGACGAAGACGACGACGACGGATTTGCTGGAAGCGAGGCGGTTCCATGCGTTGAGAGAGATGCGAGGGAATGCGGTGACTGCGGGTTTTTTGCGAGGGAAGGTGGGTGGGCGGGAGGCGGGACTTAGGCGGCGCTGACGCCGTTCCAGCTCCAGGTCGGCTCGCCTCCGAGAGCAGGCAAGCCCGCGCCGCTCGTCGTCGGGCTCGCGAGCGCGCCAGGGAAGAAGTCAGGCGCGGTAGGCTGGAAAGCCGGGCGGCCCATCGCCATCGGGGGCGGGAGGCTCCTTGGCGGCCCGCCAGCGCCTCCGAGCGAGAGACCCGCAAACGACTCGTCGAGCGGCATGCCAGGCGGAGGCGGGGCAGTCGTGTAGTTCCCGCCCATGCCAAGGTCCGGGTGCGGCTGCTCAGTCCACTTGCCGCCTCCGATACCGCCGGGACCAAACGCGTGAGGCTGGTAGCGGTCCGAGAAGCCGTTCGGCGACGGTCGTCCGCCGTCGGCAAAGTCGACGCGCTCGTAAGGCGAGGCGGTGGGCGGCTGGACGAGGTACGACTCGGGGCGGATGGCCGTGTAGGGGGAAGGCGAGTGCGAGTGGACGGCGGGGTAGGCGGGCGCGAAGGGAGGGTGCGAAGCCTGGTGGTGCGCGAACGAGCCTGCGCCCGGACCGGCAGTCGGGGGAGGAGAGAGCGGCATCATGCCGGCCGGTGCAAACGCCGACGAGAAGGACGACGGCGAGACGCGAGAGTACGGGTTGCTGCCGCGCGGCGGCTCAGACGACGAAGGCGAAGCCGCCGACTCGAGCGAGGTCATCGAGCCAGTGAGGGCTGCGGAGCGAGCGAAAAAGTCGGAGCCGGCCGTCGAGTTGCTGTGGCTGCTCGTTCCGCTGTTGTTGCTCGTCGAGTTGGACCCGTTCGACGAGTTGCCGTTCTTGACGAGGTCGAGCACCTCGGACTCGCTCAAGCCGGCAGCGTTGGCGACGGCACGAACGTCCATCCTGCTGCTCCCGTTCGCGCCAGCCGAGTCCCTCGACGACACCCCGGCCGATTGAGGGCCGCCACTCCCGGTACCGTTACCGCCGACAGCGCTCGCAATCTGCTTGATAGTCGAGTTGTCCTGCCCCTGAACCATCCGCCAGACCGCGTCGAACGGCACACCCAGCGCGCTCGCCAGCTTGCGAACGTGCTCGACCTGCTTGTCGCCCTGCGAGCGACCCCACGAGAGGCGGATACGCGACTTGCCGTGGATCGGGAAGTCGTTCATCTTGGCGATGGCGAGTTCGGCGTCTTGGCGGCGGACGAACTGGACGAAGCCGCAGCCTTTGCCGGGCGGGATCTTGCAATACGTGATCTCGCCAAAGTGGTGGAAGAACGACTGCGAACGTCGAGCGAGTCAGCAATCGCAAGCTAGTACTCGCGAAGGAACGTGTCGCACCCTGAGCGTCTCCTCGCTGATGCACGCCGGTAGACCTCCAACGAACACTGTCGTGTTGTTCGGGTCTCCACCAGGCGGGACCGAGCCAGCCGGGATGTTGTTCCTCCCCGCTCCACCACCTTCACGCTGCGCGCGTCCTCCCTGACCAGCGCCGTTCGACCCAGGTCCTCCGCTTCCAAGCGAGGGCAACATGAGGCCGTTCCCGTTTGGCGCCGGGTTGGGCGGGCCGTAGGGTGACATGGGCGAGGAGAAAGCTGCGTTGTTACCGTATGATGCGGAGGAGAGGGTTGGCGAAGCGTAGGGGTTCTCGGGGAAGCCATCGTTCTGCTGCGCGGCGGCCTGCGGCGGGTAAGGCGGGAAGTACCCCGGCTGCTGCTGCTGGCCCTGCGGCTGTTGTTGCTGCTGCTGTTGCTGGCCCTGCGCCGCAAAAGCCGTATCGCCGCTCCTCGTCCTCGTCCTCTCGCGCAAATGCGGCAATCCCTCAACCGCATTCGGTCCTCCCGACCCGCTCGCTTCCGAGATCCGGATCGTCCGGCCGTGGAGGAGCAAGCCCGAGTGCGAATTGGACCCGAGGTGCAGAGCGCGCTGCATGTCGGATTCGTCGGCGAAGCGGACGAAGCCGAAGCCGCGTGAGAGGCCGGTCGAGGGGTCGCAAAGGACTTTGGCGGACTTGGTCGAGGGGAACAGGGGCGAGAAGAGGGCCTGCACGCGTTCAAAAACGGTCAGCGAGACTCAGGGCGAGAGCGAGAAACACGAGAACGCACCAGCAGATCCGCCTCTCCAACTTCTCGCGCCAGATCTCCAACGAACACGCTGAATTCTCCGTCCCAAGTCGGCTGCGACCCAGGCAGCCCAGTACCCCAGTTCAACTTGAACGTCTTGCCGCTGCGGGGCATGAGGACTGGCGGAGCGGCGTTGAAGCGCGAGAGGGCGCGGCTTGCGTCGGTTGCTGAGGTGAAGGTGAGGAAGCAGTAGCCGGAGGAAGGACTGTGCAACGTTCGAGGACGCGGAGAGCGAGGAAGGCGTCAGTGACCCGTCCCAGTCTGGCCCGGAAGAGACGGAACGCACCTCGCCCCACGGCTCATCTTGACATTCACCACGTCCCAACCCATCATCGAGCAGCACTCTCGGACATACGCTTCATCCATCCAGACATCCAAGTCCCCAAGGTGAAGCGTCGCGCCCCTCGACCCGGCCGGTCCAGACTCGGGCGGCGAGCCGGCGACGCTGTTCGAGGTGGCTGACATCATGGACGATGCGACGGACGGCGGAGCGAGGGACGAGGGGGGGCTGGTCGAGGTGGGCGAGAGGAGAGGCGGCGGGATTGACGAGGCGGGCGTGTTGCTCGCGCTCGAGGTCAGGCCCGAGGCGGTCGCGGACGTGGTCGAGAGGAAGCTCGGAGGTTGGAAGAACGGGCTCGTCGCGCCAGGACCGAGTCGCGCGTTCGCGAGAGGCGGACTGGCGAAGCTCTTGGCCGTCGAGAGACGCTGACTCGCCGAGTGTTCGAGCGACCTCCGCTGGTAGTCGCGGAAGAAAGCCTGTTCGTCGTTGTTGCTGCTCCCGCTGTCCTCGCTGCCGAGCGACGAGAGACGCGAGCTGATGCCGCCTGCAGCCCGGCTCGGTTCTCCAGAGGGGACGAACGCCATCGAGCCTGGTCCGCCAAAGCCGGTACTGAGGACCGCTCCGTCCGATGCGGCCCTCGTCGTACGCTGCGCTGCGTCGTCTCCTGCACCGCTGAACGCGTTCGAAGCCCGGCTCGAACCCCAAACGTCGCCTTCCGCCTTGTACGACATTGAGCGCGAGGGAGCGGTGGGGCGCGGCGAAGATGCCGACGAGGGTGTTTGTTCGCCGTTTGCTTGCGAGGAGGCGGTCAGGGAAGGGCCGCTGGCGGAGGAAACGCCGTTGGGAAGGTCGGAGGACGGGGAGGAGGGGTGGTTCGCGGCGGACGTCTCGTCGGTTGCTGCTCCGCCCGCGAGTTGTTGAGCGAGTTGGGAAGGGTTCGACGGGGCGGTCGTCGAGTTAGGGGAGGACGAGGCGGGCTGAGAGGTGTGGTGCGGAGATGGATCGTCCGGGATCGTCGACGGCGAGGACGCGTCGCTGGAAGGGTGTTGTTGAGACGACATGGTTTCGAGATGCGAGAAGAATGCTGTGGCTGCGTACGAGCGCGCAGGACGCGTCGAGAGGGTCAGTTGAATCGCCAGAGCCGCCATCGGACGATAAGCCGGGCAAGACCTCGACGAGTGAGCTGGGAGAGCGAGCGGCGCACCTGTGTTGCTGATGCGGTGTTTGTGCGTGTGTGCGTGTACAAGTGAATGCAGGGCGTGCAAGTGCGCCTGGGTATCTCTGCGCCCGTGTTTGCGAGATGCCTTTCCCCTTCCCGCCTGGTTGGTGGGGTCACCGGGACGTCCTGGCGGGCTCGCTCGACGCGCTGGGCGTTCGCTCGGGGGTCCTAGCTAGCCTGTACACCGCCGTGGTCCAGTCGCGCGTCCAGGCGAGCGCGTAGGGTGCCGTCGTCGCGGGACGAGAGATGGGGTTCCGGTTGAAGGGGACAGCGGGTGATGAAGACGGCGGGCGGTTGCGGGAGGTGGCTGGGCGGCGTGGGAGGTGCACGCAGGGTAGCTGTGCGTCGCTGGCAGTGTGCAGCGTGGGTGAGTGTACGCGGTCGCGCGCAACCAGCTGTTTTGGCGACACCGGGGGCAAGGGCGGAGCGGGGACTGCCTCGCTCTCCATCCACGAGCACGGCGAGCAGCAGCGACGACAGCAGGACAGCCAAATCGACGACCACGAGAACCTCGACCGTCCAAAGCCCACCCTCGAGCCTCCTCTCCTCGCTCACCTCCTCTCCTCCCCACCTCGCATGGCTCGCATCCCCCTAAACCAACCTCAGCTTGCTCTTGTTCACCTCCAGCAGACGCAGCGAGACGTGGTGGATAGCACCGAGTTGCAGCGATAGGAAAAGCGAGGCGACCCGCGCCCTTACGGAAACGTCTTGTGCGTGCCCGTCACAACTCCCACTCGTCGGTGCTGGCTGGCAGACGCGAAATGATGTGCTCGACCTGCAACATTGTCGAATGTCAGTTGAGCGTCGAGCAGATCGCGCCGGACAAGGGCGAGAGCGGGAGGAAGAGGGAGAGCAGCGAGCGGGTGCACGTGCGGAAATCGACAAGCACGCAGGACTCACCTCGTTCCGCAGCTCCGCGCAGAACAGGTCGAGGTTCAAGTCACTGTCGTCGACGCCGAAGGGCTGTATGAAAGCGAAAGCGACGAGTCAGCGAGACGAGGTGAAAGGTTCGCAGAGAAAGACAGGAGCTGGAACGCACCATCTCGACTTCGGTAGCGACGGCTTCGATGCCGGTCAGGGTGAACGCGACGACGGTGACGCTGTGCATTTAACGAGCGATGGAACGTTGAGAAAGGTCAGCAGGGGCGACCTTTGCAGATCGCTCAGAACGCCTCTTCCGCCTTACAAGGGAATCATCTGGCGCAAGCACAAAGTCAGGTTACTGAGGCGGGTTAACGAATGGAAGAGAAACGCACCGTGAAGCCCATCGACTCGCACAGCACGAATGGCAGCGTCAACAGGAACAAACTGGTGCATTGCTCTGTTCGCTCGCAGTCTCGTCAGCTCACCACAACGAGCAGATGAGGCGAGAAGGACGCACTGAGGTGGATGCCGTATACGGTCGGGATCCCGACGTGCGCGAGCGCTTCGACGGTCGTGAAGCAGTCGACGAGCTGGCTGACCGAGGCCGAGAGGGCGTTGTAGCCTGCGGTTTCGAGCGGTATCGCGATGTAAGCATCTGTATACTGGCGATGAGCGAGGGAGGCGGAAGAAGCGCACCTGCGGGTCCGATACTCTCGAGAAGACCGCGTCGTTTGCAGCTGTGCCAGCGAGACAGCGATCAGCACGGTTTCAAGGCGAAAGATGCTCGAGCCTGTGCAGCTAGGTGGCGCGACGTACCTCGCGAAGTAGATGCTGAGTTGGTGCGCGATGACGAGCGGGAGCGGAAGCGAGGGTTTGGCCATGTAGTCCGCCAGAACGACCTGCGAGCGCGATCACTCTTATCCATGAGCGCTGCTGTGAGATCCTAAAGCGAAGGGTGCCCAGGGAAGAGAGAGTCGCGCACCATACTATCCGTACTAACGAACGTCGCCCTTCTCCCTCCCGACCTCGCCAGCAACGGCCTCCTCTCCCCCTCCCCTGCCCTCGCCGAGGCAAAACCCCTCGGACTCGCAAGCGGTGGTGCACCGATGTTCGATTCTTCAGCTGAGAGGAGCGACGTCGCGGAGCGTTTGGAGGAGACGCGGCGGATTTCGGTGAGGAGGGGCTCGTGGGAGGTGGTTGCGTGGTCCGCTGCGCGAGGGACCGTCAGCACAAACGATGCGAAGCAGTGTGAGGCGGGCGCACCTTCGGCGGCACCCCAGCCGAAGCCGGTCGTCCTGGCGCGCTGTTTGAAGCGAGGAGACTGCGGGCGAAAAACGAGCATGAGCGGCTCCCCGATTCCCGCCGGCTAGCGATACGTACAAGAATGTGCTCGAAGTCTGATAGACGGGGTGTCAGTCAGTGCAAGCGAGAATGAAGCCGGAACAGGCGACGTACCAGGCCAATCGACCCCGTACTCGCGCCTGACGTGGTGCTTCGTCGCGACCACGAATGCCACGATCAGCCGCAAAACCTTGACCTTCTCGTCGAGCACCTTTGCCGTCACGCCTTCCTCGACTGTGCTGGACGGCGGCTTAAGCGAGGTGTCCGCGCCGGCGGGCTTGACGGGTGGAGGGGCACCGATGTTGACCCAGACTGAACGGGAGAGCGAGCGTGCGATGGAGGACTGCGTGCACGTGAGGCGGGTCAGTCTCTCGTGCTCGCAAAAACTTCGGGGGAACGCACCATCTTGGCGAACGTCTTCCTTCCCTCGTCCCACCGCGCATAGGCGCTCCCGTTGCGGAAGACGAGCAGGAGACCGACGACCACGGAAAGCAGCGGCGTGACATTGTTCGTCATGCTCAACTTGCGGTCAAACACCAGGTCCGCAACGGCAACTGCTGTTGCCCACAACGAAAACCCGAGGATAGAGCGCCAGATTCGCGGCAGGGTGGAGCCTCGGATGCGGAAAAAGTCGCGCCACCATCCTACGCGACTTGTGCGGATGCGCTGCGAGTGAATTGGTTAGCGAGGCAGTTCAACAGGTCAAAAGGGACGAGATGGACCTTGGCATCCTCCTCTTCCTCCTTCTCCAGCAGGCTCAGACTCGAAAACGGTTGTGCTGAAAGCGTTCAAGCATCAGTCACGAGCGCTCAGCGCCATGCGAGGACCCGATACGCGTCTGTCGGGCCTGTGCGGGGAGAACGGGAGTGAGAGGAGCGAGAGAACGCACACAAGTCAGCCAGTTGGCCGGCAATCGTCTCAAGCACGTTCGTAACAGCCTCAGCCATCCCAGCTAGACCTTGTAAGCGAGTGTAGCGGCCTCAAGCGAGCGGTTCAGGTTGAAGGAGAGGTCCGAGAATGGGTTGGCCGCGACGACGACGCTCACCTCGCGTATTGAGCTTGCTTGCTGTGCTAGACCTACTCATAGACTCGTCAAGACATCGCCAAACCAACCCACAGCGCACCGCAGCTCTCTCACCCTCCTCTTGACCTCCGTCTCCCCACCTCGAGTGATGAACTTCCCCTCGTCGACGTCGGCCGCGAACCGGTACAAGCTGATGGGCGACGACCTGTACAAGCGGTCAGAGAAGGTGCGGGATCGTTCAGCCGGACTGCGATGCTGTTGCGAGCGAGCTGACCCGGCTCTCCTCCTTTCGCGACTCGCCAGATCAACGCCGAGCTGTTCACGTTGACGTACGGCGCGCTGGTGGTGCAGCTGGTGAAAGACTACGAAGACTATGAGGAGGTGAACAAGCAGCTGGACAAGATGTGCGTTTCCTGGCGACCTCTGTTCACGCAACGTGCTGACCTTGAAGGCGTCTCGCAGGGGCTACAACATCGGCGTACGATTGATCGAGGACTTCCTGGCACGGACAGGATTGGCGCGGTGTCGAGACTTTTCCGAAGTAGGCGAAACGATGGCCAAGGTATGCCCCTTCTCACTTCCTCCTTTCCTTCGCTCAACCGGCTCGTACCGGATGCAGGTCGCCTTCCGCTCCTTCCTCTCCATCACCCCAACCCTAGTCCACCACCCCGCCCAACCCCCTTCACAGCCTCAACCCGCCTTCTCGCTCATCTTCGACGAGAATCCTCTGACGGATTTCGTTGAGTTGCCTGAGGAGGCGGTTGAGGGCGGGCTGGTGTATGCGAAGATTCTGGAGGGAGTGATCAGGGGCGCGATGGAGATGGTGAGTCTGGCAGAATCGCTTGCGTCAGACGGGAGTGCGCCGGAGACTGACTCCACCATCGTTCGCCCCGGCGTCTCCGCAGGTCCAGACGAGCGTCGAGGCGAAGATCGTGTCGGACGCGTTGCGAGGGGACGAGAAGACGGAGCTGCGAGTGACGCTGATTCGCCATCTCGAGGAGGAGATGCCGCCGGGCGACGAGTAGACTTCCTCGGCTGCAACTCGACTCGACTGCTCATTAAAGTCTCTCACTTTCCACTAACAACCAGAATGGACAGTGAAGAAGAACCAATATGACCATGCTTTTGCGAAACGACCCTCCGACCCTCATATCTCATATGATAGATACGCCGCCCTCTCTTGCCCCCGCTCAGAGCTTCGCCTTGACCCCTCCGTCTTTCCCACCAAGCCCCCTCCTCTCCCACTCCCTCCTCGCGACACCTTTAACCTCATTCTTCAACACCTTTCCCGTCGCGTTCTTCGGCAAGCCTTCTTGGGTGTCCCATTCCGAGGGGAAGAGGATCATCGCTGGGATGCAGTGTTTCGGTAGTCGGGAGGCGACGAGCGATTGGAGGGAGGACTCGGTCGGGGGTGGGAGGGCGGTGGAGGTGCGAGAGGGGTGAGAGGGAGGGTGGAGGACGACCACGGCTCTGCACGTCGCACAAATCAGTCTCCGCTCGACATCTCTGAGACTTGAGGAGGTGAACGTGTGGACGTACGCAACCTGCTCTCCGTGCTTCTCACACGGGACCGCAACGACCGCCACCTCCTTGACCGCATCGTGCTGGAAGAGCGCGTCTTCAACGACGACGGAGGAGATGTTCTCGCCCGAGCGGATGATCTGCGCCGCGTTTCGGTGAGCGGTGTGAGTAGGAGAGCAGAAGAAGGTGGGAGGGAGGGAGCGCACGATGTCTTTCGCGCGGTCGGCGATGTAGAGGAATCCTTCTTCGTCGACGTAGCCGAGGTCGCCCCTGTACCACCGACTCGTTAGGCTTTGCTCCTCGCGCTGCAATCCATCACGCCTTCACCACTGTACGAGAGAGGCAGACTTACGACCTAAACCACCCCTCTTGATCAAACGCCTTCCTCGTACTCTCCTCGTCCCTCCAATACCCCTGCGCCACATTCGGTCCAAAGATACATACTTCGCCGACCGTGCCTGTTGGGAGGGAGGGGGCGGCGGAGGCGGGTTGAGGAGAGGAAGGGTCGATGATGCGTAGCTGGACGACGGGTGGGGGGAGGCCGCAGGAGGTTGGGCCTATGTTGAGGTTAAGCGGGTCAGTTAGGGAGGAGAGACGAGAGAAGGAGGGACGAGAACGCACGCATGATATAGTCGTCCCCCGAGAACCCGGTCGCGACCGAATTGACTTCACTAAGTCCATACCCCTGCGCCGCACTCGCATTCGGCAACCTCCTCTTACTCTCCTGCGGCAAGCGCGAACTCGGCGGTCCGCCACCGTAACTCAGTCCCTCGAGCTTGACACGATCCCAGGCGTCGAGGCGATCGAGTTCGTCGAGGATCTGGGAGACGATGTTGGGGATTCCGCCGATTGATAGGATCGATTCGGAGAGGACGAGTGAGGCGGCCAGTTGGGGGACGAATTTGTGCATCAGGACGATTTTGCCGCCGACGGCCGTGAGGAGCGCGAGGAAGGACTGGTTGCCTGCGGGTCGCGACGCTTCTCCGTCAGTACACCGCTCCAAGATATCCGTCGCAGCGAAAGGAGCTCCGCGCACCCATGACATGGAACAGCGGCACCGTCAACAACAACGACCTCTGCGGCGCGTTCGGATCCGGCGCCGGGATGTTCTCTCCCTTTCGGAGGAATGCGCGCGCAGCTCCTGCGGCCGTGTTCCACCGGTTGGAGAGGTATTGACGCTGCGTTGAGAGGACGCCTTTGGGGAGACTGGTCGTGCCGGAGGTGAAGAAGATGGTAGCGGGGTCCTGCCGGGGGAGCGTTGGAGCGTGTCAGTGCTCGTTCATCGCGGCGTTTGAGAACGAGATGATGCGAGAGTTGACGGAGGAAGCCAGAAGAAGAACCAGAAAGGAAGAAACCGGCGCCCTCACCTCATCCATGATCTCAATCTTCGGCAACTCCATCACCTCATGTCGCTCAAGCGCCTCATCCAACCTCTCAAATCCCCTCTTGGCCTCCCTCGTCCTAACCACAAACACCGCCTTAGTCCCCTGGTCTCTCAATTTCTTCGCCCCCTCTTCTCCAAGCAAGTCCTGCCGCTCGTGGTCGACGAGGATGGCGGTGGGGGACGTGACGGAGATGCAGTGGAAGAAGGCGGAGGTAGGAAGCCAGGCGTTTAGGGCGACGGCGATACCGCCGAGCATGTGGCAGGCCCACCAGCTGGTGCGTGGAACGGGCGAGGGTCAGCCTTCCAAGTTGGTAAGACGGGAGGAGCGGAATGGGACGCACGAGATGATCCACTCGGGGATGTTGCGCATGGCGATGGCGACGCGGTCGCCCTTTCTGACTCCCCGAGCATGGAGGAGACTCGCGAGGTGCAAGACCCGGCGGTGAGCGTCTGCGTATGTCAGGCGTTCCTGTTCGTAGACGATGTACTCTTTGTCTGCAAAGGGCTGCGCGCGAGTGGTGAGGGTATTGTGAGCTGGGTCAGAGGGAGAGAGGAGGGAAGAGAAACGCACGGAAGCTGCTTGTAGCCAGTAGTCGCGAATCGAGGGCGGGAGGTTCTTGTACACGCGGACGGTGCGAGTTCCGACTCGCTTCACCTCCCACTCGAAGGGGCTGCGCGCACTCAAGCGGGTCAGTCGGTTCGAGTGAACCGGCAAAGAGAGCGAGTTGGCGCACGACCCTGGGGCCGAGAGGATGGCGTCTGTCTGCTGTACGGTCCTCTTTGGCGGTGGTGGCGTGTAGTCCATGTGTCAGCTAGCCGTGCGATGCGGTTGTGAGAGAGAGCGAGAAGACGAGGTGAGCGGGGACGGCGCGGTGCGTTCGGCGCGGCAGCTTCCCGAGTGTCCGTCGGCCCCGCTTCCCTCTCCCTTACTCTCCGAACAAACTCATTACAGCTTCATCACACTCGCACTACACTCACACACATGCTCACTCTCACCCGCACTCCCTGCGCCAACCCAGCTCGCCTCGCCCGCGCACTCGTCCCGCTCGCACACCCCCACCTCCTCCGACCCTACTCGACCGACCTGCACCTCCCCGCACAGGCATCCCTCACACGCTCAGACACTCTCGAGGGACTCTCATTCATCCAGCTCGACCGCCCCAAAGCCAAAAACGCACTCAGCGTACAGCTCGTCCGCGAACTGCGCGAGTTGGTCGACGAGGTCCGCTTCGATGGGTGCGCAACAACCGCGGCTTGCCGTCCACTCTCCCTCTCCTTCGCACGAGCTGACGAGAGAGGATGCATCGAGATGCAGATGGACCCGCGCCGTGATCCTCCGCTCAGCCGTCCCAGGCTCGTTCTGTGCCGGCGCAGACCTCAAAGAGCGCGCAACCATGTCCCAACTCGACGTCGCGCGGTTCCTGTACAACCTGCGCCGCTTGCTCGGAGAGATCGAGGACTTGCCCGTACCGACAATTGCGGCGGTGGATGGACCGGCGCTCGGAGGAGGGCTGGAGTTGGCGCTTTCGTGCGACTTGAGGGTTGCCGGTGCGTTTCCTCGTCGCTCATCCGCCAGCTACCAAGCTTTTAGGATGCTTACAAACCTGGTGCACGCTCGCAGGCTCAACAGTAACCAAGATCGGCCTGCCCGAAACCCGTCTCGCCATCATCCCAGGGTCCGTTCCCTCCCTCGTCCTTCCCATACTCCTCCCTTTCTCGCGCTGACCTACAGGAACTCGCAGAGCCGGCGGAACCCAACGCCTCTCGCGCCTCATCGGTTCCTCCCGCGCCAAGGATCTGATCTTCTCCTCGAAGATCCTCAGTGCGGGTGAAGCTGAGCGCGTCGGTACGTCTCCTCCCTCTACTCTTCCTCTTTCTCGAGAAACGTCCTGATAAGTGGGAGTAGGCGTGGTCAACTACGTTTCGGCCGAGGGCCAGTCGGCGAGCGAGAAAGCGGAGGAGATAGTGGCGGAGATGTTGCAAGCTGGTTCGTCCTCCTTCTTCCTCTTCCTTTCTCTCTCTCTCTCTCTCTTCCGCCAATTTTGAGCTAACCGGCATTGAGGTCCAGGTCCACTCGCCCTCCGCGCAGCAAAGACCGCCATCGACACCGGCTCCCAACTCGACCTGTTCGTCCCATCCCTCCTCTCTCCCATCCTTCCTTCCCCCATTTCCTTCTAGCTAACCTCAAGTAAGCGACACAGCGAATCAGGCCTGGACGTCGAACGTCTCTCATACCAAACGATCCTGCAAACTGAAGACCGGTTGGAGGGGCTCAAGGCGTGCGTTCCTTTCTCTCTTCTCTCTGCAAAGGAGGGGGTGGGGCTGATGCGTCTCGGTCTTTGGAATGGGGTTGGGAGAGCAGGTTTGCGGAGAAGAGGAAGCCGGTTTACAAGGGTCGCTAGCGAAAGGGACGAGGCGGAAATCGAGGGGGTGAAGGTTGCAGTGCAATTCGTTCGCAAATCCAGCAACGCTGAGCGCATCACGCCAGTCTCCGTCCCCAAGAGAGCGCTGGTCGTTCGGCTCGAAAGCGAGTCTCGAACGGCGCGCGTGAGTCGTGCCGTTTTCATTGCAACGGGAGGACAGCAGATCAGCTACATGCAGGAGTGGGACCAGGAGGAGAGAAGACGAAGCGCTCGAAGGGCGAGCTCCGTCAATGACGGTGTCAGCGAGTGAAGCAAGTTCGGCGGTGCAAGGCGTCAAGCGCTGGGGAACGATGAAGGGAGTGCAGAAGGGGCGCAGGACGTGGGAGTAGACGCCCCAGGGGAGGAGGGAGCGCGTAAGGGTTGGATCGGCGTCGATTTGTGGGACGAGGGAGGCGAGAGGCATGCGTGAGGGAGTCGAGGGACCAGGTCAGGGGTTTCAAAGTGGGAAGTGAGAGGGCAGAGGTAAATCTGGGTGACCTGGACAGCGTTGCTCAGTCTGGACGCTCTGCGTGCGCCATTCTCGCGGTTCTCCCCTGCGAACAGAGGGCATCGAGCGGAGTTGAGGTGATGAGGAGCAGGAAGGGTGCGGGAGACGCTTGACGAGCTGGGAGCGGCTCGACGGTGTTCAGTAGAGTCCACAAGTGTTCGCAAGCCCAGCAAAAGCGGACACAAGCGTATTCGAGTGAGGTGAACCCGCGAGAGCTGTGCGTCGCCTGGTCTCGTACGTCCACCACGCTCACCGTAGCTCGCAGGCTGTTCAGCTGCTTCTGAGAGGGTCAAACTATCTCGCTTGCTACCAGTACGCCCTCAGGAAGCTCGCCCAAGTGTCGACACCCTCCTTCTCCTCCTCATCACCCCCACCTCCGAACCTCGCTCGCTCGACCCCTCCGTCCCTCCTTCCTGAACGTCGAGCCGACGCCATCGCACCGCAAAGATGGTCAAAGATGACATGCGCGGTCTCACCGTGCGTCGCACCCTGTCTCCGTCGTTTCCTCCCCGCGAGCTGACGAGAATGTGGATGGCAATAGCAATACATCGCCGACTTGCGTGCGTGTAGGGTCAGGGAGCTGGAGGAGAAGAGGATCAACAAGGAGATGGCGCATATCAGGCAGAAGTTCAAGGGTGCGTGGCGGCGTTGCGTTCGCTTCGGCTTTCTTTCTGCAGGGCAAGGAAGAATGAGCTGATGTAGGCTCTTGCTGCACAGACGGGAACTTGGATGGCAGGCAGAAGAAGAAGTGCGCGCGCCGTCCTGCTCGCTCGACTCGCTCAATCGCCGACTAACGAGACGACCCTTCCCCTCTTACCCTCTCTCGCGCAGGTACATCTCCAAGATCATCTTCACCGCGATCCTCGGCTACCCCGTCGACATCGGACACATGGAAGCCGTGAACTTGATTTCGAGCCAGAAGTATTCGGAGAAACAGATCGTTCGTCCCGCTCGTCCTCCCCTCCCCTTCCCTGACTGACGGGTTTGCGACACAGGGCTACCTAGCGCTTACGCTCCTCATGCATGAGAATTCGGATATCGTGCGGTTGGTGGTCAACTCGATTCGAAAGGACGTGGACGAGATGAACGAGACGACGAACTGTCTCGCTTTGCATGCGATTGCGAATGTGGGAGGGGCGGAGATGGCAGAAGCGTTGGCGCCGGATGTGCACCGATTGTTGATCAGTCCGTGCGTCGCTCACGTCCTTCTCTGCCTGACCTTCGGCTCTGAGCTGATGAGGCGAGACGTGCAGCACCTCGAAGTCGTTCGTCAAGAAGAAGGCCGCCCTCACGCTCCTTCGTCTTTACCGCAAGCACCCGGACGTCATCCCCGCTGCCGACTGGGCCCTGCGAATCGTCTCGATCCTCGACGACCAGAACCTGGTGCGTTCACCTTGCTTTTTCTCCGTCTTCCGCTTCTCGTCCTGACAGGAGATATCAACGCAGGGCGTCGTCGTCGCCGTCGCGAGTCTCGTCCTCGCACTCGCGCAGGACAACCTCGAAGCGTACGCGATCTGCTACCAAAAGGCCGTTAACCGGTTAAGCAAGGTCCGTTCCGTCTCCTGCTCTATCTTGCCGACCACTCGCTAACAAGCCGCGTACGGTAGATTGTCTTGCACCACGAATACTCGTCCGATTACCTCTACTACAAAATCCCGATCCCATGGCTGCAGGTCAAGCTTCTCCGGTTGCTGCAGTACTACCCGCCCTCTGGTGCGTCAAGCTCATAATGCTGCTGAGCACCCAACGCTCACTCGTTTGCACGCAGAGGACCCGACTCTCCGCCTCGTCCTTCACAACGTCCTCGAGCGCGTCCTCAAGAACTCGGGCGAGCAGCACCGCAACGTCCAACAAAACAACGCGCAGAACGCCGTTCTGTTCGAAGCAATCAATCTCGCAATCCACCTCGACACCGAGTCGGTCGTGGTCCAGCAAGCAGCGCACCTGCTCGGTCGATTCATCACCTCGAAGGAGACGAACGTCCGCTACCTCGGTCTCGATACGATGGCCCACCTCGCAGCAAGAAGCGACAACCTCGAGGCGATCAAGAAGCACCAGGCAACAATCACGCAGTCGTTGCGCGACAAGGACATCTCGGTCCGACGGCGCGGTCTCGACCTGCTGTACTCGATGTGCGACACGTCCAACGCCAAGGCCATCGTAGGCGAGTTGCTCAAGTACCTCGCTGTCGCCGACTACACGCTTCGCGAGGAGATGGTCCTCAAAATCGCCATTCTTACCGAGAAATTCGCGACCGACTACGAGTGGTATGTCGACACGGTGTTGGCGTTGATGAGCACGGCGGGAGACCACGTCGGCGAGGAGGTCTGGTACCGGATCGTCCAGATCGTCACCAACACCGAGGAGCTGCAGGAGGTGCGTCCTCCCCTTGCTGGTTATCCGATTAAGCTGATCTCTCGCAACGCAGTACGCCGCCCGCAAGGTCTTCGAGGTCCTCCTCAAGCTGTCTGTCCACGAGAACCTCATCAAGGTTGGCGCCTACGTTCTCGGCGAGTACGGGCACCTCATCGCGGATGAGCCGGTGCGACCCAGCAGTTCTTCATCTGGCTCATTCGTACTCATCGATCGCGCTTTGCAGGGCCGGAGTCCGATTGAGCAGTTCCAGATCATCCACTCGCGCCAGAATCTCTGCTCGAACACGACCAAAGCACTCCTCCTCACGACCTACTTCAAGTGGCTCAACCTCTTCCCCGAGATTCACGAGCAGCTCGTCGGCGTCTTCGAGAAGTACTCGCACGTCCTCGACGCCGAGCTACAGCAGCGCGCGTGCGAGTACCTTGCGATTGCGCGCATGCCGAATGAGGACTTGCTGCAGGTCGTCGTCGACGAGATGCCGCCTTACCCAGAGCGCGAGAGTGCCGTGCGCCTTCCTCACCCTCTCCATCCGATCTCCTATGCTCACACTTCCTGCCCGCGCAGCTTCTGAGCCGGCTCATCAAGAAGACGGGCGACACGCACGACAAGCGGACGTGGTACATCGGCGGGAAGGAGGTCAACCAAGGTCAGGACGAGGCGCGCTACCAGAGCTTTGGGCGGCGGAAAGGGCGAGACGGAGGTGTCTTGGCCGGCGGAGCAATGCACGAGGCGCTCACCTCCTCGGCTCACCCTACGCCTGGGAGCGTCGCCGACGACCTCCTTGGCCTCGATCTGTCCGGCAACGGCTCTCAGCCACCTACTCCTGCCGATGTCGCCTCGCCTACTTCGCCGACAACTCCGACCGCCGCAGCCGCCTCTTCTCCCGTTACCGCGACCAAGCCCCTCCTTCCCGCTTCATCGTCGACGCCCACGCCTCGCAAACAGGTCACTCACGGTGCAGACCGTTGGCTCTCGCGGCTCGTCTACAACACCGAGGGCGTGCTGTGGGAGGACGCGCAGCTGCAGGTCGGCGTCAAGTGCGAGTTCCACGGTCACCTCGGCCGAATCGCGCTCTACTTCGGCAACAAGATGTCTGTCGCGCTCGAGTCGTTCACCGTCACGATCGACGCCGACGACCCCGATGCGCTCAAGGTTACCTTCCCCAAGATCCCAACTCCGCATGTTAGCGCCCTCTCGCAAGTCCAGCAGCTCATCCACGTCGAATGCCGCGACGTCTTCACCACCCCTCCACTTCTCAACATCTCGTACCTCGCCGGCTCGCTCCAGACCCTTACCCTTCGCCTCCCCGTCTGGCTCACCAAGTTCGTCGAGCCCGTCAAGCTCGAATCGGGCGCGTTCTTCGAGCGGTGGAAGCAAATCGGTGGGCCGCCGCGCGAGGCGCAGCAGATCTTTGGGATTGTGTTGGACCCGTCGACGGGCAAGATCGATGCGGCGAAGAACAGGCGGGTTGTCGGCGGGACGAGGCTCGGCGTTCTCGACGGAATCGACCCGAACCCGAACAACATCGTCGCTGCCGGCGTGCTGCACATGTCGAGCGCGGGCAAGGTCGGATGCTTGTTGCGACTCGAGCCGAACGCGGAGGCCAAGGTGCGTTACTCTCCTTGCTCGTTCCCGCTCGCCTAGCTGACGCTTTTCCTCTTTTCAGCTCTGCCGCCTCACGGTCCGCACGACGAACGACGGCGTCTCGCAGGAGATGCTCAAGGTTTTGCAGGGTGCTCTCGCGACCAAGTAGCCGCTGTCCTGCAAATGCTTCATCGTGAAGATGCGAAAATCCTTGTCCATTGCAAGAGCGAGTCTTTACAGAGGCTGAGTGGGATCGGGGAGAACTATCGGAAGCGAGAGCGCGAAGCGGAGAAGACCGTAAGCGGAGTCTGCGCGGAATGATCAAAGTCAGCATCGACAACGGCGGAAAGGAGAGTGCAAGTCTAACTTGAGCGTTCTTCAGGCGGTGACAACGGTTTGAGGTGCGGCGCCTGTCGCAGTTGCCGGAGCGTCGAAGCTTGCGCCGGCGAGAAACGCGTCCTGGTCAAAGACGCCGCCTGCGAACGAGGAGGATGAGCGTGAGAAAGCGAGAGAGAGTCAGGCTCACTGGAAGGAGCAGCAGTCACTTGCGTCGGCTGCTGGACGAGCGACGGCTGCTGGACGAGCGAGTTGGCAGGAGAGACGGCATTGTTCGCTACGACGGGGACGGTGTTCGAGGCGGGCGAGGCGGGCGACGCAGGTGAGGCTGTTCAAGAGTCGTGTCAGTTCTGGGTGCGAGTGGTGAAAAGGAAAGGGCTACGCGCACCGGCCGTTGAAGCCATTGAAGGTGCCGAGGCTGTCGAAAGTTGCTTAATGATGCTCGAGAGATCCCAGCCGCTCCCGAGAGTCCCGCTGGGCCGCGCGACGCTCGCAGGACTGACGCCCGCCTCGTTCAAGTCCTTTTCGGTGGATCCGTCCGTCGTCCCGGTGGCGTTTTGAAAGCCGTCGAGCGAGTCGAGTAGACCGCCGAGCGCCTTGATCTCTTGCGGGTCAAGGGTCTGGCTCGGTTGTGCTGCCGAGGCGATTGTGGAGGACGAGGGTGCGAGTGCAATGGGAGACTGGATAGCCGGAGAGGCGGGAACGGCTGGAGAAGCCGGGACGATGGCGAGACTTGGGTTCGCGATGGTCTGGGGGAGGGGAGTTGCACAGGCGAGGAAGACGGGGAGAAGCAAGGCGAAGGTGCGAAAAGCGAGCATGATTCTGCCGGAGGACACGGACGAGTCAGCCTCGTGCGCTGGCTGTGGGTCTGGCGAGGACTCGCCTTGATTGCTCGCGGTGGCCGGGAGGCGAAATAGACTGCCGGACGAGGGAAGCTGCGCCACAAGCGAAACTGCGCTCACCGCAGCGTGTCCGGGCGCAGCAAGTCGAGGAAGCGTCCATGCGCATTCAGCGAGAGAGCATGCAGGCAGGAGGAGGAGAGGGCGCCCGCAAGCAGTACTGGCGACTCCAGCGCCGCCTCCGCCTTCGTGCAACCCTTGTAACCCCCTTGCGGTCCACCTCGAGCAGCACAACAGCGAGACCGTGACCCTGGAAACGAGTCGCCGTCCGGAGGAGATGAAGGTCGAGCAGGCGGGCGCAGGCGATGGGACGGTCTGAGAGCGGTACGAGCGGGTATATCAAGCGTCCAAAGAACATGTACAAGCCCAGTTAGCCCATCCTGCGAGCTGCGAGAGCGAGGACGAGGACGAACCCATCCGCTCGCCCCCTTCGACCTCGACAACAACTCGCTGTCGCTCGAGGTGGCGTTGTGCTGGGCTGTATGCTCGTCTGAGACCCTTTCCAAAGCCTGACAAGGCCACTCGCCGTGTCCCAGCGCTCTCCGACCTCGCCGTCGCCCTGTTCGTCCTCCTCGACTTTGACAGACGATGAAGCGGCAACACGACGCGCCGTGACCTTGAGGGTTACTGTACTGCTTTGTGTGTACCTAAAGAACGAGCTAATAAGGCCATCACCTCGTCTTTGTGACCCCTGTGACCCGTCCTACCCGCTCTCCCTCGCCTCCTGCTCCTCTCCTCCGGCTGCGCTGCGCTGTCACTCTTCTGCGGACAAGGCGAGTTGCACATGGACGAGCTGCGGACTGCGCGACGCTGCCTGACCTGCGCCTCACTCGCTCTTCCGCTCCTCTCTCCTCTTCTCTCCTCATCCTCCTCGCACTCGTCCAAACAAGGTGCGCCTCCTCTCCTCCTATCCCTTTCCGACGTCCCTCACTGACAAACGCTTCTTCCCGCACTACAGCTTCCAGCCATGCACTCGACCCAGCTCGCCTCCCTGCTCCTCGCCTCCCTGGCCCTCGTCAAGGCTGCTCCCGTTCCGCAGGACGCCGCGACCACCGCCCCTCCCGCTGCCCCCTCTCCGACCGACCCCGCTCTCGCCAGCCTCGCCAACCCGGACACGAGTACCGCCACGGCTGTCAACTTCTCGCCGGAAGGCTTCGAGCAGTCGATGCAGCCGCCGAGCGAGGACGCCTTCAACTCGAGCCCTTCCTCCTCCTCCCTCTCCACGACGGATCCTTTGACTTCCTCCACCACTCCGAACGACGGCACGTCCAACCTTCCCGCCAATGGCTCATCCTCGACCTCTACCTCCGACGACGCCGACGGCCTCTCGAACATCCTCGGCACGCTCAACACGCTTCAGAACTCGGAGAAGATGGGCGGCGCGGGCGGTGCGACGGATGCCTCGTCGATGGTTTCGCCTCAAGATGTCGACGCGGCTGCTGCTGGCGACGCCATCGACTCCGAAGCGACTTCTCCTGCCCCCCCGTCGCTCGCCAACCTCGCCTCCGTCGCTCCTCCTCTCAGCGCCAAGAACGCTCTCGCGCAGGAGCCGACGTACACGACTGTTGACCCGGCCGCCTCAACTTCAGGTGCGTTCCGCGTTCACTCTATTCGCTTTCCACCCGACGCTGACCTTTCCTTGCGCAGCTCCTTTCGACATTGGCGCCCTCTTGGCATCCGCCGCCGCTTCGCCCACCGACCCGCTCTCCGGCTCTGTCACTGTCGCGACGACCCTCCCGAGCCTCACTGCCGACGCTCCCGCTCCCTCTTCGTCCTCCGTCGACCCGTCTCTCCTCGGCTCGACTACCTCCGACCCCTCTTCTTCTTCCTCGGCGTCGGTCGACACTGCCTCCGCCTCGTCCACTTCGGCCGACCCTTCCCTCATCGCTTCGACCGTCGCCGACCCGAACCCGAGCACCATCGTCTTCGACCAAGCGGGCTTCCTCGCTGATGCTTCCTTCGCGCCTGAGGCGACGGCGCCTGCTGCTGGTGCAGATGCGGCGAGTCCTGCTGTCACCTCCGCCGCTTGAGAGGTGCGTCGTTGCTTCCCTTCTTCCGCTCTTCGAGTGCTGACGAAGTCTATTCACGCAGACCGCAAACCCCTTGCCCGCTTTTTTGCAGAATGCTCTCCTCTTGCTCGTAGACACTCGCCTTCCCTGCACCGACCGAACCGTCCCCCAGCACGATCTGCGCAAAGCAAGAGAGCGAAAGCATCCGCAACGACTCGCATTTCAGTGAGCGTGAGAGCGCTGATGGTGGCTCACTCCCGAGCGTCCTCAAGGACGTCAAAAGGACTTGCACTCCGTCGGCGAGCCTCTTAGCGAAGAGCGAGATTCCTCGAACGCTCGCCTGGGCAGGAGAAACGCAACTCGGACAGACGACACTGCATTGACATTGACGACAGACAGGCTACGTGATACAGGAAGTCTTGGCGCACGTAAGGGAGGGAACGAAGGCGAGAGTAGGCGGCGCGAAGAGCGGAAGAGGACGAAGGTCGACGAGAGCGGGAGTTGGCGTTGCGCAGACGATAGATGCTGTGCCGACAATTGTCAGCGACTGCTACCCGCTGAGGAGACGACTGAAGGTCGGCGCACGAAACGGGAAACGAGAAAATGTGCGGAAGTCGAAGCGAGACGAGGTCTGAATCCGCAAAGCCGAAGAATGTCAGGCTCGCGTCCATCGCTCAATAAAAGCGGACGTACGGACGAAAATAGAGGCGGAAAAGGCAGTAGAGATGGGGAGAATAAGGCGAGGCAGCGAGGAAGTGGAGTCGAGACCTGCGAGAGCGAGAAATCAGTCGCGAGCGGAGGGGAAGAAGCGGCTGAGCGAAACGCGCCTCGCAGATCTACGTTGCCTGCCCGTGCCGGCGATGGAAGAGGCCCGTAAATGCTGGAATGAAGGCGGACGAGCGCGCTCCGTTCGAGCGTGCGAGAAGGAGAGGAGTTGTCGTGTCGTCCATCGTTGCCTCCGCCCATCCCGCTTCACCCGACTCCTCCGCATCTTCCAGCACCTCCGCTGCCGTCGGCTCGAATCGCCGCCTCGCCGAGTCGGTTGTCGGGCGGTCCGGCAGAGCGTACTCGTCCCAGTTGACGCCGTCGTGCCAGAGGCACACCCGTTTCTGCCGGTCGCAGTAATGCGGTACCCGCGCAGAGATAGGCCACACTGCAGGGGAACCTGAGTCAGTGCGCGAGCTAGAAAAGAGGAGAAGCGAAACGAACGAGAACAAGGTCGCGCGATAGGGCGCTCGTAGGGCATGGGCGGCAAGACCTTCCTCATGAGGTAGAAGTCGTCGTACGAATGATGCAGCTTCTCCAGCGGTCTGAGAAAGACGAGGCGGATTTCGTGCAGGCCTGCGGACGATAGTCGGGTCAGCGGCAGCGTGGACCAACTGAACGAAAGGCTGACTCACCAAGAAGCTTGCTCCATCGCATCAATATGCGGGATTGAACGGCGGCAATGGCGGCTTCCAAGTCGGCCCAGGGAACTCCATCGCCATGCTCCTTCTTGCGCTTGCGTCGCTTGAGCTCGCCTTGCCTCGACCGCAGCTTCTCGAGGGCGAATGTATCGGTGTCGTGATCGTGTCCGAGGAGATACCAGACCTGCGTGTCGAAGGTGCGGTAGTAGGCTTCGAGTTCGGCGTTCCAGCGAGGGGGCCCAGGTTCGGTGGGCACGATGTGGGAGAAGAGGTCGCAGTAGGGGTAGAGGAAGTTGAAGCGCAGGCTCCAGGGCAGCAGCGAAGGAAGGAGAGCTGGGTCAACCCGAGTATCCGGGACGAGCGAGGCGAGGGACATGGCGAGGAGCAGGGCTCGTCGCGGGACCGCCGTAGTAAGAGACCCACGCTGCCCGACCTAAGCACACTGGGACTGGCTAGCTCCTATTCCGTCCAGGTCTCTCCTTTACGTCCTGCGCCCGGGTTGCGGGAGTCTGGCTGATGAGGAAGAAGGGAGGGCGTGGAGGGCCGCACAGCGCCTGGGCGGGTCGCGCGAGTGGCTGAGGATGTAGTTGGGGATCGCAGCAGCGTACTGGACTAGCTCGCCAGGCCAAGCGAGATGAAGCAGTAAGCGGGTACGGTCGACTCCGCCAGCGAAAGCGCTGTCGCGCTGTCGACAACTCGCCGCTCAGGGAGCGTGAAAGCGCTGATGGCGTTCCTCTTTAAAGAACGTCAAAGAGGAGTTGCGTACTATCAGCGGACCCCGCAGCGACGGGCAAACTCCCGCGAATGCTCGTCGTAACTCGTCGCCTAGCTCGCACGAAAGCAACTCGGCGCAGGAGCATACATTGACAGTGACGACCGATAAAGTACTTGCTGTACAGCGTGTCAAGCGTCCGACAGTGGACGGAGAAAAGGGCGAGTGTGTGTCGGCGCGAAAGATCGAGGAGGCGAAGGGCGAAGAGAGCGCTTGTCGCCCTCGTCGCCCTCGTGTGAGTGTACGTGCTGCGATGACAATCGTCAGTCGATGCCTTACGCTTACGAGAAAGGAAGAGGAAGCCCACGGTATGACAAGCAACCGGGGAAATCGAGGTGAACCCGCGACCAGACGAAGCGAGACCTGTTGCGAGTCTGCGTTTCCGCAACGGCGTCAACCTCGCGCTTGGATCGGAGCGATAAGATAACTAACACGCGGCGGATAGCCGGAGAACTCAGGACGACCGGCGAGAGAGACGGCGAGCGAAGGAGCGGAAGATGAGGCCTGCGGAAGCGAGTCAGTCCGAGATCTGCGAAAGAGCCGTTCAGGCGGACGCACGTGGCTGTTAGGCTACTTGAGGGTGTCGGCGATGGAGCAGGCTGGTAAATGCTGGAATGAAGCCCGACGAGCGTGCTCCGCTTGGGCGTGAGAGGAGGAGAACCCTCGTGTCGTCCATTGTTGCCTCAACCCATCCCGGTTCAACCGACTCCTCCGCGTCTTCCAGCATCTCCGTTGCCGTCGGCTCGAATTGCCGCCTCGCCGCTTCCGAGTCGAGCGTCGGGTGATCCGGCAGGGCGTACTTCGTCCACTTGACGCCGTCGTGACCGAAGCACACCCTACCCGGTCGCTCGCCCTTCAAGTGATGCGGGACGGGCATCGATATCGGCCAGACTGCACGCGTGCAAGGTCAGCGCGCTCGACTAGCTTGGTGAGACGACGAGACTCACGCGTGGAAGGGTCCGCAAGCGGTCCCTCGAAGTCCATAGTTGATAGGACCGTCTTAATAAGTCGCTGCTGTGACTGACCTGGGTACATCATCTTCAGCGGCCGCAGGACTGCCTGCCGGACCTCGTGCAGACCTGTGGGACGCACCGGGTCAGATCTCGAGGACCGAGAAACACGTCGAATGAAGGGAACGCACCCAGAAGTTTGTTCCACCTCGTCAGCAGGCGAGACTCGATGGAAGCGATGGCCGCCTCGAGATCGGCGAGAGACGCTCCGCCGTCAACTTCCTTCGTACGCTTCCTTCGCTTCAGCTCGACCGACCTCGAGCGGAACTTGCGCAATGCGAACGTGTCGTCGTCGTGATCGCGGCCGAGGAAGAGCCATATGTCTGGATCGAAGGTGCGGTGGTAGGCTTCGAGTTCGGCGTTCCAGCGAGGGGGGCCAGGTTCGGTGGGCACGATGTGGGAGAAGAGGTCGCAGTAGGGGTAGAGGAAGTTATAGCGCACGCCCCAAGGCAGTAGAGGAGGAAGGAGAGCTGGGTCAACCCGTGTTGCGGGTATAAGCGAGGCGAGGGACATGGCCAGGAGAAGCGGGTGGTGGACGCCGAGTCAAGGCGGGCTCTTGCGAGTCTCAGCGAGTGTCAGTGGGAGTCTCAAGAGCGCCTTTGGTCTCGCACGGTGCCTCAAGACGTGTGTGCGTGCTGCGGGAGACTCTGGTTGATGAGGAGGGAAAGGAGCGCTTCAGCGGCCGTCACGGCGTCGCGAGTAGTCGCGCACAGATTCAGTGCACAGCAGTGGCCGTTGCGAAGAGCTGTCGGGACCCGAAGAGGTCGAGCGGCCAGCGCGGTGCGAAGCAGAGGACTACCACTGCACCCGGTCGCCGTTCTGACGACCGCTTGCGAGATTCTCTGTGGGATTTGCAAAGTCCAGAAGGCGTGCGAGAACGAAGCGATACAATGCACAATTATCGACAGGACAACCCGGAAGGAGCCAGGACAACGGACGACTGAAAGGCCGACGAGGAACAAGGGATGCTGAAGGAAGAAAGCGGAAACGACCGTCTAGTCGTTGAATCTAGTCGAGCCGGAAGGAGGAGGGGTTCGGGAGAACTGAGTCGGTGACGCTGCGAAAGAGCGGCGAGTGGAGAGGCGGCAGACTGGCGGTCGGTGCAGTCAAGGCGGACGATGTGGTCGACGCCGAGAGTCCCACGTCGGCTGTGCTGGTTGCGCGACTGCGCGACCTCGACGGGCTCTTCCCTCGAGTCGAAGCGGCCGGAGTCGAGCGCCTCGATCGCTTCGCCTTCTTCGCGCTCGGTCCAGACGAGACGCCGTTCTTTGTGTCAGAAGACGCTGCAGTGGTGGTGGCGCGGATGACGGGGGCGAGGACGGGGGAGGTGAGCATGCGGGAGGCGATGGAGCGCTTCGAGGTCGTAGCGGCATGGCCGGGGCTGCCGAGCGTATGGTCGAGCTTGGCGGCCGCCTTGCGATCCCGCAGCATCGCTGTTGCACCCCTCTGGCGGTCCGCCTTGCCGCTCGACCTCTTGTTCTTTCCCGCTGAGGCGGCGACGTTTGCAGCGAAGACCTGCGATGGGGCGGACGATCCTGCTGCGCCCGTCGTGCGCGACCTGAAAGCTCCGATCGGGATGCGGCTCCAGCGAGAGAAGTCGGAAAGGGCCGCGCCAGGCTTGGACGAACCAGCTCCGCCGTCCGTGGTTGCGCCATTCGCGTCCGTCTCTGACGACGTGCCGTTCTCGTCCCGCATCTCTGCGTCGACGAGCACTGACTCGTGCAGGACCGAGTCAAAGTCGAAGCCGAAGTCGACATTGGCAAGGACTGGCGAGCCGATATTGCTCCCCATGTCGGCCGACTCGGCGCCTGACGTCCCCGACGTGCTGGAGAAGCGAGAGTCGGCTCGGATGCGGCGCGAGGGCGTCGAGTCGAGCTGCGAGCGCGACCGTTAGTCAGCTTGCTGGAGAATGAAAGACGAGGAAGCAACGTACAACCCGACGATTTGTCTTTCTCGTCGCCGAAAACGGGCTCGGAGCGGGGACGCCGCTTTCATCGATGACGATGACCTTCAGTGGCGCCACTGGAGCATCTTCCGTTCGCTGAACTGGTTCGAATGCGCCGAGAAGGGGGCCACGGCGATGGGGAGACTTGGCGACGGCGGCAGAGACCTGCGAGACGATAGATTCGGGTATGACGGCGAGAGGCGCCTTCGATCTGCCCTTGTGCTGCCTCGCCCTGCTCGTGGACGGGTCGCGGGATGCTGGCTTAGCAGCGGACGAGTCGGGGTCGTTCAGCGAGGCAAGTTCGACAGTCGTCGGGGTCTGAAGGGCCGAAAGCGAGCTGGTCCGAGGCGCGTAGCGGTAGATGTCGGTCTCGGAACAAGACGAGTCTGTCGCCTCGTCCTCAGTGTCGTAGACGCTCGTCGCATCCTCGTCGTAATCCGCATCATTGCCCTCCTCACCAACCTTCAGTCGCCGCAACGACTCTGCCTGCTCAAGCGCGACGCCGATCCTGACGAGTTCAATGTCGTCCAGTTGCGCCTCGTCGCCCGCAGCATCGTCCTCGGAGGACAGCTCCGCCTCGTCATCGTCCGACTCGCCCGCACTCGACTCAACAGCCGAATGCCGCCGCTTCCTCCTCCGACCGAAGAGCTTCTTCAGCTCGCCATCCGGTCCGAAGATCATCTCGGCATCAATGTCGTCCTCATCCTCGTCGTCGCCGGAATCACTCTCGTCGTCCGCCTCTGTCCCCTCCTCGACGTCGCTAAGCGCTTCGAGCCACATATTGCCGAGGTCGTACTCGCCGTTCTGGACCGGCCCGACGACGGCTTCGGAGAGGGCAAACAGCCGTTCGAGCTCATCTTCAAACTTGGCGGCGAGCGTCTCCTCGCCAAGGTCCGGCTCTTCGGCGTCGTCAGCGGGAGTCTCCGCAACGGCAGTTGTCTCTTCCTCGTCGCCCTCTTCCTCGTCGTCCTCGTCTTCTTCTTCGAACTCGTAGTCGGACCAAGTGACGACGCCGAAGCCGTTGCCGGGCGGGATCTCGGTGACAGCGAGATCCGAGTCTTCGTCCTCGTCCTGCTCGCCTTGAAGCGACGTGTCCAGGGCAAAGTCGTCGCCACCACCTCGGCGCCTCAGACGCTCTAGGGCGCGCACGTTGCGCTCCCATGCTCCGGCCAGGTCCTCCTCGTCCGTCGTCTCGTCATCGACATCCATCGCATCGCTTCCTCTCCTCCGCCTCGCCTTGCGCTCGAACTCGGCGCGCAACAATCGCTCCTCCTCCTTTTGTAGCTCCAGCTCATCCGAGCTCGTCTCCTCGCCCTCGACGTCCGACAAGACGCTCGACGCGCTCATCCCGTCCTCCGCGTCGAGCTCGAGCTCGCTGACGTCGTCAAAGCGCTCGCGCTCCTTCCCCTTGCTCTGTTCCTTCTCCCTCTCCCGCTCGAGCTCGTACGCCTTTTCCCGCTCCTTCCGCTCGAGCTCCGCCAAGACCTGCGGCAGACCTTTCCCTCTCCCCGGTACGTACGCAGGCTTCGGCTGCTCGGGTTCCTTCTTTCCCCCCTCGCTCGAGTTCTCCCTGCTCATCGCTGGACTCTTTGCCTTCTCCTCAGCCTCCTGCAAGCTCAGCGCAAGGACCTGCCGCAGACTCGTTCGCTGCGGTGCAGACGGTGTCGAGCGTGCGGTCGCGATGTGCGGTGCGTACGAGCCGTCGCTCGTCGAGGCGTTGCTGGAGGCATGAGTCGAAGCAGGTTTCGGTGTCACCGCTTTAGGCTTGGGCAGAGCGGCGGTCGAGGTCGAGGCGACGGGCGGATCATTGCGAGAGCGGCTGCGGGCTTTGGGGGCGGAAGCTGCAGCGGAAGAGGGTTTGGACGATTGGGCAGTGGATGTAGTCGAAGGCTTGGAAGCGGGAGTCGAGGAGGTTGAAGCGGCAGGCTTGGTCGATTTCGGTGCTGGGGCGGGGGCGGAGGATTTCGAGACGGGAGGCTTAGGAGCCGAAGACGTCGAAGCTACCGGCTTAGCCTGTTTGGACGGCGCGGAAGGGCCGGGAGCGGGTTTCGGCGCCTTTTTGGGCAGGGGTGGGAGAGGAGGAAGTGCGGGAAGGGCAGGCAGGGAGGCTGGGTTGAAGAGGAAAGGGAAAGCGAGAGGCGTGGCAGGTGCTTTGCCCTTGCCCTTCTGCTTTTGTGCCGCCATCAGTTTCGGCGAAGCCAACTCCTCGTCGGAATCGTCCGACTCGTCGGAAGAGAGCGCGGAAAGGGACGAGTCGGAGAGGCTCAGGTCGACGGCGGCGGTGGGAGTCGAAGGATTGGATGATAGGGCGGGGAGAGGCGCCGCCTTGAGCTTCGGAGGTGATGCAAGGCTTCTGGTATTCGGTTTTGGTGGAGAGGCGAGGCTCTTCGCCTTCGACTTGGGCGGAGAAGCGAGGCTCTTTGCCTTTGCTTTTAGCGGGGATGCGGGCTTCTTAGGCTTCGTTTTCGAGATTCGTGGGAGGCCTGAGAGGCGGTTATTGCCTGTGGAGAGAGCGGTCAGCTTGATGAGGTCTCGTGGCATTCCAGCCCCAATTCGACCTCGCTTTGGCCGCAATAGAGAATCAGAGACCATCACGCACCCGTACTAGTCCCCATAGTGGCCTTGAGTGCAGTCTAGGCTGTGTTGGCGGAAGTCGAACGTGAAGACTGTGGGAGATGCGTATTCGATGGGAGTGGCCGGAGACGGTGCGGCGGCTCGAATGAGGCTGGCTAAAGAATTGTCAATTTGACTGGCGAGCGTGTAGATGCGGCTGGAGGTGTGGATAGGCTGAAGGAGCGTAACGAGATGAGGCTGTGAGGCGGTGAAGTCGAGAGGTGTACAGGACGAGGGACGCTTATTGGCGGCTGCCAGCCCCGCGGCGGATGGTCGTACAGGTCGTGTTGGTGCGCTCGTCTATCCGGTAGGTCTCGTCAAGCCGCGCGAAGCGGTGTTCGAAGTGTCGAGGTGGGGGTGAGCGAGGTGTCCTCATCCGACGAAGCCAGCTGGGCGATCCGCGTCTCGCTCAGGCTGGTCAGGCGAGTGCAGCGAGCTTATCCCGCCTGCGCACAGCCGTGCACGCGGTGGTCGAGGTGAGTGCAAGCGCGAGACGAACTTGGTCCGAGCGGCGGCGGGAGCGGGCGACGACGAATGCCGCCAATGAGCGCTTCGTAGGGCTGGCGGGCGCCCGATGCGGGTTGCCAGTGTAGTATTTGAGGGGTTCGAGCAGGATCGACAACTCCAGAGAGCGTTGCTGACGTGCGCAGAGCGAAGTTCTCTCGACGAGGAGGGTCTCCCAAGTGCTCGCCAGCGCAATGCAGGCTCGACGATGACAAGGAGAACGAACTGAAATGCAAGCAGGTGCCAGCCGGAGCGCGGGAAGGGGAAAACGCGAGCGAGGAAGGGAAGAGGCGGGAGGAGAGGGCGGAACCTGCGAGCGCTGTCGTCAGCACGAGCGGCAGCAAGCGGAGGGGAGAAAGGGAGACGCACCTTACGAGCTCATGCGCCAACGGACAACAAGGCGACGCCACGAGAAAGCCCTGCGCTCTTTCGGTCCCGAGTCCTGCGCCTTGTCGCCTCCCTTGGCCGAGTCGTCGTCCATCTTGACCTGCTCCGCGCCTCCCACGTCGCCGATGTCGCGCGTCTTGCCGGTGTCGTGAGGAGCGGCGGAGGATGACTGCTTGAGCCCGCCCAAGCCCTCGCCGCCGTAGGCTCCGCCTCCCAGTCCGCCGAAGGAGTCGAAGGCATCCCCCTTGATCGAGCCATCGCCGTAACTGTTGGCGAAGTTATCGAGGAAAGAGTTCTTGGCGAAGAGGCCGCCATCGCTGGCGGAGCCGGAGTCGAGGTTCATGCCGGCGAGATTGCTGAAGCCGAGCGAGTCGGCGAGGCCGCGTTTGACGCGGCCGATCGAGATGCCAGACGTCTTGGAGTCTGCGCGAAAGGGATAGGTCAGCTCGGAAGGGAGAAGGACGGCGACGGGAAGAGGGGAGAGTGAGGGAAGAGAGGGAAGAGAGGGAAGAGAGGAAAAAGGACGAGGAAACGCACAATCAGCCTCGTGATCCTTGACCTTGTACTGCTTGTAGCAGAATTCCTCGTAGTAGAACTCGACGTTGTTCTCGTCCTTGCGCGTGCCGTCCGCGAGGTAGACCTTGCCGTCCGCCTCTGCGTGAAGTGGGCGAGCGAAGGTCAGCAGGGTCTCGCAATCAGGAGGATGCGCGCGTACGCACTGTCGGCGACGAGGACCTCCTTCTGGTACTTGACCGCGAATGCGGCTGCCGGCGAAGGAGCGCAAGGTCAGCGCAGTCTCGAAGCCAGGAAAAGCGGAAGTGGAACGCACCGACGTCGGCGTACAAGTTGCGGTAGCAAATCTCCTTCAGCGCAACCTCCTCGTAGGCGGAAGCGGCATGCTCGTCCTCGCCGGCGTTGAGCTCGAGTCCGTGAGGTCCGTAGCCTGCGAGGGCGGGGAATCGGGTCAGCGGATAGAGAAAGGAGCGGGAGGGAGAGGGTTTGCGCACCGATGCTGTTGATGGTCGCGGAGGCGAGGACCGGAGCGAGGAGAAGCAGAGCGGAAAGCATCGTGATTCGGCGAGTAGCGTCGAGAGTGTGGTAGGAGGAAGAGAAGGGGAAGCGAGGAGTGGAATCGCGGGTCGTACGGCGGACTCGGCGGGCCAAGCTGCGCCTCCGACAGCGCACCGCAGCGCATGAAGCGAGCAAAGTGGGTGGGACGGGCGCAGCGAGACTCGGTAGGACGAGAAATTTGGCAGGGCGCCACTTCGTCGAGGATTGCCCGATGCCTGCAGAGATGACTTTGGCGCATCAGCAACCCGGATTAGCAGCGGGCGATGGGCGAGAGGACGAGGCAAGCGGGAGCGTTCGCCGAGAGAATGCGCATGTATGGAGCATCGTTCGCGAGAGGACGCGAAAGCAGCTTCGAAAGAGTCGTGTAGGCGTCAGATTGCGCGTAAGAACGCCTGGCATGTGGGCTGAACAGACT